TTGCATCAATTTAAACAAGAATTGGTTTAGATAATAAGCATTAAAGTTGAGGAGTGGGGGCTCGCTACGTCAGTTTTGTAGAAAATGTACAAAAACGTGACGTCATGTATTGCCGTCATCTATAGATTACGCAAAAAATAAAAAAATACGTATTTAATATTTTACCTGACGGACAAACAAAGAAAATTTAGTCACCATCCCTATTGCTAGCAATGTCGCATTTCAAGCATGTATCCTTGGCATAAATTTAAAAAAAAAACCATCAAGATCTTCTGTTTGATGATTTTTCAACTAAATATAGAAACAGACTATTAGCTGATATTTATTCAAAGTGCAGGTTTCATATCATAACGTAAATTTTATTTTTGTGCGAGTATTAAAATATCGCCTTTAAACTCTTGATATTTTTACTCACGGCGGCGTCAATGTTGAAGAAAGGTAAGGAAGAACAGCGGAATTTCCGTATTAAAAAAAAACGTATGTTCCAATAAATAATAAAATTACAAGTAGAAAATTATATATTATCATCTCAAAACTGAAAATATTGTCACCATCAATAATTACAGCTATACATAAATATATTAAAATTAGTTACATATGTAATAATAAAAACATGTTGCATGAGACATCGTCCAAATATTAGCAAACATAACAAACAGTTTAAAATACTATGGGTTTAACTTAAAATTTTAATTCTTAGTAACATTAGTCTCAGTGCTTACTATTATCACAAATTACAATGATTACACGTGATGTAAAATAGTTATAAATCTTTCTCAGACATTTAACAATATTCAATAAACTGTCATAAGATAATATAATGAAATTGACACACTAAGATAATAATAAGCGCCATCAAACGAAACCAGAGGTTAAATTCTGCTAATGTTAAAAAGGCATGTCAATGGCGTTTTAATAGTAACTTTTTATTAGTCTTGTTTGCAATAATGGCGTATTTAACATTGATTTATCAATATGCCATTATGCTAATTATTGAGTCCTTTGTGTAATACTTTTTGTTAAGGAAAATAAATAGGACGCCATTGAGATGCCATTATTACGATAACTTTACACAGAATTGAGACCCGGCGTATATTCTTGACTTTCAGCTATCTTATTTGCTCGCTGAGGAACTAACGAACTGATATTTGAAATAAAAAGCTTTACTTGCAATATTCAAAAACTATCGACGTGAGCTAGCGACAGAAATTACAATCGTAACTTGTTTCGAGGTTGCATAGCCAGTGAAACATGTCGCAAGCATAGTCGTGACGTACTTAGAAAATATGAGTATCGTCACGACTCAACAATACCCCCGAGTATAAATATTTCAGTTTATATATGATTCATAGCGAATTTTGACCTTAAATAGAACGATTTATTTAAATTCTACCGAAGCTCTGTATACGATAGGTACGCTATTTAATAATACCTACATATTTTTCTGATATCTTATGGAATAAGACAAGTCATCGTTACAAACCCAATTTATTATACACTACAGCAAAATAGCTTTCAAACTTAATCTTACAGCGTTGCAAATTTTCTTGTCTTACTTTTTAAATGCCACTCATACATAAAATTTACTAATGCGCTACTACCAACGCGAACCACTTCATGTGCGCAGAGCAGACCTACCAATGCACATAAAAAATTTTAAATGGCAATTTTTTCATTTAAAAAAAATGTGTAAAATACTTGTCAATTTTCAGGTATTTGTCTCACTCGCACTCAACGGGAGCACGCGCGCGAATTGTCCAATGGCGCGCTACTTGAATCATTTCGATTGGTCAAGATTGCCGCGCCTCTGCGCAAGTACTTCGATAACCCATATTAGTTGTATGTTACTGTACCAAACTCTGTATCTGACAGTCGGTTCATATCTGACGGATGCGTTGCGTAATTGCCAGTCGCAGATTACAATTGATCTCAATTACAATTGCGGACTGACCAATACCAACAGAAGAATGTATTTAGAAAACTGACAATGATGGTCTATCTAGGACTCCAGCGGTCCAATTCAGTGGGTGTTATAAGGCAACAGTACCTTATATGACATGACATTCAACCTCGTACACTCGACGGATGATCCGTCGCATACTAACTCATACTACTGTCAGACTTGCACCGACCCTTATATTATATGATTGGTATTTTTTTATAACTCGAATATTTTATACAATATAATAAATTAACTATTCACTTGACATTTCTCCCAGATATATATATTTTTTATTGAACTGCTTTGTTTTAAATTTGTATGATTATTCAACTTTAAAGTATTTTTCTATAAGTTGTTATTGTAATGTACAAAAAAACATATGAAATATTTGTATTCTGACAATACTGTGCATGTTTATATCTGTCAAAAATGTTCGTTATATTATATTATATATGGTAATAATATATTATTATATTATGGTATTATATTATGGTAAAAAGCATTAGTTCCGTTGTTCGCGTCTGGGACATAAAAGGGTTTGTTTACTTTACATACCCCAAATAAATAATTGATTCTGATAATCAGATGAAATTATATATTGTTATATTTTTTATATTATCTTTTAACTATCTACATTAATTTGTTCTAAATTAAAATCTAACTATAATAAATATGCCGTTATTAGCATTCCTAACCAATTTGAAGCTAAATTTTTTGAACTGATTTGAGCAAAAAAATTAACAAAAAGTTTAAAATAAACTTTTTAAATTTCGCGTTGCATTATATTAGATTGTATGAAACGGGTATTAACGTAATATATTAAAAGTTACGTTTTTCACCTACCTATATTTCCCAACGTTTCGGTTTATACAATCTAATAAACAGTTTAAAGTCAAGCAATAAACAATATCTAAATGCTATTATTATACTGAAGAAATTTTAATTGGAAAGCATTAAAATATGAATTCATCTCAAATACAAGAATAATATAAAGTTAAAATGTTAGAAAATGGAAATTTGTTCTAGGCATCAATACATATGATAACATTATATTTGCACAAATTCTATTTGCATTCAATGCTCCATCCAATCCTCCATGCTAATTACACTGAAGTGTTTGATGGAAAGCGACGCCAATTGTGTGTACACCCAATGTTATACCTTCTCTTCTTTATTATAGCTTTTGTTCTATACGGTTAGAAAATATTTTGCCCTTACATTTATGAGTTTAATTTCAATATTAATTAAACGAAATAGAATAAAATTAAATTGTGACAGTAAACAAACATTCATGGAAAGTTGTGTATTGTCAGATTAATAAGAAAGAGGAGAAAGAATCTGATTGGTACGAATTTTATTCCTCTTAAATCTTAATTCTGATCTGTATATTATCCAATCAAATAAAAATATCATTTTAAATTCTAAACGCTAATGCTATGCTGGACAGTTTTTTTTTTACATATTAAAAAAAAGTAGGAAAGGGAGAGAACTATTTTGAAGTTAAGGCTATTTTCGATTTGATGGAGTAAGAAGTTCTCTGTGTCTATACAGACAGTATAGTTTAACAATACAGCATACGATAGCTTTCCAATATTATCTTATATAACATACGCCTTATTACACTTAAATAACACTATTTTGGTACAAAAACATGTGCTATACAAATGGTACAACGTCAATAATTAAATAGAATTGGTCTTCTCTATGCTATATATGTTTATAAACAGAAAAGGTAACACTAATAGTGTGAAAAACACACTACTTTTAAAAACATACAGTTTGAGTTTTCATAATTCAAGTAATAGATTTACACTGTCTCGTCTGGCAATATGAAACAATATTTAATTTTATTTTGGAAACAACTTCATCTAGTTCCGATCACACAATGAAGTGTAAATACTACTTAGACAGTTCTAATTATCCTTGTGAAAATGACACTTCGGTTAAATAACTTTATGACTGATTGTAGATCAATCCGAATGAGGCGAAATGAATTTTCGAATGTGTAAACCTTACTAATGGTAATATTAGAAGTCTGACGTTTCGGCGCGTATTGGTGTGTACTCTTCTGATTGGTATTGTTTTAATTAGGTACTTGAGTGTTTTGAGAAAAATATTTTTAAACTTTCATATGATCATATTAAACCACTAGCAGGTTTATTTTTCTCCAAAGTGTTATTAAATAAAGGAATACCATATTTCTATTTATTAATTTAAATTGTCTTATCTTGCGGAATCAATCAGTAACGTAACTTTTCGAGCCGTGACGACAAATTTCAATAAACATGGATACTGGTTGCGCTCATAACAAAAACGTTGACATTTGTTTATTGAAATGTGACGTCACAAAATTCTCCGTCATGGCCGCCCACGTTTCGCTTCTTATAATCCACAGATTATATATTTCAAGTTAATTTTATAAAAAATAAAATATTCTTATTATTTATTTTAAAACAAAAATACTGCATAGGTATTGTTTCCATATAAGTTACCATTTCCAACTTATTTCATATTTTATTGTTATAATATGAATTGTGTACCAATAGAAAAATTACCAGATACTTTTTTATTCGTCAGACACATTTTGCTGACATTTATTTTCTTAAACATTTTGCGCAGAAGTTATCACGTGCCCTTTTTATAATAATGAAGATATCGACACTTAATTTACAATTCCAAGAATTTATATAACTGATCTTTACTGTTAAAATATAATTTAACAGTTGAAAGAACAAACACTGGTGTGATGTTTATTAATTAAAGAACATGCATATATTGTTTCTACTTAATTGTAACAAAAAAAAATATATTGTGAGATTATTTCGATACAGAAACATTATTTTAAATTGGAAAAAGGTGTTTTATAAGTATTATAATATAGCAAGTGTTGCATAATCAACTCTATCAATGCATATTCTGCAATAAATCATATATAAATTTCAGCACAAGAAAAAACTTCTAAATCTCTGGCGTCAAACAAATGGGCAATACCGGTGGGTACATTTATTGTGTTTTCTTTATCAATCTTTCATCATTTCTATGCAATACGCTTCGACCACCCGCTATATCATACTAAACAAGTACTGATAATTTAATAACTAGGCCTAAGCCTAAGCTGGCCTAACTGCTCGAAGATTACAATAAAAAGGAATAGGAATCAAACTAATTGACGGTTATATACTCCTTCATTCATTATCTTTATAAAAAAAACAGCTATGTATTTACACTCACCTCGAGTCACAACGCATATTGTTTAAAAAATACACTCAAAAATTACAAAAATATAGTTTAGCCAATAGGGAATATGCGTCTGATTAAAAAAAGGATTAGGTATTTATATTTTATTACAATCATTATTGCCATAGAATAATCTATGTAATTTTTTTCAACATTAGATCGTTTTAATTTTGAAAATAATTATAAAAAGTGCAAAAAATCAGTAATTTCAAACATTCAAACGCCATGCTACTTAGTCAGAACAGATGTGACGAAAATGTACACATGTAGGGATGTCATTGTTACAAAAAGTTAACATAGATGCAATAAAATCAATGTATTACATCACAAAATAAACAACAGATTATAATTTAAATTAAGTTTTCAGCTTTTATTTTTATTTCACCAATTTGGTGAACCATATAATTATTAAAGTTACGTACTTTAAAAAAATCGATTAGTTGATAATAGATTTGGGTAACAGAATAATAATCAATCACTCAAAATCTATATTTAAAATGTCATAATCTCTAGTCATGCGTTTTAACTAGTCATAGCTGTTACTTATTTTCATAAATTATTACTCTTACTAAAATTTAGTTTTTCGGTGTCGGGAACTTTTTTTACAGTTTCATATCATAAGGGAACATTTTCCACAAATGTGCATATTCCCTATTTTCGAGATATTTATTTTTTATAATCTATGTGAAGCGTACATCACACGTGCCTCCTCGTCGGCGGTCACCGGTGTAATGAACGCGTGGCACACGTCATATGCGCGCGTGTCATTGCGCGGGCGCAGGGGCGGGGGAGGAGGCGGGGGCGGGCGAGGCGGTGGGGGCGCGGGGGCGGGGCGGCTGCCGGCGCTGGCGGGCGAGGAATGAGTGACCGGCCGATAGTAGAGCGAAGCGGGTTTCGACCGCGTCTCTGTGACAGCGGGCGCCGAGTTGGTACCAAGCGGTCGCTAGGAGGCGCTGCTCGCTGTGAGCGGCGCGCGCGCCGTCCGTACTGCTGCCGCTGCCGCTCCATCTAGTGTTAGAAAAAAGAAACTCGATCACTGCTTACATTTCTGCACTCTTGTTTAACTAATAAATTATGTCACATGTAATTTTCGGTGAAAGGTGACGTTGAAAATTTTATGTTAAAATGCTTAGATCAACAATACAATAGATAACGCCTCGCAAACTAAAGCAATACTGAAATATATATCATATTTTAAAGAGTAAGTAGTAAAATAGACTAAAGCTACGAGAATTATCAATCTAGCACAATATGCCTTAAATAAAGATCTTATGGCTTAGTTTTGTTGTCTCAGATACTCAACTTGGAATCTAATGCAATGTATGTGTTAATGAATATATTTTTGCATCGTATTTATTTATCGTACATTTGTATGTGTATTTAGCACGAAAATTTTTATTTTTTATTTTTTTTATATACTTTAAATAAATCATTAGTGTGCCTCAATGATGTATTGTTAACATTCACACCCCCATCTTCATTATTCATGTTATCTATCTCCATCCACTGGTTGCCTGGAAGAAATCGCTTTAAGCGATAAGGCCGCCAATTGTTACATAATAGTGTTAATTTACTATAAAATTTTGTAATTCATTGTGTTATGTGAACAATAAAGAGTATTGTATTGTATGTGTTGTTGTTTAATATTTATTTATATTATAAGAAAAGTGTAGAATCAGATAAAATAAAATCGAACTGAAACAGTCAGTTTCAAGATATAAAGGAATGAACATATTTATAAAGGTAGTTACTCATGTCTGTTATTGTTCGCGGGGGTAGTTTCGCCTCTGGATGCGGCCGCACTATTACTGCCTGTACCACGAGAATATCCCAATGTGATATCCGATAACGATGGCTGACCTGTAAAAAACATCTAATTACTTTACGAACCAAATAGGTATAGTGTTGTGATTTTTTAAGAATTGAAAATCTTTAAATATATTTTTATAATATACTACCTTGAACTTGTCTTTTTATTGAACCGTCAATCTATTTATAATTAGAATAGACTTGTAATATTTTAAAATGCAATTATTTAATTAAACAAAATTAATTTATTCACAGAACAAAACTAAAAAATAAAATAATGTCACTTGTCCGGAAACGGATGTTGTGTTGGCTTAATAAAAAAAAAAACTGGTTCGACTAGGGTTGCTATAAGGTAGTTGCTAGTCTAAGAAGCATTATTGTTCGAGACGCGGTGGCGTGAAGACGTGTAACCGGAGCAGTGTGAAAGTGTGGTTGAATCTAGAAATGTTCTATTACAATAGAATCGGGTTTGCTACCAACTTCACGAATTAGCTGCCATTTAGTATTGTCAGCAAATAAAATAAAGATATCTAAATAGTTTTACTTTATACAAACATTATTAGAGTTATTAAAAGTAGTGATACGAATTCATTAAGAATTAATAAAATATGTTTTCTAAATCGGTCTCTTGGTCTTTTTTACTACTAAATATGAAGTTTACGAAAAAAATCTATTTCTAGATGACCCGGTATACTTCGTGTTACCTCTCACCGTTTAACCCTTCCCTACATTAAGATAAACATTTCAAAACCAAAATCAACTAAATCGGCCTAGTGGTTCTTAAGTTTTAGCGAGACAAAGGAACAGCAATTGATTTTTTTATATGTAGAAGATATTACCGCTGGCCATCCTAAACGCGTCCCCATTTCATGATTTCGGGTTACTTACAACGTCAGTGTGCCGTAATTGGTTATGTCATATTACCATAACACATTGTTTTATTTAAAAGATTTTTTCATTTTTTTGAGTTCCGCACCCAAAGGGTAAAATGGGAACCCTATTATTAAGACTTCGCTATCAGTCTGTTTCTCTGTCACCAGGCATTATCTCATGAACCGTGAAAGTTAGACAGTTGAAATTTTCACAGATAATGTATTTCTGTTGCCGCTTCAACAACAATATAATAAAATGATTATTTAAGAGGGCTCCCATACAACAAATTTACAATAAATTTAAAATTCATGTAAAGAACATACTTATGAGTAAAGGCTATTATAAAGTTTATGATTATTTTAAGGATCGCAATGCACGGAATTAATAGCCTTCGCTTTGTTCTATAACGACTAATTATATGTACAACCTATGACGAATAATATGTATTGTAATAATACATATTATTTTGATAATTACATGGTTTATGTAAATGTCATTACTTATGATAAAGAGCTGGTAAGTTTCTTTCGCTAGTTCTTCTTGTCAGCTAAAAGACGTCCTGAACAAGTGGAAGGGGAAAAAATTTTTTTTGGTCGATTCAAAAGTGCTTTTAATAAGCCTACTTCGATAAACATATTTTCATTTCATTTCAAAATATTTTTTTTGGTCGTGCGCGAGTCCGATTCGCACTTGACCATTTTTTTTGTACACCTTATACTGTGAAGTTAAAGCGCAATGCGAGTAAGGTGAACAAAAAAACGGAATCGCAGTTTGCCAGTAATATTCTTATTTGGCTAGTATAGTACACGTACTATCTCCATGGCCAAGTAGACCATTGATCCACAGAATACAACTTGCATCCTCTTCACATAAAATATAGTAAAATAATTTTTAACTCTATATACGTTTTTGTTAAAAACAATATTTACAATTTAAATAACACTAACCTGTTGCCCTAGGGTCCAAAGATTTGATGACCTCTTTAGCCTTCTCAACACACTTCTTATATTTGTCCTCGGTAGCCAATAATTCAGCTTCACGAGTAGATAATGTCTCTTGCAATTTGCTCGTACGTCGGCGTTCTTCTGATAACGCCGCTTGGAGCTCCTCTACTTGTAATGCTGAAACAAATATTTTTTCTATTCATTACTCTACTTTCTCCCTCTCTCTTTCTCTCAATTATACGACAATTCTCTCTACATACTCCATACTTTCTACATGACTGCAATTCTAGAGTTCTTAGACAAGAGGAATGTGTACAAAATACATTATAGCCACTTCTCTACCAACCGCCAAATCCAAATCAAAACCATGTTTTCTAAATTTCGCAATCCAGCTGAGTTAATCAGCCCTCTTCTTCGAATAGAAAGCAAAAGCTATCATTTAGAGAATTAAAAAGGCTGATTGTAACTTACCAAGATACTTACAACATAATCTTTATGATATTATTTTTATTTTGATTATGGTCCTTCGAACCGGATTTTAATACAAAACCCAGCGTGATACACTGAAGTATAACCTTGCAACTTATACAACTCAAATAAATAGTCCCACATAAATATGAGATTCGATATTAGCGCCTTTTTCATCATTTAATAAAATCATATATCATTAATGTAAAATTTATAAAAGGTAGTTTTATAGGTAAATCATCTAAAAAAGCACAATAAGCAGTTACATACAACTGCATTTGCGGCCTACTAATATATATCAATGTAATGAATGAATGAATACCAATGTATTAAGATGAAAAATTAAGGGGGACAAATCTGAGTTTGGTATAACCTGACATGCTGTTGACATTACAATAAATACTTACATTTCCTCTGACTGTCTTCGATGGCGGAGGCGAGTCGCGGATGTGGCGCCTCCAAGTTTGCTTCTAACTGCATAATACGTTGATTTGCTTCGCGATTTAACGCGCGCTGCTTCTCTAAACGCGCAGCATAATCTTCTAAAAGGGCCTACAACAATGGACCGCAACATTAAACAAAAAATCCAAATGACATTTACTACTCGTACAAATTAACATGATTTCCATTTCATCGAAAACGGAATGTAATTTATTTTTTAAATGCTAAGATGACTCAAAGCAAACGCATGCAACGGGGGTAGGACCAGACACTGCCACTGATAGGCCAATAATCTTCACGAATATAAACAAAATCATAAGAACGATTCGATATTTTCCGTTCTTTCATTCAAGAACAAATACAAAAAGCCCGGTGACATGTTATACTTATACGAGTAGTTTACTTTTCATCGGAAACTTTAAATAGTACCATTCTATAGGTTATAAAAGCTTAGATCACCTGAACGGATGCTTGATCTGCCTGAGCGCCCTGGTTCTGTCTTAAAAGTTTATTTTCGTGTTCCAGACGAATCAGTTGTTCTTTTATATCATTCGGGATCAACTCACGTGAGACGTTGTCTTCGCTTGCACCTACATATAATGAACTATTAGTACTGAACATTGGCTACTTGAATGTTTTGGGGACAAGTATTTTAAAACTTTCATATAATCATATTAAACCAATAAATTATTGTTTCTCTTAAAAGTGTTATTAAATAAAAAAGAAATATATTTTTAATCATTAGTTTAAATTGTCCCGCCAAAACAATCAGTCACGTGACACTTCGCGCTGAGACGTCACATTTTAATACTTATAGATAAGTACTAGTTGCTCTCGCAACAAAGGCGTTGGCGTTTAGTTTATTGAAATGTAACGTGATATGTTGCTCAATGATGATGATAGTTATTTATTACCATTTCCAACATATTTAAATATTCATTTTTGTAACTGTCAATTTGCCATTCACCACGGCCATGGCATTAAAAATATAGATCAAAATAAAAATACTCGAGCACTTATTGATATTTAAATATCATCAGCTAATTAAATCATCACTGCAGAGGTACTTCTTGAAGATGGAATGAAATAAACCATAACTCGCCACATTGGTCCGCGCCTTAACGTGCCTTCCGATGCAGGAAGTAGCGGGATGATATAATTTGGCTCACCCATCCTCTAACCAGCTTAATTAATTTGCGCGTTGCATACCGAACGTGCAAACCACTACACTATCGAGCTTTTCGTTTGATAGTTTGATTTGCTTATTTAACAATCCTTAATATCAACTCTTTAACTAATACTATGCAATAAAATAAAATTATTTCATATTTATTATAAAAAAGTGAATTTATCATCCAAAAAATAAATAAACAAACTTGAAGACACTAAACACTAAATAAACTACAATATTCGTTGCGTTCATTTGTTGAATGAAAAAAAGTATTCACTAGCGCCAACGGTAATTAAAGTAAAATAAACAGAAAGTTAAATAAGGCTTCAAATTGTCCGTTCATATATTTGACATGGTACATTTCATGATATATGGAAGAGTTACATAAGATATTCACAAAAATGTTCAATGCTTAGATAATTCGCAATGTGAACGCCGTTAGATCTCAGAGATATGCACGGAACATTACTCTAATAAAGTGTATGCCTTAAACCATTATATTACACAATAGAGTACACGGAAAGAACATTGCCGTTTTATTTTATTAGGTTCCTTGAATTGGTATAGAATGTTCTTGGTTTGAGGTTTTCTAAAAAACTTTTTTCACAGGGTTTCTATGATGTTCTTTTAAAAAATGTGAAACATTTGAATATCGACTTTCAATTGTTTTTGTTATTCAACTTAGACAAGAAAAATGGATACAGCGAAAATTCGAGTGATTTTTAAATTCGAGTTCCGACGCGGAAGTAACGCGGCAGAAACAGCCTGCAATTGTTGCGTTTGGAGAGGGGTCTGCTAATGAACGCACCGTGCTATTTTGGTTTAAACGCTTTCGTGATGGAAACTTCGACTTGAAGAACGAGTCACAAGGAAGACCGCCCACACAGGTGAAAAACGATGAATTAAGAGAGATGGTGGAAGCCGATCCTAGTCAAACTACCCACGAATTAGCGGTATGGTTTAATGTTACCTTACACACAATATTGACTCATTTGCGTCAAATCAATAAAATATAAAAATACGAAAAATGGATGCCTCATGATTTACTGATTTGCAGAAAGAAACGCGTGTTGAAACTTGTGTTGAATTGTGATGAAGATTGGATCGAATTGTGACATGTGATGAAAAGTGGATTCTTTGTGTTATCACAAACGGTTATCCGTAAAAGAAAAATGCAATGGCTGACCCCAGATCAAACGTCACAACAGTGTCCTAAAGCAAAACTTACCAATAAAAAGGTAATGGTAACTGTTTTGTGGTCTCGGAATGGTGTTATTCACTATAGTTTTCTCCAATCTGATCAAGCAATAACGGCAGATGTCTATTGTGCCGAACTCCGTACAATGTTGGCAAAACTAGTAGTAAAACAGCCCCGACTCATGAATCGATCTTCACCATTATTGCTCCATAACAACGCGAGACGTCATACAGCACGAGAAACCGTTTTGACCCTTCAGGAACTGCAGTTAGAAACCATTCGTCATCCTCCGTATTCGCTAGACCTTGCTCCAAAGGACTACCATTTTTTTAATGATTTGGACAATTATCTACGTGACAAGAAGTTTTCTTCCCAGGAGACAGTACAAAATGCTTTCACACAGTTTGTGCAGTCTAGATCCACAGAGTTCTAATGCAAAGGCATAAAAGACCTTCCTATTAGATGGTAGCATAGATAATAAACGTAACTATTTTGATTAAATAAATTTGTTAAAAAATAAACAATTTTGATTTTCAGTAACAATGCAATTTGCAATTTCATACTTTAAACCCGTATTAGGTAAAGAGTAAAGGTTATCAAATCATAGGATGGGTAACCCAATATATATCTCAATCATCTCGAAATTCTTCGTTCTTCAGAATTCACTTTATGGCAGGTTTTACATGTATTAAAAAGATATGTAGGGAATGACACATTTTACTATTGAATTAGGAAATGCAATCTCGTTAAAAACGAGAACGAGATCTCGGCCTTTTTAGCGAGACATAAATGACTTATTATCATGATGGATCTCACCTGTTGTTACAGTGGAGCAACGCAATTCATCAACGGTCTCACGCAGTGTGTCTCGCTCCTGCAATAGGGTCTCTCGCTCACGCTGGACCGACGCTAATTGACTGCTCAGCTTTTTGTTGTCTATCTCTAGTCTGTCCGCTTTAGTGATTTCTGCGTCTAGTTTTTCATTAAGATCTGTCACCTTATAAACATAGGACAATTAATAAAGAAAATAACATAAAACAAAAAGCCTTTATTCTACCACTGCATGCATTTAAATTATTTATAATATCATTTTTGATTAAATATATTATTTTTGCAAAACCATTTTCAACCTTTTAAAAAAGAAGCAAAATACAACAAGACAAACCTGTTTTTTATATATATCCAACTGTGCACGTATTGCGTTTGCGCGCGCAGCCGCTTGTTCGTGCTCTATCGCCCGCTGCACGTGTTCTGTGTTAGCACGCTCTAAAAGTTTTACCTGCAAAATAAACAACATTTATGTGCTAACAAAAATATGTACAGATATTTTTACAGCTGATAGATTCATGTCTATGATATGAATGAATAAATTCTTTATTGTACACCATTAATTATAGATAAATTACAATTGATACAGTTTAGTTGTACAATCGTCGGCCTTATCGCTAAAGAGCAACTTCTGCCAGGCAACCGTATTAAATAAGTATAAGATTATTTTCATACAGATTTTTGTTTGTTCGGTAAATTATATCCAAAGTATTGTTTAATCGATACTTTGAATAAAAGTAATCGTTTTAATTAATAATAATAGCAACAAATTTGTTAGCTATAACCTGAGAACGGTTAGGTTTATTTAGTCGTTTTTAGTAATTTTTTATTCTATACATCTATGGAATTTGATAGGGGTTGAAATGTTTGTAGTCTTAAGATTTGTATATTTCAGCAGCAAGCAAAAAAAGCCTATGTCTTAATTTAAAAAAAGATTGAGAGGTTAACTATTAATTATGGTAATATAGTCGCGTTTCTGGTAATGGACCAATCGGCAATAAAGCCGATAAATATAAGATAATAATAATGAAGTGGCACTATTTATTATTTGATTATACACATGATGTATATTGACATATTCAACTCACTTGTCTCCTCAAGTCGACGTGTTCCTCCATCCTCTTTTTATACGAAGCTACAGTAGCTTCGAGGGTAGCAGCTTTCGCAGCAGTCTCACGTAACGCATCCACTTCATCCTTCAGTACCACGTTCTCTGAGGCAGCAGACTATCATTAAAACAATTTATAACATAAATTACTGACTTATCAATTACTTATTATCAATAAAAATTGAAAGATCCGTTACAATAACTGACGAGACACACCATCCAGTTACATAACATGAAATACAAACTGTCTGTATATATATCACACCTAAACATTACAGTCAGCTGCACATAAGGTCCATCAAAACTAACAAAGTTCTCGAACTGATATCAAACCTTAATACGTTATCAAACGTGACACGTGGAACCGCTGCTGACTCACCTGCAACTCTTCGTTTCTGATTTTGAGCAACGCCACCTCCCTCTCTAACACATCACAGCGAGCGCGATGATCATCACGCTGCAACTCAACTTTGTCCAGTTCATCTTTGAGAGCGTCCAGTTGCGCACGCATCTTGCTGTACCGCAAGGTACCAGCGTGTGCGGGTCCCAGCGAACCCCCAGCGTCATCCAGCTCGCAAGCATCCTCATCCAAGACAGCATCTTGCGCGGCTGATAGTCGAGCTATCTCACTCAGTAGCGTCATCTTCTCTTCTTGAAGGACCTTTACCTATGAGATGAATTTAAACTTTAGCCCAGGCGCAGACAACGAAATTTCGGAATATATCGAAACGTTCTATGTTGTAATAATGTTAAAATCATATCTGAAGATTATTTGTACATCAGACGCGTTAGCTCCTACCTCAATAAGCATGACAACTGGGTAAAAAAAAAAAACAATTTAATCCGTAAATCACATAATAGAAAAATATATGTACATATTTGTTTGCTTCAATTTAACAAGTGGCGTAGATAAACAGACATTTAAGTCGAAAAGTGGGGGCTCGCTACGTCATAACTATGTAGAAAGTGCATAAAAGTGTGCCGTAATTTATTGATGACTTGTTTCCATTTACATCATAAATTATTATGGAAAAATATATTTCTTTGGAGTAGTAGGCATTTCGAAAATAGACAAAATTTCGTTTTCGATGAAACAAGAATAGGGCTTCAGATAATAATCAATATTGTACTATATTTATTCGCACAAAAAAACCTCGCTAAATTGAGCAATATCTCGAGATATTTAAATAAATACCTTACATGGTAATAATGCTTGTGATTACGGTGATTCATTTCAGAATCAGATAGATGGCGCATGGAAACTCCAAAACTTTTTCCAATCGGAGCGGAATTTGATATTGCGCCCTTAACCCCCCGCACGTATTGTTTATTACCATAAATAAGTGATGACTGTCTACTGCGTAACTTTATTCTATGTAAATTTTGATGTTTGTCAATTTCATAAGATAGAGATCTTATGTATGAATAAGTTGATGCATATATAAGATCTGTATCTTATGAAATATAAATATATCCACTTTTAAGGCCATGAAATTCAAATTTAATTCAAAATAATTGATTACTGTACCTATGATGTTCATTTAGCCTGATATATACAAAATGCTAACAGTATTCTGCGAACCACGACAGTATAGCTTCGGCACCAGTGAACATACAATCAGAAATGCAAGAATTAGATTGTTTTTTTTTGGACTTTATTATTTAATAATCTTAAGCAGAGGATAAAATAATCTCTGATAGTCAAATTCATGAAACCATAAGACTAGAGTTGCCAACCGTTCTGCTTTCCAAGAACATGTCCTGCTTTCCAAGAACGTTTTTTAAGTAACGTCCACGGCTTTTAAGGCGCTTTAATAAAGCCTATATTTTATATTTTAACTTTTGGGTTTATCAGTGCGCTATTGACAATTTTGGTTAAAGAATGACTGCGTCCTATTTTTAAACGAAATTGCCCCGGGGTTTCACCTTTACATCCTAGTTTTTAAAGTTAGGGTTGGCGACACTACACAAGACGCAAAGTTAGTTACGAAAAGAAATAATTTTATAAATTCACGAAAGCGGAATTTTATTATTGACCAAAGTATGTACGCGTAATTAGCAATTATTAATGATTCCATAAAACTACCACCGTTAAAAAATACCATTCAAGTAAACGGCAAACAGAGAAACCGAAAAGTATTTTAATTATCAAAGTATTCCAAAATAAAAAGTATTAAAACATATATATATATATATATTTATCGTCTTAACATAAATCCATCGAGATCGTACGATAGCGATATCCGTTTGAGAGTAATTTTCAAACGGACATCCGTTAAGATCTCTTTATTTATTCAGGTCAAATTAGCAACTTCTTGTTCAAATAACATATAATAATCTACAATAACAACATCGTTATCTGAGCATAGCAGAACGCTGCATAATTCATAACAATATTAACCATACGATCAGCATCATAACGGTCAAGTTTTCGTTCACGTTTTTAATTTTTATTAATTTTATACAGTCTTCAAAATTAAATTTTAAAACTATACTTAATTTATTTTAAAATTATAAAGCTTTTTTTAATAGTAGGTAACTAAAATACTTAATCCGTTTCTTATTAAATCAAATATTTGTATCATTCAATCGAAAATCAGTTTATGAAAAAGAAATCTGACGGACCCTACGGAAATCTGTTTTACTATTCAAACAATGACCAATCAATAAACAAACCTCCCTACACGCTACCAAAACAAATGAGTATTTCCAAGCACACTAATCTGATCAATATAAAAGAATTGACGTTACTAACCTGAGTGTCTAGTTCATGACATCGCTGCGCAAGCGCTTCTTTCATATCAGCATCAGTCTGTTCCACCGGCGCCGCTTCCAAGTGTATACTACCACGGTTCACACTCAGTGTCAACGTCTCCAATTCCTAAACAACCACAACACAATCATTCACTTCACACTGTACAGCACGACATTCAAATTTTAACTGACACCTATCACAGCACTTTCGTGATACAAGGACATTAGAAAAAAGCGTAACTAAAACATTCTGTTTCTTAAAAAATGGCGAGTAATGAGCACGCAAAGTCGAAAGTCGTGTTGAGTAATAATGCATTCTTAATATTATTTTGCAACGATCGACGTTACACGTATTATGTGCGCTCATATAAATATAATACTGCATATAAACATCACGTTTGAAATGTATTATTATAAGTTACATAATAAGTGTATATTAACTAATTAGTTACGCATGGGTTACGACTTCGAGGTGATGCTTACGGTCTGCCACGGTTTTATTTATGATTAAGTGCATCCTAACTTGTGGGGAATCCAAAAGTTCATTAATTAACATACCATTTTAGAAAGACAAATTATACCAAAAATTAAATATAAGATCAAATTAGTATACGTCATTTTTAAGAAGAAAATGATTTATCATACAATTTTACAACTCTCTTTCTACACAAACGTAGTTCATTATTACTCTTATAGTTTAAATGCAATAAAGCAATAAAGAAGTGGTCCAAGTGAAAGCACAAGGATTTCGCATACTGTATAGGTAATTAACCATAACATATTAATAGACAATACAAAACAGCAAAGTGTTTTGCGAAAATCAGGAATGCCAAAGTTAGGCAAGTGAATAGAGTGCCCAAAATAAATAAAACCATGACATTCGATGGTTCAACAAGTGGTCCTCGATTAGGGTTACCAACTTTTATTAGAAGAAATATAGTATATATGATTTCAAAGGAGACTTATATAAAAGAATATCATTTATTTAAAAATATAAATTTAATGTTTTTATTTTATTTATATTTTTGTTACTATGATTGATATGCGTCATATATGCAGTACAGTTTAATAAACGTTAGGTAAAAAAGAGTATTTCATCGTCCTCTATAAGTTTTATAGATTATAAAGAATGTCTGCATGATATGGAGTGACATGGAGGCACAATACTCTATTTTAAAGTATAGTTGGCAACCCTATCTGCAACGCCATCATAGTAGAAAAGAATATATAACAGTAAACAGTTTTATCCATTGTCATTTTTCCCATAACAATTATTTCAAGTGTGTTTTATTTACAGATGTTACCGATAATCTGTATAATCCGGTATTGTAAACAATACCTAGGTAATGTATAGGTTAGAATCCCTAAAATTTGTATAAAATGTATAAAACATTATTTATTTCATACCTTCCTTAGATATTCTATACAATACCGAATGCACAGCCGGTTAATATATGTAAAAGGCGAGAGCAAGGAAAAGGGTCATGGGGCAGGCAGGCAACAAACGTGTTGTTTACAAATCTATAATTGTATAACAGTATACATTAATTAACAAAATATATTTTAAATCTATAAAGCTGTCAGCCATGTGATTTCTATGGTCTGAAAAAAAAACTCGTAATTTAAGACAATTATATGTTTCACAATTGTCTTAAATTTCTAAGCTTTCACATGAAATTCATAAATATATACCAAGATCTATCTATTTTACACATTACCAGTGGAACAACAAGTATTCTATACAATCCCTAGGAATTATGTATATTATTATATTATTACCTGGGGATAATATGTAAGGGATCATAATATCAATGATATTTCTTACACTCCCCAAACGCCTCTGGTATTCTATACATTCTTAAAGTATTGTATAGTATAGCTGAATTATACATATTGCACACAACATAGATGCCATTCATTAATCTACATTTAGGTCCATTGTATTAACACATGCAGGACCAGGACCAGACATATCAAGCCCAGAACCGCAAATAATATTACGCCACTAAAGCAAAAATAACAGCTATCATCATAGTGCCACAGGTGAGGTCATCGCCACCAATCACCACAATGCTGCGATTTTAAAAATCCATAGTTTTTCATAGATCTGCAAAACGTTTATCGGATTACACAGCAGGTTTGCTATATGCTTCATCTCAAAAATTAGTTATAACTACTTATTGTTCCAAAGAAGTATAAAGTATTATTTAAAATATTTTAATCGAACAATTATAAAAAATTGGTTAGGCACTTACCTGTATTGCCTGCATGATTGACCTCTGACATGATAATTCCATTTCCATGATACGAGTAATATATCCTTCCTTTTTTATACAGTTGACAGCACAACCTATCAAAATTGTTATGGAATTAATAAGTGAATAAGATTAATAACTTTAATTCTGTTTATCACTTAGGTAACTCACTAAGGACAAGTTGTAATAATCTGCCTAGATCTGATTGATCTGCTGTCTCAGCTATATTAACTACATCAGGCCTTGAAAACTCTTGTAGACTCAGATTTAAGATATCTTGATGGTAATCTGAAAGTATAACAATCAAAAAATAATAATGTTGTATTTTAATATTTGTATACCATTTACAAAAGAAAGAAATCAAACTTATTATATGAAGAAGATAATTGGTTTACATAAACATAACTATTAAATAATGCTACTTATCAAGTAAAGAGAAACAAAACTAAGGTATAGAATGTATAATGTAAATCACTTGTCCATTTATATTGATGCACAGACAGCTTCACATTAACATATCAAATATTCACAAATGATTTTCAACTCTATGACTGATACATTAAGGTTGGAAATCCAGTGTATGTATATTTGGTGGTTCTTAAATGGCAGTTTTAGTCGGTTTGTGCTTGTGAAAGCATTAAAACTTTAGAATTGCCAATTAATATATTTAATTTTTTCGAAACACTTTGTAAGGTACATTGACATTGTATCAGTTAACATGCATTTAACATTGTCTAATAAATCACAATAATTTATTGATTTCCATTATCCTAAGGTTGCATATTATTTTGTAAAGCGTTAAACTTGGTTCCCAAATAAAAAACGGCATACTATTTTAAGATTTTATAATGCTCACATAGTTGAAGTAATAGAAGATATATCTTACTTTTATTTAAAACCCTTAGTTTTGTATACTACATACTACAACTACAATACAATATACTACAATATATTTTGTCCAGCAAAACAGAACAAATTCTTTTGGTGTGACAAAAATGTTATGAAACTACTACTTTTAAGTACTATAGAATATTTGTTTTACCATCCCCTACATCTCCCAGACACACTTCATTGAGACACGAGAGTAAGATGCATAAGTGCCAGGACTGATGAGAAATATTTTTTACTCTATTAGCAACTTTTCTATGTTCTTTGATAACTTTTCTCTTAAATATATGCTCAAAAATATTTTTAAATCCCATTACAAATAATTATAGGTTTTGAAATGGTAATGTATGTTGTTTTATATTTTTAAAATTTCAAATAAAAATATGCCATAATAATAGTGACTTTTGAGAATCACCCTATTATGAGAGAGGTAATAAAATGTGTGGTCAGGTGATCAGGTGACATGACTACAAACCTACCTGACGACAATTGTATAATAAAACAAATAATAGTAATAAACTTTTATACATAATAATTAATATTTTTTTCATCACCAACATACCAACAACACCCTCCAGTATTTTCTTTAGATTGCTCACTTTCAGTCTCCAATTATTGCCAACATCAGTTTTGATTTTTGAATTCCATGATGGAGTAAAATATTCAGGAGCTATCTGAGTTAGTGCTTCTGCTATCGCCACTCCATCTGACAGTTCTAGACCAAAATATTGTAGCAATAAACACCAACAATATACTCAAATTTCAATAATTAATCTTATGATAATTATTTAATTCTCTATTTTCCTGAATAACACTCATTGCTATCAATGTTTGTCACTGATAGATAATATCTAAACAGATTCCTACAAAATAATGTATGTGGTCAAACCATAATGATGAAAATGAATGTACATTGAGTAACGAGACGGTTGAAAGGAATAAAACGATGTACCAATCCAATAAGAGCAAGAACAATGTGACGAAATTATCCACTTGGTGGTCGCCACAAATCACGGATGTGACAAACGTTGGTCGCTTTTATTGTAACTCAATATGTTTGCAGTACATCAGAATATTATAACAAAACAATAAATGAGGTTTACCTGATGGATTTCCATGTTTAGCAGTAAGATTTAAAGTTTGTAGCCACTTGATAAGATTGTCACACAAAACAACACCATTTAAATTTTCTTCCATTCTTGTAAAATTTCTATACCTGTATATAACATACACAATTCAACGTAACACATATATTATATGCAAGAGAACATTATTTAAAGGACAAGAATTAGTAATAAAACAGAAATAAAAATAATCTCCAGTGAATCCAGTGTACTATCGAAATTTGACATAAGTGACATTACAAGTTACGTTCAGAAACTCGAAAGAGAGACGAAATTTTCATTTGGGTGTGCTTAATTTTCATTTCAGTTAATTATACTTATATTTATTCTACTTAAAACAATGCAACATAATAAACGATATAGACTATACAAATCTCCGAGATTTGTATTTTAGATGCTCAACGCACGCAAATAAAAACGATTAAAAAGAGTTTTCAGTTAAATTCTAAAGGCAGGTAAGTTAACTCGCTACCATACTTATTGAAGTGTAAATCGGGATCTACAGTAGAAAGTTTGAAAGTTTTATGGGGCGCACGCATAGGCCCATGCGCTCATGGAGTATTATTTGTTGCTTCTTTAGTCTCTCTGGCTCAAAGATAAAGATTGCTGGATCTTGAAACAAAGGTTGATCAACAAATGTCCGCGCAAAGAAACATAAAACAGTGAAAAGCGCCGCCTGCAGTATCCATGATATTTTTAATTGATCTAGCGAATCTTAACCCTCAAGCTGTCTATATAAACTTTTAATCTTTCATTGCATTTTTTGAGATTGTTCGGTTTTTCACCTACCTAAATTTCCCGGTGTTTCATTACACTTGCCGTGGTCTTAACTCGTTGATACAACCAATCCTGTGTCATTAAGCTGCTCCATAATCCTCTACAGTAATTAAAAAATAGTCGGAAATCAAAGTAATAAAACAACAGTTGTATGCTTAATCTAAGATTTTATTTTCCAAGTTAAGATAATTACTTCAAATGATAAGGTAAATCACAACCCATATATTTATCGTCATCAACAGCTTGGGTTATAACTTTGTTCCACAATATATCTTTGCATAGTAAGTGAGGATCACAAAATAAAATAGCTATAACTTGAGCTCTAGTGATAGCAACATTCAATCTCTTCGGATTCTTAACGAATCCTAAAGTATGACGTTGATCTTCCACTAAATAAGCTTCAGTGGATCTAACCGTAGATATCAGTATAATAGGTCTTTCTTGTCCTTGGAAATCTTCCACAGTTCCAATCTTTGGTTGAGTTAACCCCATTGCTTCAAACACCAGTTTCAAATATTTTATCTGAAAAAATATATATAATATTTATAACCACAGTTTTAAGACAACAAGTTAGACTATTTAATCTATGACTAAATTGTGAATTACAATGGCATTACATTTTGCCACGACGAATTAGCTGTTTCTTTTTTAATTATTTTTACTTTTACGGAACGCAGCGGCGCGGTTCGTCTACGCATTACTAGATGGCGTTATGCGCCAATGAATCGCGGTAAAACTCTTGATACTACCTGTTTCATATAGGGATACATCGAGTCGGCGAGAAAGGATTAGTCACTGGGGAAGAAATGGACGGGTAGCTGTCCTAGAACTTTTTAGTAATGCTTCGAACACACCGATAGGTCCGGGGATGTGGTTCTATATGAACATTCTAGTAGCGTTGTGTAACTCACTCTTTTTAATGAGGATGAGTGAGGACCTCATTTTCCCTTGTGAGGGGCTCGCGAGTTGCCCCTCATTTGAGGGGAGGATAGGTAATGTTACAGTAGCAGCGAGTACGTAGCGAGGCGCGCGCAACGTTGCCGTTTGGTACAAAATGAGGGAGGAAGTCGGTAGTGCTAAACAAAACATATTTTGTCTTTAGATTCTAAGAAATAAACGTAATTAGATTATCATTTAACAGAATGACCACAACACGCAAGTTATTTTTAATAGTGTCAAATGTTCCATTTCTATAATAAATTATTTATATTTCGAATCGAATAATAATCATTAATTAAACGATTTTAAAAAAGGAACAACGGAATATAAATATATTTCTAATTAAAACTGATACATTTTTATTAACTTTGGTATTTACTTAGACTAATTAATATCATTTATCTATAAAAAAATAAATAGGTATTTGCGAAGAAACACATAAACAAACCTGAATCGTTCCAAAAAACTCATACAACTTAACCCGTTCCCTCAATCTTGAATACCTATATTGAGTAAGTATCGAGTCGCCTTTTCATTCTAAACAACTCGTTATTATGTTGCGTGAACTGTAATATATGTGCTCGCGCCTCGTGCTTGAAGCCTCAAAAAGTGAGGAGCTAAATGAGGTGGTTCAAAATTGAAAAACGAGTACTCCCTCATTTTGTCGAAATGAGGACCTCAAACGAGGCACCTCGCGAGTGAGGGGCTCATCACTACATTCTAGAAGTGGTATCGGCCCCTATTAATACGCGATGGACTACCAGCTACATAAAGCCGGGTTGAGAACTTAATTGGCGTTTATTTTTAACCCGAACCCTAAGTCGTAACAGTACCATTCTTTTGTGTCAAAATATTTCCGAAGATCAGTACATATCTTACGGTATTTGAATCGCGTATTATCGTTTGAGGAACGTCAGCCCTGACAAATATTATATCATGAATGTGATAATGTCCACTTACGGTTATTTAATTGCTTTACTTTTTCTTACCTGAGCAATGTAAGGAGTAATAATGCCTATATCATCAGCACTAATATTGTTTTTGTACAATTTACAAGTTGTTAAAGCCACCATTGAGGCTTCTTGGGGATTATACCATGATGGACTATCTTGTGACCTTGTATTGCTGCCTCTAATTCCATAGACATAAATGCCGCCCGTTTTCAAATCACTCTTGTCGAATAGACCATTTACAAACTCTATTATATTTAATACCCATGATTGAGTTCTATCAATTTTAGCTACAAGCGAAGCATCATAAAACATCTCACTTGGCAATGTTAAAACTTCGTCTAGGGATCTGTAATTATCAGTGAGTTTTGTAATTACTCTTTTATCATAACCATTTTTAAATGCAGCATAATCCTTTTGATACGGAAATGTCTTTAGGATTCTAGATAAATACGACTCGTCCATCCCAAATTCAATACAATATTTTGATATTATCACTGGACCTAATTGCATTGGATCCCCGGCGAGTACAATCTGTCCGTTTTCTTTATCTATGAAAGTCATTGGTATCATAATTTCTGGTTCAGTTGCTTGACCTGCTTCATCCACTATTACATGTGTAAAATGACCCCTAGGAAAACCCATCTGCGCAAGGCTTCCTAGACAATGGCAAGTTCCAATGGTCACACGATGTCGACCAATAAATGATTTCTGGCATTGTAAATTAATGCCGTCTTTAACAACATGCCTTGATTTTATTGTATCTTCTGTAGCCAAATCAATAGTGGCACAGAAAGCTTTTATTGCTTCCGGAATGTTGTCTGAATCTACCAAGTAATGAGCTATAAGTCGAATAATGGAATTAGAAATTAAATTTTGGTATTTTAATAACCTTTCGGTGATTAAATTGGCTGCACTATTAGACGGTGTAGCTACTAAAATTCTACTATCTGGCAGAAAATGCAGTATTTGTAAAATGGTTTCAATTACTGTGATTGTCTTTCCAGTTCCTGGCGGTCCGAATATACAGTAAGGCAGAGGACGACATTCCCCAACTAAAATATTCAATACAGCTGCCTTTTGACCTTCATTTAAAGACTGATTGAACCATTGTATTTGATCAACTCTTTCTTGAGATACTTGATTTGGACGTGGAAATATACGACTTGGAAATAAAACATTTGGACCGAGATTTGACAAAGATAAATTAATGGCTTGATGACATCTTCTGTATACTGAACGGCTATTGTGAAACTCAATAGAAACATCACTACCTAAATATGTTTCATGAAACCTTTGGTGGAATTTCATCAAAACTAGATCACCCTTAATCATGTGAATAAATCCTTCATATAGAGGAGAACTGGGGTTCCAATCATCTTTTACTACAACCCGATCGCCTTTAATCAAGGATGGCCTCTGTTCAGCCAATTCTTTAATTTCAATAGCGAGGTATTCTTGACAATGTATTAGGAATACTTTACGCATATCATATCTTCTCATGTTGATATTTGCTTGTATTTCTTCCATATATATCAGAGTATGCCATTTATCAATATAGTTATTGATATGCAATTCTTGTGTTAGACAAGGTAAAGTTTCTTCGATCCTGTTTATTATTTTATCATATTCTGAACTCCATAAAGCTTGTTCCGAATCACCTATAATAGCAGACCAGATCTTTTGGGGCACTGGAAAATTACCGATTCTTGTCGGAATAAATGCTGGCGGCTTACACGGTTTAATGCCAGGCAAAAATGCTCTATTATCGTTTCTTTTAATTTGTCTAAGTGACTCGATTTTTTCATTTTCTGTTTTGATAAAATTATTTCCATTGCCGTCAGATCTTAAAGGTACATTGTCACTAACGATTGACATGTCTATGTATCGTTTAGCTTGAAAACCTTTGAACATTATTATTAGACATTCTTTAGTGTTACCCAAAAATTTTGGATGGCAAGTAATATTGAATGTAAATGACGCTTTTGGGTAAAGTTTTTTAGGACGTGTCAAAGCGGGTTCTATGTTTACTTGTGAATCCCTTTTTTTACTTAGCATTATCCATTTATTTATAAATTGAACATCATCACTGTTATTAGTTACTACCAATTTCATACGAGCTGTCTTTTGAATATCAAGTTTATCAAATTTTAAAGGATAAGTTACTGTAATATTTCTCTCTTTTTCCAAAAATAAACTCTGCTCTTCTTCATCTAAACTATGTGAATTTGTTTCTGAAGTAGAAACAGATTCTGTAATGGTTAATTTTAATGCTCGCCAGCTAAAGGACCCTTGATTACTTTCAATTATATCCACAATAACCTGTAATGATAACTTTTTATTAATTCTGTATTTGTTAATTTTTAAAGTTGAAAATTAACATAATCTTAAAAGTTGATACCTTTGTCCCTACTTGTGGGTCAATATTATTTTCTAAACACTGCCTGTTGAAAAATATACATCTGTCAATAGTACCATAATCACCTGACCATTCTGTAATAACAGCATTCTTAGTTTTACTTCTTATCGGTTTGATGGAGAGCACTTGCAAAACCTGAAATAATTTAATGTTTGATAATAACTCAGTGAAGCGTTAACGTTGGTGTCCCCTTTTGAGGTTTGTGGGCACCTTACGCATCCTGTGACCTTTTTACACACTGTTTTCTGGAGTTTTGGAATTCCTAGCTTATGAGTAAAAATGGAGACGTAATCCTGATGACCATCACAATTGAAACATTTAATTTATTAAGTGCAGTATTGTTTGAAGGCAAAAATTAATATTAGACAACATCACATACATTGCTCAGATTCCAAGATGAGTAGTCTCAGATACTCCATAATATAGGCATTATGGAGTATCTGAGACAACGTAGGTAGCACAACACCCAGACACGAGACAAAATAGAAGTCTGTTTTCTACATTAACCGGCAATCAAACCTGGAACCTCAGAGATTGTGACTCATTGAAACCGGCGTACAAACTTTTCGGCTACGGAAACAGATAGTGCTTTTGCCTGATATCGGAAATTCGAAAAGCTACGAGGCCAAAGCGCCGGGTATTCGGCCCCTTACCACATTAAAACCTGTGAACGAGATAGGAAATATTGGGCGTTTAGTATAGATTTAGTGGCGTTTGAGTTATCATGCATCTCAATGTGTGTTTGTTTCTCAATTGGTTTGTTAATTCCAGTATTTTTTCACTTGTCGTCTTGGTTTCATAGTATGAGGCAAGTTTATTGAGTTAGGTTTAAATTTCTCATAGTAGTTGAGGAAAAAGGCAAAGCTAAAACAAATATTGAGAATGTTTGCTATAATTTTGATAATAGCTGTACTTTTAATTATTAAAAGAAGGCCAACAACTTAGTTTATAAAACCTGTAAAGGATACGAAATGTCTGGAAAAACAGTTGTTTAAAAATACATATACTTAATAAAACCATTTAAAAATAGTTTTATTTGAAAAATGTGCCAAGACCCTATTTATATTTTTAAATTACTGTTAAAATTTTTCAATCACCTGTGCAGAAGATATGTCAGATGGTTTGTTTTCATCCCACTGAACTTTGCAGTTTAATTCCAACCAGTCCCCTTCAATGGGCACAAATGTAGAATAAACATCATCAAGACTGAACTTAAGATCACTATCTTTAATATATACAAAACGTTCCTGTCTTTGTACAACTTCACCTATAATTATGTGTTGTATCACATCAAAATTATCTTGCTCAACATGTTCTTCATCCCCCCAACTAATTCCTTGATTCTCCAATATTCTGACAACTACGATTCTCTCATTTGAATCACAGTAAGCTAGGTAAAGAACTTTGTCGTTGATATTGATGTTTACTGAACATGCAGATATATCAAAATACAACATGCCATCAATCAAGACATAGTGACTGTCACTAATGAATGTTATAGTTCCTAAAAAAATATTATTAGAACACATTAGTTTCACTAAAGCTAGAACAGTAGAAATGTAAAATCATAAATGTTAACTTTCATTTAATTTCAATTATCCTTTTAGTGGGATAAGATAAATGGATTCTGTTGAAGTAGTAGACTAAAGCAAATCATTTAATTACAACATTAAAAATAATATTATGATAACATGAAGTGATCAATGTAATACAACCACTTACACAGATCAGAATAAAAAAACTAATAGATATTTAAATTTAGATTTTACCTGTGCGTTGAAAACATTTAGCATCTCTTGGTATATCTGAATGCTCATTTTCATCGTTCATGTATTTCTGCTCATTAAGAGCCTCCAACTCAACTAATTGCTCTGCTAAAAAGTCTTCTTTCACTTCTTCACATAAATCTTCATTTTGATCATTAAAAAAGTAAGAAAATAATGATTTTAGATATGAAAGCATACTGAAGCTTTTATATTACTGCACAAAACCTTTATCATACTCAAATTCCCATTCAGTGGACTTAAGATAATCTAACTCTTTTCTCAATGACTGAATTCTTTTGTGGTGCATTTCTTTTTGAGCATTTTTCATTGATTGTTCTATACTATGGCCTATATCAACATGGTTGAAAGAATGATCAAAATTGGGGAGTCTATTTTGGGTTGTTCCCTGTAAAAGAATAACATATGTTTATTATTTCTATCTTTATAACCCAAAAAGTTCTCTGAACATGTCAGAGGATACTTTTATCACCGAATTATCAAAATTGGGGGGAAAACATTCATTGCCTTACCATATAACATCCCGTGATGAGGCCTTATGCTTTGAGGCACACTGAATAATAATAAATTAACTTATATGCTAATTAACTTATGTTAGTTATTTTAGTTTATTATCCTATTGATGATTAAGTTATGATGAAAGGGTTTATGGTATAGATTTGAAGTTGATATGGTACTTAAGGTATAGTTGAACTGAATAATTGTATAGCATAAATTTTATTTTAATAGCAATCAACATTGATTAATTGTAAGTGCAAACCTGAAAAAAAACATTTTTGTATACCTGGGGAGTTTCGGGCTCTGAAGGAGAATATGCTGTTTGAGATATGTTGCTAGATGTAGACATTACGTGTATGCTATTTATTTAATATATGGATTTCGATTTCAATGAACGTAAACCAAAAATATATGTTCAAAGAGGAATTAAACACTCACTCAGAAAGACTTATATAGTCACAGAACACATTTACTCCAAGTATACAGTAAACTCGTATCGTAGATATCACAGACCAAGAAGAAGATACTACGTATAGATGTTCTGTGATCGTAGAAAATACCAAAGAGTGTTTTATAGGGGAAAGAGAACCCTCTTTTGGAATTTTTTTGCCAACTCTTTGAAAGCAGCGCCTCTAGATCTCTAGATAATATTACTGTTTGGCTTAGTTCTAGGGTTGCCAACCGTACTCTAAAATAGAGTATTATCCTCTATATTATGTAGGCGTACTCTATAATCTATAACACTAATAGAGTACGCTAAAATACTCTTTTTTACACAATGTTTACTTAACTAGTCTGGGTCTGTAATAATATGCAAAAACCCATAATCAGAATAAAAAAACTCTACTATTTACTGTTAATATGTTGGTATCGCCGATTTCCCAAACCATATTCGAACGTTCCTGAACGTAGCCACTAATTTTTAGCATTTACTGAAAGAGTCTTTTCGGTTATGAATGTGAAGTGGCAAGAAGAGAGAAACAGAGATTCATTGAAATTGATCAAAAATGAACTCTTGATATAAAAGCAACAACAAAATAAAAACAAAATAAATGATACTAAAAAAAGTTGACAACCCTACTTAGTTCCCTTGCTTGTCCCATGGACGAAAACGAAAAACTACATACATAAATATTATATGAGTTTTATTATACTACTCTTTGATTTTACCACTTATTTCAAAATACTAGCGATAGGATTGGGCAAAAACGATCGATATATTTTACTGAAAAAATATCGATATAAATCAGCGATATTTTTCCCGCGATATATCGGCTTATATTTATTTTAAGTATCATAGTCAAGATATCAAATTCGTATCATAGTCAATATATTTTTTAAAGTTCTGCTGTCTGCTCATACGCCGCAGCATGTATTTCTTAAATTTAAAAAAGAAGTAGGCAGTAGGCTATATGAGTTTAGAAATTACAGTCTATATCCTGCTTGTCTTTTATGTTTCTTTATGACAGTGATACTGCTTGTTAGTTTGGTTGGTATCACTGAGAGTGCTCCTGAGGTTAATATCAGATAAATACTGATTTGTTTGAATAATGTATTTTTTTGTGTTGATGGTATTGTTTTGGCTTTATGCACTTATTTCAAATAAGAAAACAGCCCGGTGTTTATTTGCCCATAAATTTTGAATATTTTGTAATTTTTTATAGATAATCGCTTATTGCGCAAAAATATCGATTTATCAATAAATCGGTAGAAAAATATTAATATTTATCATATGTATCGATAAATATTGATATTTTTCTCACATTTGCATATAACTAGCGATAGGCGATTATTAGTAAAAAAAATCAATTTAGTCGATTGATCAGCTTGGTCGATAAAAGTCGATTACAGTTGATGTTATTCGATTGTTGTTAACAACTTAACATTGTGGCGGCAGGGAGCGGCCATGACACACTGCGGTTACCGTTATTACTAATACGATTCATTTCTAGCGCAGTGCCATATTACTAGGGAATGCAATCTCGTTGCAATCTCGTGTAAAAAAGGCCAAGATCTTGGCCTTTTTTAGCGAGATTAATCTCGGTCGAAAAATGAGCGAGATCTCGCGAGTTTAACGAGATTGCACTCGAATACACAAATGTCTTATTAGAAGCGCGGCAGCGTGTGAACTCATACGGAGCTGCGATCTATTTTGAAATTAGTAACAGCATTCGCATCTACAGAAAGATCGGTACTAGTATCACCTGCAAGTAGAATGAGGCAAAAAATTACTGACCACTTTTTACCGTTGAATACTTCTATGGAGAAAAAAGTATCAAGAATGGTATCTAAAGATGGACTGCCGTTCCGTATTTTCTGTATAAATTAAATAAATCAAAGTTTGTTACTTAAACGTTTATTTTAAAAAATAATATTAAATATTTCTTTTAGCTTTAGACTACTATTGTTTTGTAAAAAAAAGAAATATGCTATTGTTAAAATACTTATTTGATATAAGAAAAGAAGATAGATGTTTCCATATTTCATTTCTTGTTTGATTAGATACGTAAAAGTATATGTAAAAAAAATATACTGTTTTGTTAAAAACTACTTTTTAATTATCTAAAGATTTTTGTTTCTTTGTTAAAAAAGACGGGCTGTTAATTTTATTTCTTTAGATATTATTTAATTAGATACGTGAAACTTAAAACTATGTATAAAAAATGATAAATTCTAGAATGCATCAATTTCATTTTAATTTTAGACTTCTACCTCATGTGTTCATAAGTTTTGAGACCAACTGTTTACTAAAAAAATAAAATAAAATGTTACTGGCTGTTATTTTTACCGACTTTGATTTTGGAATGTTAACTTTTAGTTTATTTGTTTCGTACATTCGTTTGTTTATACGAGTATTTTCTCGTGGAACGAAACAATTACGTGCAACTGTCATTTCGCTATTTAAGGCGGGAAAAAACCAATGCAGATTTTCCGTGAGCTGAAAAGTTTTCCTGTAAGCTGTTAATTCGTCTATGACACAATAGAGATACTTATTGTATTACTTATCTCCATCTCTATCTTATCTCTATTGTATACAATAGAGATAAATAAAATAAATTAGTCCAAACACCCCAATACCATAAATAATATTATTTACAATGGTAAACAATACGAAATGCCGAAAAGACTGATTTGATTAATCAAATACACGACAAAGCAAAGGTTCGAGCAAGATGCTAAATTATAGACTTTATTTATATTTAACATGTGATGGCGTCGGACGCTTACCTAATTACTGAGCAAACAAAAAGCAATTTTATCACATAATATTAAGGTTGACCCTAGGAATAGGAATTGATTCACTTACACTAAGATCGAACGCGTCCGCGTCTTCACGCCTTTGTTTGTTTGAGTACGAGACTTATAAATACTCGAAACGCGTTGGTCGTCTTGAGTCTGTGTCCGCGTCTTCGCATCTCGGAGTCTCCGAGTTTGTGTTAGTGATGAGCCCCTCACTCGTGAGGTGACTCGTTTGAGTTCCTCATTTCGACAAAATGAGGGAGTACTCGTTTTTCAATTTTGAACCACCTCATTAAGCTCCTCGCTTTTTGAGTGAGGAGCTAAATGAGGTGGTGGAGTTTTTGAGTGAAGAGCTAAATAGCGAGTTATTTCGAATGAAAAGGCGACTCGATACATACTCAATATATTTAAGATTGAGGGAATGGGTTAAGTTTTGTGAGTTTTTTGGAACGCTTCAGGTTTGTTTATGTGTTTCTTCGCAAATACGTATTTAATATTTTATAGATAAATGATATTAATTAGTCTAAGTAAAAACCAAAGTTAATAAAAATGTATCGGTTTTATTTAGAAATATATTTATATGATTCGAAATATAAATGATTGATTTTAAAAATGGTACATTAGGCACTATTGCAAATAAGTTGCGTGTTGTGGTGATTCTGTTAAATAATAATCTAATAAAGTTTATTTCTTAGAATCTAAAGACAAAATATGTTTTTTTTTAGCATTATTACCGACTCCCTCCCTCATTTTGTACCAAACGGCAATGTTGCACGCGCCTCGCTACATACTCATTCACTGCTACTATAACATTACCTATCCTCACCTCAAATGAGTGGTAACTCACGAGCCCCTCACGAGGAAAAATGAGGTCCTCACTCATCCTCATTAAAAAAGAGTGAGTAACACAACGCTAGTTTGTGTGAGTACGAGACTTCTAAGTACTTAAAACGCGTTGGACGTCAGTGTCGCCGAGTCTAGGGATTTGTGTGAGTAACGAGTAAGTCCATACTTCTAAATACTCAATACGCGTTGATTGCTTGTTCGATACTTAGTATTTAGACGTTCAAGCAAAAACTTATTCCAGTAAATACGTTCAGTCCTAGATATCAGTGATCTGTGCGCATATCAATATGTCAAGCAAAACGTCAGTGTTCAAAAATAATGAATTTTAATTCAAATGTTTAATCCAATCGAATTAAAACGTTTAATATAATATAAATATAAGACATCATGTCTGAAAAGAAATGTATTTACAAAGCTCATGACAGTGAAGAAGACGATGTCTTAGCTTCACCTTGTTTTAAAATTGGTCCAGAAGTGCAATTGAAGGATGTTCCCACTACTGGTGAAGAATATCTTCTCAGAGTTATGAAAGAACGACAAAATTATTCAGCAGTAACTAAATGTACAAAGGATTATTCGAAGTATTTAAAAAATCAGTCATGTTTTGTTGTAGAGGTAAGATTATATGTATCTTGCAGACTTTAAGATCGATTAAAATAATAGTTTATAAAGATTGAGTTGCCTAAAAGACTATATACATGAGGGTGAAGATACTTTTGATGGGTTATTTGAATATACTTAACAAGATGCCCATTGGCACCAATCTTTAATATTATTGCTTACTTTTTTGTATAACTTAACTATTTGCTGAAATGGGCAAATAGTTAAGGTTTGATTTTTAAATTATTTCACGCTTCCCCATTTAATCTTGTTGAACATGAATAACTACAACTTTAATCCTCTGATTTTATATCATGGGTTTCAAGCCAGAGGGGTGTATTCACAAAAATTAGTTATTTTCTTATAATGCCAATCTTTTCTAAGTTCATCAATTAACTAAACCATTTTTTTTGATAATTGGCCCATTAATAATAGTGTAATACTTTTTGATATATGACTGACAGACATGTTTGTTTCATGTCATTGTTTCATGTCTCTTGAAAAGTAAGCATATTGCTTATACACCCTTATGGCTTGAAGCCTGCAATGCTTGCTGCCATAATTACTATGTAACTAACCTTAATCTTCACAAATAATGTTTCAGGTTCCGCATGCTAAAGCCCCAGACACACTTATACCAACTATAGAATGGCAAAATATTCAAGTGGCAGACTTTTCTGATGTTCGAATGTATATATCTAGATTACAAGCAAACAAATCACTGTGGCCAAGTAGTTTAGAAAAAATTAAGATTAGAGAGAACACTTTAAGAGGTTGGAAAGATTTTTTTGTTCAAAGAGAACCAACATTGTCTTGTGTACTTGGATTACCATCTACTCTTTTAGATAGAGGTCTGGAAGTGCTGACAGAAATATTAGCTGAAGTAAAATATGGAGAGTCAATAGATCACAAAACTGGTATTTGTTATTTTTTATAATTATTGTTAATAGCAAAAAACACTCACAGTTTTGTCGCCCAAATGTCACTTTTCTTTAGTATGTGGGTACAATATCCTACTCTCAAGTAGTTTCCAAATTCTCTAGCTTTAATTATGCTTAGATACTGGTTAATACAAAAGACCAAATTTCTAGAGAATTGTGTGTAATGTGGTACCCTAATGTGGTCATTGCTCTAATTTTTTATATAATTTCAGGACAATGGATTTATGCATTCTTAGCATGTACAAGACAACCACTATTATCTGATACAATTAGTATATTAAGAGACTTAGCTAGAAAATGTGCTGAAATAAGGTATGTTTCTATGAAATTACATTTCAAAAAGCATAGTATTGTAGTGGATGTTGCTGGTTTAGTTACAATTTCTCATATTAAATTCATAAAAAAATAAACTATGTCACATATTTTGCTAAGATAATATGACAATAATAGTTTATTTAAAATGTTGTTTGCAGGTCTCATATAAAACCCGATGATGAAAACTCCAAACTTTTTGCAGCACCCCTTAACATATTTATATGCATAATAGCTAGGTATTTTAGACAATATGATTTAGCTGATTAATTTTTATGTAAATTAGGATTTTATTTTATCAAGATAAATTTAACATCTGTGCAAAAATGAAGACAAAGCTAGGGAAAAGTTGAAAATGAATATTTTAAAATATGGACTCTACAACATATATTTGAGCTTTAAAGTTTTAACTGCTAATTAAATAAGGTTGTACTTGAACTTTTGGGGCTTATATATATGTATGTTTCATTATATCATTGTGAATATTTTTAATTTATGATCTAGCTTATGAGAACATAAACTTATAAGATTGTTTAAGACTGTGTTTCCCAAACTATGAGGTTGCCAGCAAACAGTGAATGGGTTCTAATAGGTGATTTGCCACTGACATTTTTTTTGTTACTATTATATACAAATAACAGCATTAAAAATCTCCAAAACTTAATAGAATCACTAATCAGTCTATGCTGTTACATGCACACATGAAAGTCTAAGCTAACAGTATGCAAATCAATGACCGGAGTCCATGTTTCAAGAACAACTGATATTTATGCCCTCTTTTTCTCTAAGACAGCTAACAGTTGGGTCCCAAGATGGAAAAGTATTGTTAGATAGATGGGATGGAGACTTTTTAACTTTGGTAATCCAATTCGAATTAGTTATAGGTGGATAATATAACAAACAATGTTTACAATGATAGGATGAATATTATATTCAACTATAATCTTTAAACTGGTTGAATCATAAAAATCATGTTCAGTTTAATTATCACCTAAAATCTAGATGAATATTTAGTTTTATATGTTTACATAAATGTTTAGAGCCTGAATTCCCTTAAATGTTTAATGAGAAATTACAATAATGGATTCATAAATAAAATATTTTGGAATATAAGATATACTTTTTATTAATTGAAATATTTTTCCGTGAGTTTTGCTGTTTGTAATTCGAGACGTGGACCTGAAAATCGTGGTATAAAGTAGAAACTTCTAAGGAAACTCTTGGTCATCTACATCGTAATGCACGCCAACTTGTTTTCTGACAGCATCCTCAAGTTTTGCTAGTATAAGGCTTTCGCTATGTGGAAAGCGTGGTGACTCCAAAAGCCCTAAAATAAAAATTTGTTCATAATTATTGTTCGTCGATTCTTATATTTTTGCAAGGTAACGAGATAGATAACGATCTAAGAGTATAAAAATAAGGTATGATGGGAGAATTTAAGAAATTATGCCTTATTGAAATAAATAACAAGGTCTATTCACTTTATACTACTAGTATTTTTACTACGCCATATAAACTATACATACTATAATATTAAAAAGAGGGAAGAGATTTGATTGTTTGTTTGCATAAAATAGGCTCCTAAACTAATATCACATCATAGGAGCACCTTCTATGATGTAACTTCCCATAGGTGTCACCACTCACCACATAGGCTATAATTTATTCAATATAAGTAAGTATATATAGTACAGCGATTCCCTAAGTGGTCCAGGTGGACCTCCGGGGTTCATGAGGGATTCAACGGGGTCTTCGGTGGCGTGAATTTCCTTCGTTAGATCTTCACATTTTGGACCAATTTTGGGAATATGGTAAAAATGTAGCAGCAGGGGATTCCACCGAAACCAGTAATTTTTTTTTAATGGTCTACGAGAAAAAATTGTTTGGGAACCTCTGATATAGTATGAAGAAAAATACCTTCACGTAAACATTTTACAACTTCTAAGGTCTGGTAAACTAAGCCGGCGCTATTTTCAAAGTTGTAATGTAGATTAGATGAATGCCGGGGAAAATCTTCAACGGTACCATCCACGTGAACGAACTTCTTTGGGAAGTGAAAGGGCTCTTCGATCTGATAACAATAATTATATTTTAATGATTAAATTGACGATTCTATATACAGTAGCACATCAGTTTATTACAATACATACGCCAAGAGCTTAGGATTTAAAATCGTTCTGTATAACTTGGCATGCTATTGAATGTACATCACTACATAGTATAAAACAGAGTCGCATTCTCTGTCCTTTATCCCTATGTATGCTTAAATCTTTAAAACTACGCAACGGATTTCGATGCGGTTTTTTTTTCATAAATAGGGTGATTCAAAAGGAAGTAAGTAAGGAAGGTTTTTATGTATAACACTAACCACGTGGGCGAAGCCGCTGGCCTAAAGCTAGTTATAGAATAAACCCGATCAAATGCTAGTCGAACTAGCGCACGTCCGTACAAAGGGGCTTGTTTAGTTCCGTTCCGTACGAATATTAAACTTAAAACATTCGACTTCTTGGGCTGTATTTATATGAGAATTATTTTGTGCCAATGCAACGCGGCGCCGGCCACAAGAATTTTTTTATCGCCTCTTCGGTGCCGATTCTAATAGACTTTCAATAAATAGAGATAAAATTGAATAATGAATGGACACGGGCACGCAGCTAACACGTGGCCACCGCGCGGTCTCTTTTTGCTTATCGCGTCCTATAGTTTTTTACATTAGATCTTACAGTTACAGTTTTTTTTTAATTATAAATAAGGTGAAAATTACCTCTTTCACTTAAAAAAAAAAACTTAAATGTTTGACACCCACGTCCAGTTGCATAAGCGTTCTTTAAAGTTTAATGACGAGTTTATGCTCTAATGAATGTTCTAAATTTGGAAAGAGAGAGAAATCACTAGTATTTACGCCGTTAGCAGACCGAAGCAACTCTAACCAATGACAGTAATGTTGCTTTTAACTAATGAACAATTCTAATATACGTTTGTGCAATGGGAAGCCAGTTGCAACGTCCATTGAAATTCTTCGTTAAACCTGGACGATTGTGCAAGTGACCGTGAGTCTTATTAAAATTGTCTTAATTTATTCCGAAACAACAAGAATAAGTTTGATTAGACTTGTAATCGTACGTAGACGTGATGTCAATGCAGATTAAATGATAGGGTGCACCTTTTAATCAGAGTTGACGTCATGTCTACCAAACGTAGGTACTCATGTAGTCGCAGAGAAAATTAACCGTAACAGACCCCCTTTGCATTACTCTTCTGGCACTCGTTGTTTTCTTACCGTGGCTCTTCCTTTAGTTCCGACAACTGTAGCTTTGTTCCACAGTTTAACTCTAGTATCCACGTTAAGCACAGCACGTCCGCCGCATTCGTATTCGAGTACGACTGTATCCACGATATCAACACCGTTCTCGTTTAGAATGCCTGTAGCTGTTATTTTTACGGGTTCAGTTTTGTACACGAATTGTGCGAATTGTAATACGTATATTCCGATATCGAGAATGGCGCTGCCACCCAAATCCTTTTTGCTGTAAAAAAAATTAAAACCTACAGTTACGAGTACCGTGTAGAAGTTAGACAAACATTTATTGAAATAGTTAAGAGCAATCTAACTAATACTACATTAAATTTCAGTATAAATTCTGGCACATAAGTTGAAGTATGCGCAGTAGCACATTTTAGGGTCTCGATCGAGGTGCGGGGGTGAAACGAATTCTACCTACAATTCATAAGGTTAAAAATCAAGTGGAGAGATTTGACAGTTTTGTATACTATACTTGCGTGAAAAATTGCCATTTTGGTTGAAATTACATGCCGTGCATCATAGTATGAACTGAAGTTGACTAACTTGAAATTAATTATTATATTTCTTAATGTTACATATATTAATATTAGAAATACTTTAAATAATCGATGTACGCGATGTCGAGTATATTGTAATTGTTATAATTTCTAACTTACGTCACTCTGTCTACTTTCCCTATAGGAGTGCCGAAGTTGACATCAACGTGCTTTATCTCTCCAAGTTTTCCTGATTTTATTTCTTCTTCTAAAGCCAAATAAGCCGGTGAAAAGCGTGACCAAACGGCTTCCATCAAAAATAACTTCTTCTTTTTTGCGAAACTCAGTAAACTTTGTGCTTGTTTAAAGTTAAGACAAAGCGGTTTTTCACATAACACATGTTTACCGTTTTCCAAAAAAAGTTTGCTGATATTGTAGTGGTCTTGATTCAATACACCCACATATGCGATATCTACAATAATAAAGATGGTTACCAATTTTGCATTCACAATGCTGTTCTGAACAATATCCTCAATTAAAAATGCTTAAAAAAACACTTTGTCTCTGGCACTCTGAGATGGGACACAAACCCATTCCAGACAAAGTAGATTTATTAAGCATTTCTCATTAAGAATATCAGATTCTTATTTTAAAATCGAATAATATTACATTGATCGAAACAATTTATTGACTACCCCGAGCATGATTCGAAATGCTTTCAAAAATACATGCGAAATAGGTAACTATGCCTTAAGTGCGCATAAAGATGAGAAAAAGAGACAAAATCTCAAGACAAATGATGGTGTATTCTATTGTCCGAAATAAAGAGTCAAGATTATCCAGAACTTTTACTAATTATTAATAAAAAATTTCATAATTTTTAATTACAATTTATTTTTATTTCTTTAGTCCATAATCATAATTTCGTTTAGGAATTAAATTTTTTTTAAAAGCTTTAAAACAATATTAATCAAACTCGTTACATGCATATAATTGTATGCACTTCCAACTGACAAACCTATGTCCTTGCTCTGTGCCAATGCTTCATAGTTCTCAAAAACTTTAGGTATATTATGCAGTTTCGCGAACTCTGCTGCTCTTTGCGAGTCTCTAGCAGCTACAGCAGTAATTACTTGATCTCCCTTGTCTGGGAACGTGTTCATTGCGTTCACAAAATCATGGCCAATTTTGCCAGCACTTACAATACCCCATCGGATAGTCATCCTGTACAATATTAGCAAACAACTAGGGTTAGAAAGCGAAAACAACTCACTATCCTAAGTATTATACTCTGCCTAAATGAAAAGTAAGAAATTGACGAACGACACGAGACGCCCAATATATGGCCAGCGAAACTTGAATTGTTGACGTGATTATGCGACCGGCACTTCCAAGCCGGCTACTACAAATACTGAACGAACCCACATAAGTATAGTACCAACATTATGTCACATTATTCCGAAAATAATTGCTGAACGAATATAAAACGTATTCCAAAGTACATAAAGAACTATTTATAAATTCAATTCGTCGAATCTGACAGGTGATATTTATCAATACCACTATTTAAAAGCGTCTGTTGATAAATATTGTGATCTATTCTTAAGAGTACACGCTGCGATAATTCATCTAAATTAAAAAACACTGTATTTACACGTTCTGTGCTAGTTAAATTAATAAAAATGTACTTACTTTAATATGGCTATAGTCGAAACGTCCGTACGCAGCTAGCCTCACAGGCGCTTTTATTGTGAACGTATCACTCCATCAACGTATGCGGCAGATAACGCCATTACAACGCAGTTTTATCTCTTAAATGTGATTAACCGATCGATTCGCTTATATTTTTTTCTTTTTCGTAACTAGACGATTGGTTGATTTTGGATGTGCAGTTCTGGTATACATAGGGTTGCCAACGGTACTCTAAAATAGAGTATTGTATTGTACAGTCTTATAACACTGATAGACGCTAAAATACACTTTTTTTTCACAATGTTCATGATACAAGTGCCACTCACACATTACATACATTATAGGCTAGTTGACTTTTTTTTATAAACAAATACTCCACTAATATCTGAGAAATAATGTAGCAGTAACAGCATTTCTGTAATTAATGATTTCGAAGATACGGTGTTATGCTTATGGAACTGCTGTTAGTTGGGCGAAAAAAACTTAAAAATGCAAGCCGCGAAGTGACGTCACGCCGTGTTTCGGTAGCGATAAATGACTGGGCGATGGGCGTATGGGCAATCTTTATAATACCTTTGTTATTTTGGAATATAGGGAAAATATCCCTACTTTTTTCATGTTTTCAAATCGTAATACTTTCCAAATTAGTGTAATAAAATTTGCTTTGCAAAAAAATTTTATGAGTTAAAATTGTTCATGTTTTGTAGTTAACAACCCTAGGTATACACAAAGATATTTGCTTAATATAAAGGGAGGCAGTCCAGATAGGGTGTTGATTCATAACGATAAATAGGAAGTGGGATGGGAAAAACAAAGTCTGGCAAGAGAGGTACTGTTGATAATTTATTAGCAATTCCTGTAGCATTAAACATTGCTCTACGAATTTAATCAGAAAAACTGCACAAATTGATTAAATGAAAATGTTTGTTTTTCTTTAATATTGAAAGAATTTTTGAATACTGAATTTACACTCTGAACTTATAATCCAAATTGTTATTTATAAGATACTTAATCTAAATTAAAATTGTTTTATGATTCGTTCAAATTTTACAAAGTTCTTATGACTTTATTATTTTTGGACTAATTCTTCTATTAAAATGCACATATATTTTTTTTTATTATAAGTAAAAAATAATTGAACGATTCTTTCTGTGCAATCAACCAGAAAATTTCGAAGTTGTAAATTAATATTATTTTTTCTATTCGTTTTAGTGTCATCATCAGCCCTTTTTACACCCCCACTGCATGGGTTAAGTATGAATGGACGAAATCACAAAAGTACTTGTAATTTGTTGAAAAGTTAAGAAATTAGACTGATTACAAAAATAGATGTAAGAATAATATAATATGCAATTTATTGCAATTAATAATATAGTATTATTCGGGAATTTGCTTATCAAGATTAAACTTTAAAAAGCTACTTCTAAAGCCTGTTTTACGTCTGCAAGAAGATCTTCAGGGTCCTCCAGTCCTATTGAAACTCTCACCATAGAATCTGTGATGCCTAGCTCTGCTCTTTGCGCAGCCGTTAATTCTACGTGAGATGTTACGCATCTGTAATAAGGTCAAATAAAAATCAGTGTCAAATAAAAAAAACTGCAAACAAATATGAATCTAATTCTTATCAGATTAACTTCTTCAAATTTTGGATGTCGATTTAGATACAAACAGAAATCAGAATACCAAAAGATCATGGCCAAATATTCTTTCGTTTAATAAGAGATTGAAATTGAAATAAATACTTTACATAATTTATCAAACTATGAAAAAATGCAAATTAATCTGGAAGTTTAGTGACAAGAAACAAATATTTTCACTATTGACTTTTGATGTTATCTTACAGAATTGCCAGTATGCAATAGGCTGGTTGATAACTTTTCTTTTAATTTTTAAATAGACTAGCTTTCCGCCAGCGGCTTCGCCCGCATGGTCTTGTATTATACTATCATAAAAACCTTTCTTTTTAATCACCCGATCTATGAAAAAAAACCGCATCCAAATCCATTACGTAGTTTTAAAGATTTAAGCATACAGGAATATAGGGACAGAGAAAGCGACTTTGTTTTTATACTATGTAGTGATAGTCCATTAATATCTGAGAAATAATGTAAAAGTAACAGTATGTTTGCGATTAATAATTTCGGAGATACGCTCCCTACAAATCAAAGGCACTAAGTGACGTCACACAATGCTACGGTAGCGAAAAACGTATGGGCGTCTGGACAATCTTTGTTATTTATGCGTTTATGTTTATAGCTGTCATAAAGATAATATTTTTAATTTAATGTATTTTAGTAATATATTTTCCCTACTTTTAACAAGTTTTCAAAGCGTAATATTTTTCAAAGTAGTATCATAAAATTCATTTCGTTAAATATTTATGAGTCAAAATGGTTCATATATTTTCCGAACATATAACAGAAACCTGTATTTTCAAGTTTAGGACACAAACCTATTCATATTCGAATTTAGATTAGATAATTAGTATTCCGCCAGTCCAGTAAATTAATAAAGAAGTTAAGAGATGATATAATTTGTTATTAGTTAACAAAAATGGTAATTTAGCGAATTTCGTTAGCTTTTCTCACAAAAATCTGGGAAACTACAGTTAAATTTGTAACCTTAAAAAATTAGAAGTAAATCATGATACAATTCGAAACTAAATTCCATACTTCGATGGGCAGTTTCCTTTATGCAACCGATTTAGAATTTTATCTGCTAGTCATAAAAGTCTATCAGTCAAAACTTGACAGTAATTTTTAATAAACGCAGGTCTGCCACATCTCGATTCACTTCGTGAGTTTGAATAAGTAATGGATCGTAAGATTGTGGATTGATATGCATACTTGCATAGCTTATACAAGAGGTTAATAATAATACATGTTGACTGCATTTTATTCAACTAATTGCTAAGTGGTCAACGCGCTGTTGACCATTATTATTATTAGCTCATTATTAGCACGCTTATTAATTCTTTTATTTTGTTTTTTTACTCCAAAATCAAACCAGTAACCTTCTTATCGTATATTATACTTACGGGGATCCAGCTAAACTTTCAACACCTCCCAAGCTATCGGCTAGAGTAATTACTTTCAATGCGAGCAGGAACTTTGTCGAATTCTCTAAATTACCACAATGATCAAAACTAAATACGCCGGAATGTCCACGTGACTGCTTCATCATCAATTCATGCTGCGGATGCGATGGCAAACCTGCAAAATTGGAAAATTAAACCTAATCCAAAGTGCAGACACCCAAAATAAAAGGCACATACAATAAATTGAGCTATGCACAGTAATTAATACACCAATACAATCGCATGCGATAGCGAAGCAAAAAAGCTTGTCAGTTGTATGGCAATGTTTAGCATATTCTTTGTCTCGCCCTATTTTTAGCTCGACGAAATAGCTACGTCCTTGTCGGAGTTTCGCAGGTAACTGCGAAAAACGTCATTACACAGACGATGTTTCGCAGATGTTACGCATTCGCAAGCGAATGCCTCTGTGTAGTAATCGCATTAATCTAGGTTCGTATCTTTATACGAACCTAGATTAATGCGATCCATAATTATACAATCCATAATTACTGCGCAAAATTATCTGGTAGTCGTGAGCGCATTGTCAACACTTCATCAACTTGTATCGGGCCATTAGACGCTCTTGATCAGATTGATCGTGTAATGTGTTGTAATTGATGCCAGCTTGAATCGGATCACATATTATCCAGATGATTTGATTTTTGTCATTAATTTGAAACTTTGATCTGATCACGAACCAGATTGATCGCCTAATAGGTAAAGCATCGCGTTGATATTGGCGGCTCGATTGTTTAACTGATTGATTGATCTCAAAACGAAGAAAAAACGGCTGATTTAAAAGCCGCCAAAACGTTAATTTAATTTTATTATCTGTTAATAAAAATCTCCTCCAAAATATTGTTTTACCTATAACCCTACTTTTAAATTTCGATATTCTAGATGAAATGACAGTAAATTAGCTATTCGGTTGATCCAATTCCAGCCTGTTAATTGAATGGCGCCTTTCAAATAAAGGGCTAGCCTCGCAATGAGACGGCTGATTTAACCGCTTGGCTGCGACACATACATAACAGTTCATATTTTGATAGAATTAAGTTCGAATGGAGCGTCGAGTAGGTATAAGGTGCCTTATCTTGATTCAATAGATTGTTAAATAGAGATTTCTTTATCTATATATAACGATAACAATAATGTTGATTAATGTCAAGTGGAATTAAGTCTATCGAAGAATAAACTTTTAAGTAGATAGTATTTCTTAAATAAAGACTACTACATAATAATTTATAAATACTGACAATCTATTTTTATAGAATTATGATGAAATCTTGTGATGCAGTTACGTGATCACAGTTAAATGCATATTTGCTTATCAAGTTATTACCTGGATGCATGACTTTAATTATTTTTGGATGTGTTTCCAACCATTTAGCTATAAACAGCGCTGATGTCATATGTCGTTCCATACGAAGCGCTAGCGTCTTCAGACTTCTGTTTACTAGATAACAATCAAAAGCAGATGGTACTCCTCCCATGGCTGAAATATGGTGTTACAATATAAGTTATGGTTAGTTTCCAGAATGTTACCACATTACTATATGAATAATATTTTATACCTATGTGTTCGCTATAAATTTTAATGACATGAGAAGTTTACAAAGGAAACTTTTATCTGGATGGGAAATTGCAAAAGGGTAGGGCTCCGATTGCTGTAAGATAAAAATTAGAGAGTAAGAAAGAATGATTTTTATGATCAAATAAATTATATTGTAATAAGCAAATAACAATAAGAGGTCCCACCAAAAACTTTTCATGTAAAATGTTGCCAAGACGATAGACGCTATATAACTCGCACTGTCAAAAGTTTTTAGATCTTATGTAGAGCCAAGTCTCTAATGTACAGGCATTAACTTTACACATTTAGCATTCAAAATATGTGACTCGGACGTTCCGTTACAACAATAACTATATTGTATTTATAAGAGAGTAGTAATAAACAGTACAGTTATTACTACTCTCTTATAAATATATAACCTTACGCCTATGTGACAGTAGCAAAACAGTTAAGTCACATGTTTCGACTATGGTAAGAGTTTTTAAAGTTAGAGCTTGTTGAATTAGAATCTTTGTTCTACATAAGATCTGAAAACTTTGACATTGCAAGCCATATTTAACACCACAGTCCTATGATAGAGTCTTGGCAACATTTTACATAAAAACGTTTTCTTGGAATTTGTTTTATTTATATTATGAAACTTACATTCCTGTAGAAACTTAAACCTTTTCCCCAACTCTTCGTCCTTAACTATCACTGCTCCCATTATCACATCAGTATGGCCATTTATATATTTCGACATAGAATATACGACGATGTCGACTCCAAAGTCCAGAGGATTTTGTAGATACGGTGTAAGGAATGTGTTGTCTACTGCCACTAGTATGTTACCGTGACTTCTTGCCACCTCAACTACAGCGGCGATATCTACCACTTTCATTAAAGGATTGGTTGGAGTTTCCAACCAAATAATCTGCAGATTAGGGAATACTATTATTCTTAAGTATTGCGAAATGCATACGAACAATATATTACAGGCTAACGTCAATTAAATTCGTCTATGTTGTCCCAGTACAGCAGTGATATTCTATTAAAAAAATTAAAAAGTCAAGAACAGCGCTGTTATATATTGTCAAAGGTTTTATTTCATTGAACCTGTACGCTGTGACTTCGTCATCGCCATTGATGGTCACAGGTGATAATAGTAATTATACAGGGGACATACATTTTCTATCATGGCGCGCAATAGGGATTTTGTCGGCTTTTCACGCACACTTCAAAGGAATCTTAGCGTAGCATGGCATGTGATATTTAAATATATTGCTGGTGCAAGAAAAAATTAATAATTAAAAAATTAGATGTGTTGTATTAAACGAATCAGAACCCGAAATTTAGCAGTAATTACTTAAATTTGCCAGACTGTATCTACTAGTCTTAAAAGGATTGACAGGTGAGTTCAAATTGTAGGAATTTATCAGTTTGTGGTATGCAGATGTGCTGCGATGTAAAATGCTGGATTACGCCAGAGCTATAAAATTACTAGTACCCAGTTGCATAAAAGTCCGTAAAAATTAACGACGACTTTAAGCTCTAAGTAATGTTTTAAATTTCAAAATCTGTCCCGGTAATGTCGCTTTAAACTAATGACAATTTTAATGGATGGTTGTGCATCTGGTTGTTGGTGACAGTATTATATTCTCTGGTATTAGGTACAAACCTTGGTATTATCTTTTACTGCTGCTTTCACTAATTCTATATCTGTGAAGTCTGTATATGTTACTTCTATGCCGCTTCTGGTACATGAATCACTGAAACACGATTGCCACATTAATGTCGTCTTCGAAGTAACTAATAATTAGGTATGTTGTACATTCGAACTTCAAACTAATCCTACTAATAAAGGGTGTCTCAGCGCCGATTTTAAACTTTAAACACGAATTTCTCGGGAACCTGCGGGGCTAGCGGGAGGGGAGTGGTAGCGTTCGGTTGGTGACGAGTGCGGATTTGTTAGTCGCCATACTGTAGTCTTTGGTCGCCATGTCGCAGTGGTCTGGCGCACACCGTGCGTACGCAGTAGAGGCGTACTTTTGCAATGAGTTTTCGTTGAGTGAAGCACAGCGCAAGTTTTGTAATCGCTTTGAAATCCGCCGTTTAAATGACGCCCCGAGTATTCAGTTAATTAAGTCGTGGGTAGAAAAGTTTAGAGCGACGGGATGTTTACTGAATCATTCAATTCGCTTTCGAAGTAGACCTGTGAGATCGATTGAAAACATCGATCGCGTCGCCGCTGCGGTTGCGGAGCATCCACGACGATCACTTAGAAAACATGCTGCCTCTTTGAGCCTCCACCGTTCAAGTCTTCAACGAATTTTGGCCTTAGACTTAAAATTACATCCTTACAAGATCCAAATAGTTCAAAAAATCAAACCAGAAGACTACAACAAGCGAAAAATTTACTGTCAGAAGATGTTAGAGATTTTTTCAGAGGAAAATGGGATCGACAATGTTTACTTTACTGATGAGTCACATTTTCACCTCGAAGGGTACGTCAATCGTCAAAATTGCCGTAACTGCTCATCAAGCAATCCAAAAGAAAATATCAGAAAGCATTACACAGCCCCAAAGTTACTGTATGGTGTGCAATATCGGCGAAGAAAATCATCGCGCCATTTTTCTTCGTGAATGACCGACGTGCAACGATTACCGTGACGAGCGAATGGTATATTGATATGATTAGTAATTTTTTTGTGCCGCACCTGCAAGAAGAGAATATTGACAAGTCAAGTGTGTGGTTTCAGCAAGATGGGGCCACAGCCCACACAGCTAGGATCTCCATGGACGCACTAAAAGCGTTGTTTCCGGGTAAAATCATCAGCCGCTTTGGAGACATATTGTGGCCACCCAGATCTCCTGACTTAACTCCAGCTGACTTTTTTTTTATGGGGTTATCTCAAAGGAAGAGTTTATGGTACCCCTCTTACGAGTTTGGAGCAGTTAAAAGCTAAAATAACGACAGAACTGAGAGCCATATCAGTTGACGTTCTGCGGCGTGTCTCTGCAAATTCGCTTGTCCGCTTTGAAGAGTGCATTCGCCGTGATGGAAGACATCTTGACGGTGTAATATTCCGTACATAAAATCCGCAACAATACATTATAATTTACTGCAATTAAAATATTTCAAATACAATTTGTTTTTTTTTAATAAATATTTAAAGTTTGAAATCGGCGCTGAGACACCCTTTATTAAAAAGGCGAAAGTTTATTCACGCACAAAATTACTGAACAGATATTGATGAAATTTGGTATATGCATAATACGGATGATGACAAAACTTATTTTTATTTAAACGTTAAATTACGGTGATACATTAGGTTCTTTAACTTTTGTACGTTTTCTGCAAAACTGTGACGTAGCGAACCCCTACTTATTGTTAAACTAAAGTAAAAAAAATACGTATATAATATTTTTCTATTACCTGATGGACTAAATAGAATTGCTTTTTTTTCTATCCAGTTATCTTCCCTATTCTAAGCCTGAATTAACATATAGGCTATTATATAACTGTTTAGGGGTAAAAATACTGTCAAAGCCATCATGTTAACCTCTCGGGCGAAACCGCCGCTGGTGGTAAGTTACTAGGTTAATATAATATTGTACTAACCTGAAACGTACCATAGTGCCTCCGTATACATCACTGCTTGATAGAAGATGATCACCTTGCTGAAGCAAGTTTACTATGGCCGTCACAGCAGCTAGGCCTGAGCCAAACGCGATTGCGCGGCTGCCACCATCTAACGCCACCAGACATTCTTCCAACGTCTTCCTGGTTGGATTACCTGTCCTCGAATAGTGATAACCCTGTTTAATGTGAAAAGTAACGATATATTAGGTGTCGAAGGGTCGGTTAGAAGCTATCCTGGCCGGATGCTGGACTATCTCGGAAAGTGGTTTAACCTAATCAATAACTTAGAATTTAATTATGCTCTGCCTAATAGTATTTTGATAGACTTATCAAGATGTCACGTAACATTGAAAAGAAATTCGTCTGAAGAATGTATATGTGGGTATATGTTGTGGCCCAATCGTTGATAGAAATCTGCTCAGGCATATCACGATATGTGCGTACTGAAAGTTATTTACGAGTTAGCGTGAGGTGTGATGGAGAACGACTGGCGAGCGCGAGCGTGTCCCTAAACTTACATATAGAGGTGGGCGGTAGGAGAAAACCCGGGTTGTTTCTCATCTCTGCTTACATTGTACATTGGTCATCCTACAAATTGATTGGCCTGAGTATAGTCGGGCAAATCGTCAAATGTTAAGGATTGAATGGCATGGCAGATGATACATGGCCAAATCAAGAAAAGGCGGCATATCGTGATATGCCCGGTCAGATCTCGATCGGCCCAATTCAACGATTGGCCCACGACATATATAATATATATTAATTTTATAAAGAGGATTTGATCGTTTTTTTGCGGTAAAACTGTTTTTATAGTTTTGTAAGTATATTTATAAACAAGATACATTTATTACAAACATTTTTCCATTATTATCATAACGAAAAAATGAGTTAATTTATTACAGGTAATTATAGTATTATAGGTTAATTAATTATTATAGCTTTCCGCCAGTGGTTCAATGAAATAAAGAGTAGCATATATGTTAATTCAGGCTTAGAATTATCCGTGTACCAAATTTTTCGCGTGAAAGAGTAACAATAAAACATCCAATCCTCAGAAACTTTCGCATTTATTATATTATAGTCATCAATGATCCTTTTACGTCTCCACTGCATGGACTCGGGCCTTCCTTATGGATGGTTAAGGAGGATAGGCTATGACCCTCCACGCTGGCCGAAAGAGGATCGGAGGGTATTAACGACTGCAAATGCAGCCGGGACCAAAGATAATAATATTTTGGTCACCCATCCCGTGACCGACCCTTGCAAAAGTTGCTTAACAACAACGGTCTCAGGCCACGGCGCTTATATACGACGCCATCGAATATATAATATTATAGTAGGATAGTACGATACTGACATTATGTTTTGATGGACTTGGCTTTTTGTACGTAGCAGATGTGACAATAGGTGGCGTTACAGCTGCTGAATTCCATTTCTCTGGATCTTGTCCAGCTCGTATGGCCACTGTCGCGAAGCCAGGTTTCTTTTTCAACACCATCATATTAGAATCTGTCATCTAAAACACCGAAAATAAAATTATTAAGGCACTTTTCGCAATATCAAGTATCCTTACGTGTTTATATGACTTATTTTAATATGATACTAACTGTAATTATTATTTCCAAGATCGAATATTCACAATAAGGTAACAACCAGTGTATTGAATGCCAACAACGATATTGTTACTTTTTTTTAAATAGCGCTCTCTTATTAGGAATGAATGATATCCATTGATATCACTGCCTGATCCCGAGGCTATCAATTATAAGTTAAATTATACCTAATATCTGGTCTTTTATTTTTAAATACTTTAATGACCCCTGAGAGAGTCTGTTGTCTGTGGGTTTTAAGTTTATGAGTTTTATGAAGGGTCCTCTTTTTGCCAATTCCCACCATATTACTAGTACAATAGGTACTCAAAAATGTAAGTTTGATTAACAAAGAGGCTCATGAATAATAGCGCGAAAATAAAATACCTATAAGTTATTCAAAATTAAAGACCAGCTATACTATTTTGTTAAACAACAGGCTTAAATTCGACGTCGAACATTACGCTGTGACAGTATATAGCCTCAATGGAATAAAACCTTTGTTATCTATTAAAGTAAGTTTTATTTGATCGAACTTGTATGTTTTGAGAGCGGTGCGCTCGATGTCGAGATTGAGGCTGTTTTGTAACAGAAGAGCACTGAAGATTATTACTATCATTGTTAGGATAAACCCAAACAAAATATTTATTCTAACATTTTTGACCCCTGTAAAATTCTAATAGCAATATAACACATTTAGCCGTTGAGGGGGATATAATCACATAATATGCAGTATATAAAATTATTTTATGTGTCAATTTAACTTACAATCTGAGCTAATTTTCATTTGAGCTACGTTTGCATCAAAATCAATGTACACAGACATAATAATCGAAATTGCTGAGTTTGGGTTCACATACACACCATATAATAATAATTTATATGGTATATATGTGAACCCAAACTCAGCAATTCCATCATCAAACTCTGGATATTATTTCGGTTCAGTTGTTTTAATAGGAATGACGACTATTTTTATTTGTTTGTCCGTCAGGTAGATCAATGAAGAATATTAAATACGAATTTTGTTTTTGCGTAATCAATTATTTACGGCGATACATAGCGTTGAAATGTCGCATGACGTCACACTTTTGTACATTTTCTACAAAACTGACGTAGCGAGCCTCCATTCCTCAACTATAATGCCTATTTTAATAAATTTCTTATTTAAATTGAAACAAAAAAATACGTATTTAATATTTTTATATTATCTGGCTTACGGATTAAATAGATTTTTTTTTACCCAGTCGTTATCCCTCATGGCTATCTTCAATCTCCATTGTCTCTATTCCATGTTAATATTGCATTTTCATCAATTTTGTGCATTCAAAATTTTAACTATGTAACATCGAAAATTCGGCTACCTAATTAACTAATCAGAAAATTAAATAAAAGCTTATAAAACGTAAATTTTTATATATTTTTAACCGACTTCAAAAAAAGGGAGGAGGTTCTCAATCCAATGTTTATTTTTTTTACAGTTTGTTACCTCGTAACTTTTTATAAGGTACACCGATCCTATTGATTCTTTTTTTTATTTGAAAGCTGGTGCTTCCGGTGTAGTCCCATTTCAGTTTTCAGTATAGTATTTGTCAGACGTCAGACTAAGGAGAAGGTTTTAGGTATATAAATAAACTAAAAAAATGGAGGTTCGCACTTTAACACGGTTTTGACGTGGTTTCAGAAATGTATTTTTAGTGTTACCTATTATAAAGAAATATCAATATCACTAAAAAGCATGAAATAAAAAACTTGAAAAAGTAGAACCGACTTTAAATTTAAGTTTTTTAAACATCTAAGATGAATAACGATTTAGTTTTTTGGTTCTGTGATTTTTCGAACCCATAATTCAAGTTTTCAATTTAAAATACGCTTTCAACTCATTCTTCAACGTTAATGTATTTTTTGCGTAATTTCGAACAACAATAGTATAAAAAGTAGTACAATGGACAGCACGTCAGCTATTACAAAATACCAGATTAATGAATTTAAGCCTTGTCCTATCGATGCTAAAATCCATTTTAAGTATAACTTGAAATTTGCTCAAGGGTTTTTGCTACTACGAATTCAGACACGATGTCAGGTTCATCGCTGCATGTTTTATAAATTTCCTTCACGTTTTAATAAATATCGGACAATAGTCGAGATAAAACCCGTATTTCCAACTAGGTATATTTATGTCCAGTCCAATATCCTACACACAGACCACAAAAAGTCCTACTTATAGGTACAATACTTATAATCTTGGTATATCGAATAAAATTACAAAGGATAATAATATGTCAAATGGGGAAAATATCAAAAATATTTATTTACATATAACACGATTGAATACAAAAATACAATAAAAAATATACATTTATATTACTATAATCAATAGATTTCAAGTATCAGCCTGTCCGAGAAGCAAATAAACAAATTTTGAGAACATTCCGTACATATCATTAATAAAATATAACGTAACTAAATACCATAAGGTAATATGAAAATTTATATGTAACCTATTATTTATATTTGCGTAGTTAAAACAGTTATATATAACTACGCTCATCCTTACAAAGTAGCGACATTATACGTTTCATAAATATTTTATTGAGGATATCGTCAATCTTTAAAAACAAAATTAAAAGGTTTTCAATAGCTGGGTTACACTTACTTGAACTATGGTAAGCAGTAACATGAATTGCGTTTGTATGAAATTTGAATTACAAATGTACACTCCATGACCTGGTAAAAGTAACCTGATTTAATTATTGCAGTATATATAGCTTGTAAAAACGAGTTATCGTAAACAGTTGTCATTATTTAAATGGTTACATGATTAAATGTAAAGATATTTGATGATGCTGTTATTTTACAGATCAGTAATTTATACGTTTACTATTACATTCTATTACATTTAAACCTGTATGCAAATTCAGTACCGTAAAGTATAATTTAGCGTGCAATATAATTGAACTAAGAGTAGCAGAAGCCAGAAATGCAATGTCATTGTTTCACTTCAAAAGACGTTCTGAACCAGTTGTAGGGAAAAAAATGTTGGACGATCCAAAAGTGCTTTAAACAAGTTTATTTGAATAAAAATATTTTAAATGTTTGATATATATTTATATATTGATCACAAACAAAAGATTCGTGATTTTTAATATATTTCGTATAATTATACATATTTAAATATTTATTTCGCGTTCGGAACTTCATATCTCGAGATTCCAATGTGATTATAGATATTTTAATTAAGAAATTATAATTATCCAATAATTAATTACTGTCTTACATAAAGATTTTATATAAAAAAATTGCATTTAATAATAAATATAGGAATGCACACATACCACGTGGAATAAAAATATTTATACTAAATAAATAGAACATAAATAACACTCAACAATCATTGATCTAAAATTAAACCAGAGAAAAAAATTATCACTTTATGCTTTTCTGGACAATATATTTGGGATGGTCAGTTATTACATGTACAAATAATGTTGTTTAACTTTGTTACTATCTATAAACATAATTAATTAAAAATAATATTTCATATTAAATATACCCACATAAAATGTCTATGCATATTTGGTTTTGCATAAATACATGCGCAGGCGCAACTATACTACACATGCGACTGTTGTCGAGATAAAATAAAAACTTTTATTTATACGGACCAATACTAATTGAATTGCCGACCCGCAATCATTAGAATATAATTTTGTTAATGTCAAAAATTATAAGCCGTACGAATTAATTAGGTTTCATACCTGAGAGTCTTCTCTATTTGTGCCCGAACGCAAATTTGGAAAATTTTGAATCGTTCTTATAATTTTGTTTGAGTAATATCCGTGAATATTATTTGTTCATCAAAGGCAGTGTCAGGTACTACCTCCGTTGCATCTTATATTATCGAAAAATGTATTAAATTTCGTTTTAAGAAAAATAGAATAGGCCTTCAGGTTTCGTGTTAATTCATACGAGCCGGAGTATGAATCGCAGATCCAAAAATAATCTCATTCTTTTTATACGTTGAAAGATTTTGATATTACAATAAGTAGTTTGATAATAAATATTTACTATTAGGAACATGATTTATTATTCTGTATCCGCATTTTACCTAAAGTAAATTTTCATTGTACATACATGTGAGAATTCTTTAAAAAAAATTTAGTAAATTACATATATATCATTGTCCTAGAAAGATGCTTTAAAAGCTTGGTTTAAATCTTCGATGAGATCTTCAACATCCTCCAGACCCACAGAAAGCCTAACCAACGAGTCTGTTATTCCTAACTCGGCCCGTTGAGGTGCAGGAACTGAAGCATGAGTCATCACAGAACTGAAAAAATAACCATTTAGCTGCACATTGGTTTGAATAAAAATTGTTTACATAAAAATAAATATACATTAGACAAAAGTACATATTGTATATTGTTTAGAACTCAATTCGAGAATTCGGGATCCTGCAAGGAGAACTCCCAACCCCACTTCATATGTAACCCTTATAATATACAGATGTTAACACTGGCACTAATAAATTTTCACGTGGAATCATATAGCCGTAAATTACAATTCGAGAACAAACACAACATATGTGTACTTTTTTTATTTGTTATTTTTTATATAATCTGCCTGCAAAGTCGTCTTCTTGGACACTTGAGTAGCATAAAAATAATCAATATTTTGTAATCTATCTGTACTATAATCACTTCAAGTTTGTTAAATTGGTCCTGCTGTTTTTTAGTAATAAACATCTATACTATTATAAAGGGGAAATATTTGATTGTTACTTTGCATTGAATATGTTCCAAAGATACTGAACCGATTTCTAATATTCTTTCACCTACGGGAAGCTTCAACATAGGCTATAATTTACGTAGGCAAAGTCGCGCAGGAACAGCAGCTAGTATCTAACATAAGTAGCGATAAAAGTGCAAAAAAAATATATATAAATTTGTAATAACACAAATACCATAAAATTAGTCAAATCAATAAAATATATATAAAACCTAGAACAGTGCGTGAGCGCCACAATTAAATCAAACGAAAAACGTAGTCAATTTATGTCACGTAATTGACCACTAGCAATATTAAAAACCGTACATAAATGCATTGTTTAAAATGTAGGACGTAATCAAAGTACATACAATGCAGATTTGTTATAAGAAAAATAGAAATCCTGATGATAAATTTTTAAGCCTTAACCTGATTACAATAAAGTTAAAAATTATTTGTAGAAACTTGACCCTTATAATAACCTCGTATGATGCTGCTAAAACACTAAATAAGCAAAAATTTAAACCAATTGATAGATTAGATAAAATTATAATAACAGAAAAACATAATTTACTTGCTCTAACCACGCGTTGCTATGGCTCATATGTAGAGATAGTTTATTAAGATAAAAACTATCGTATCTTTTAAGTTGACCTTACAGGTACATGTGACATTCTATTAAAATCAGTTCAGTATATTCGGAGTTTATCAATAACATACATCCTAACACAAGATTTTTATATACATATTTAGATAAGATAAAGTATAATTAAAAGATATATATAACAAAGATCTTACGGTAATTCAGCTAAACTTTCGTATCCGCCCAAACTTTCGGCGAGTGTGAAAATTTTGAGGGAGCTCAAGAACTTTCTCGACTCTTTTAAACCACCGGTGTGATTAAAACTGAAAACACCTGAGTGACCACTTGTCTGTCTCTTGGCTATTTCGTGTTGGGGATGCGATGGGAGACCTTTAATATAAAAAAAAATATATTTTATATTATAGACTATACATAATGTATCTTCGCAGAAGGCTTAAATAAATATTAAACAATATCACATACATTGCTCACATTCCAAGATGAGTGACTAAAGCCTCCGTGTTATGGAGTGTCTGATACAACGTAGGTACTACAACACCCAAACCCGACAGAATATAGAAAAGTTCTTTTTCTACATTGACCCGTCCGGGAATCGAACCCGACGTGCGAACTAATCGGCTACGGAGGTCATCTTAATTACAAAGCGCGGCAAATATCGGCCAATCAGAATGATTCAAGTATCACGCCATCGAGCTATTCTTCAATGTCCACGCGGGCAATAGTAATGCGTTGTATTTTACACCTTATAGATAATGAAATGAGATTCACTATACATTTTAAACGTACTTTCGGATATCATCGGAATTGGTAGATCTACTTTGCGTTGACGGAGATTCACCATACTAATTAAAACTTACTCCTGTATTTATAGTCGAGTAATGGTAATTACTTGAGTAAATATAATTACTTTAACAAATATTTTTAACTAAAAAACAAGAATTTTAACGATGCAACAACTGTTAATAGTAAGTGAAAAAGATAGAGATCTGGCTACCAGGTAATTTTAAAGGAAACCACGAAAACACCGTCACAGCCGTATATTGTTATTCTCACACTGAAGTTTTACATTTGTTTCGTAAGTCTAATAGTATGAATGACATTTATTTAAAAACTGAGAATTTAGAAAATAAACATGCCAAAAAGGTTTGCGTAGCGGGTCACCAACATGGCCCCCGACGGTGAGAAGCACCTATTTAATGTGGCCGGTGACCAGCAACGCTAACTTCCGCGTTGGGCGGCGCAGCACACCCCCTTTTGTGGCAACATCGGCCACGCGAACTACTCCATCTTTGCCGGGATACGTGGCTGTTATTTTCCCTCTAGGCCAGCTGCATCTTGGTAGTGTGCCGTCTGCTATAAATACGAGGTCGCCGACTTGGAGGTTGACTGCTGATTGGGATGTAGACCTTCGTGGTACCAGGGTAGGCAAATATTCTTTTATGAAGCGCTGCCACATTTGATCGGCGAAACGCTGAGCCTTCCTCCAGTTCACTCGCCTATAAAGATCACAATCTTCAAATTGTCTTAGAGGTAAGTCGCTACTGGAACTTCCGATCAAAAATGTAAAAGGTGTTATAGCGACGTCCGAATCCTGATCAACAGGCACATGTGTAAGGGGTCTTGAGTTAACAATACACTCCGCTTCTAGGATCAATGTGTGTAGAACCTCCTCCCGAGGTGAACGTTCTTTTAAGGTGACCATAATGGAGTTTTTCACAGATCGTATTAAGCGTTCCCAGCATCCACCCATAAACGGCGCTGATGGGGGAATAAACCGCCAATCTATTTTATGGTTGCTGCAGAAGTCGTAGAGGTCAGGTAACAATCTCGCTGCACCGACGAACGAAGTCCCGTTGTCCGAATATATGCGAGCTGGACAACCTCTTCTCGCTATGAAGCGCCGGAGAGTCATGATTGCAGAGTCTGCCGAAAGGTTCTCCACGACTTCAAGATGTACAGCGCGAACGGTCAAACAAGTAAAAAGAGCGATCCACCTCTTCGCTGTTCTTCGACCTATAGAAACGTTCAAAGGTCCGAAGTAGTCCAGGCCCACAAATGTGAACGGTCGCTGGTTATGTGCCAATCTCACGTCTGGAAGATCACCTAAGGGAGGAGTTATAGGTTTCGCCTTTCGAATCCGACAAACTAGGCATTTTTGTGATACTGCACGAACTGATGGTCTCAAATGGAGGATAAAGTACTTTTGACGCAGCTCATTAACCACCAGTTCGTTGTTGCCGTGTGCATATCTCTCATGATAAAAGCCAATCAACAGTCTCACTATTGGATGTTTGCCGTCGAGCACAACTGGACTACATTCTATTTCCGTAGAAACAGCCGTGCGCCCAGATAGCCGAAGGAGTCGATCTTCTCCAATAAGTAGCGCGATATTCTTTAGCCTACTTTCGTTTGAAACAGGGCGTGCTGCTTGAACGAGCATTAATTCATCAGAAAAAGAATCTGCCTGAACGACGCGGAATAAATGGACCTCTGCAACGTTGAGGTCTGCAATCGAAAGCAACGGAAAATTAAACCGATCGCGAGGGGCATTTGTAGAAAATTTAAGAGTAGAATTAATAAAAGATTTAAAAACTCTACAACATTGAAATACCCGCGCTGAAGCTCGGAGTAAACGAATCCACCGACTGAACCGTTGGTGGCCCGCAACCACCGATGAAGGTAGCTCACGCGGTACTCCTGAAATTAGGAGTCCCACCGATTCTGAAGTACGTTTCAATTCTTCAAGTATCGGTGGGACACTGCACATAGGTTCACATGGCCAGTTTTCCTGAGAAGACAATAGAAATGATGGCCCGGTAAACCACCGTGACGAGAAAGTAAACGCCCGATTATACCGCGTAGCGTCGTCTGCCACATTTAGAGCCGTCGGAGTATACTTCCAGTGACTGATGTTTGTGGTCTCGACAATTTCTCCAACGCGAAAAGAAACGAAGGCTTTAAATATACAGGCGTCACTGCGCAGCCATTTTAAGACGGTGGTGGAATCCGTCCAGTAGTATGTAACGCTAGGCTTTCTCCTGTGTGCGTCAAGTATATATTTACCAAAACGGGCAGCAATTAGTGCTGCTTGTAACTCTAATCGGGGGATAGACACTGGCTTTAATGGAGCTAGTCGACCCTTGCCACCGATTAAAGCTAAACTTACACTGTCATCTTCAAAAGTTAAGCGCCAGTAAGCTACGCACGCATAAGCGCGCTCACTAGCGTCGGCAAAAATATGCAATTGAACATCTTTGACAGATAATTCGGAAAAACCTAAATAGCACCTTGGAATCGCCTTATTAGCCAAATTTTGAATTTCACAATACCATTCCTTCCAACTGTCAACCAAGGCGTTTGGTAATATTTGATCCCAATCGGAACCTTATTTCCACGTTTTTTGGAATAACACGCGACCTTTCATGATTACTGGGGTAATGAGACGTAGAGGGTCATAAAAGGACATCAATAATGAGAGTACAGTACGTTTAGAAAAGATCTTCGGTAATTCGGGCGACGACTTCATAAAATATAGCTTGTCCTGGCTAACGTTCCACGTGAGACCTAAAACCCTAACCTGTGACTGTGTCGCGGAACCTAGACCTACTTCTGTAACGTTGACTGCATGCAATTCAGAAGGAATGAGACCAAGGGCTTCTTTGCGATTTGACACCCAAGATCTCATTTCAAAGCAAGCTGCCTTGTGTATGGTTACAATTTCGAATGCTCTGCGAGCAGCTTCGTTAACGGTCTTGTAACTGCCCAGAAAATCGTCCATGTAATGGTCTTCAATGATAGACTTTACCGCGTCGGGGTATTTCGACTGAAATTGCATTGCATTATTATTTTTAACCCACAAAGCAGTGCATGGGCTCGACGCGGTACCGAACATCATCGAAGACATACGGTATTCTTGAACTGGAAACTTTGGATCGTCCCTCCACAAGAACCGTTGCGCGTCTCTATCTTCAGGTCTAATTTTTATCTGCGGGAACATTTCCCTGATATCACCCGTAAGAGCCACCGGATGCTCTCTAAAACGCATAACAATAGACAACAGCGGTTGAAGAAGATCGGGACCGGGCAGCAGAAAAGAGTTCAGGCTCAGCCCGGCACACTTCGCTGCTGCATCGTGTACGACGCGCAACTTCTTCTTTTGTGGGTGTACGACACCAAAATGTGGAAGGTACCACAAAATTCTACCACAAGTTTGATCTGAACATGGCTCTGCGTAACCCTTGTCAAGCATACCCTGAATATTTAGTTTATATGCTTCGGCATAAGACTTATCTTTTGTCATTTTATTTTCAAGGTTAAAAAAACGTGATAATGCTAGATCGCGACTCTTGGGAACGAAAGGAATATTATCTCGCCATAAAAGGCCCGTCTGATATCTACCAGAGTCTAGGCGTGTCGTAGTATTTTCTAAAATCTTAAACGCGCGGTCTTCGCTAGCACTGCGGTGATACACGCTTTCTATTCCAATAGAATCAAGCCTAAAATATTGTTTTAAAAGCGCATCTAAAGAACAATCATCATTATTTTGAGAGTCATCTATTTTATTTAAAAACTGAGAATTTAGAAAATAAACATGCCAAAAAGGTTTGCGTAGCGGGTCACCAACAGTAAGAATTCTATTATTTTTAACTTTTAACAGTTCTTATTTCACTCAAATTCTCTATTTCTATTTGTTAAAAATATTTCATTAAGTTTTGCCATTTTCTCAAGTTATTACTTCTCTCGACAAAGATACAAATAATACTCGTTTGTATATTCAATTATATCAATGTTAAACTAAATATATAAAAATAGCTCACCTGGATGTAGGACCTCGGTAACTTTAGGGTGTTTTTCTAACCATTTAGCTATAACCAAAGAGGATTCTCGATGGCGTTCCATACGTAGTGCTAACGTTTTCAAACTCCTATTGACTAGATAGCAATCAAATGGCGATGGGACTGCTCCCATGGCTGAAACAATATAGTTTTATTATAGATATATTTCTACTACTTACATTCGGCGACTTTGGTCTTTTTTTGAAAGATTTATAATAAAGGATATTGTTAATTTAACGTTAATTGGAATTGTCTCAGTTAAGCGAAATACACAAATATCTTTAACAAAGTTATTGAGAGATTTCAAACGAAACAGATATTGCGTAATCTTTCGATAGGTTTAGATAAGTTTTTATTTCGTTTCTTGATCATTCAAATCATAATTCATTCCAAAAGCGAACTTTAAATGTTTTATAATTCATAATTGGTTATCACAATCGGTGTACCTATGAAAGGTATAGATATTCAAATTATACAATTAGCCCATGGGTCAAAGAGGGGTCAACTGTGAAAACGAATTGATACAATTAGTATGGTTAATGTGGCTTTATAGGCGTAACCTTAGAAGAGAAACTAAAGTGGAACAATCTATACATATGTCGAATACTATGTAACAAGTTTCTTGCGCAGCGCATTTCTCCTAAAGACCGATAAATGTAACTACAGTGGCAAGGCAAGTCGCTTTTCTCTATATTAAGGGAGTTAAGTTCATTTGGTCATCATTCTATATTACTATTTTTAGAAAAATAATAGCAAAATTAATTTATTTTTATAGTACAAGTATTAAAAAACCTTATTTACAACAACATATTCTGTTACTTTAATTTTTAGTTATTTTATCTTTATCTTCTTTGCGAACACTTTCATTTTATTTATACCCATAAATGACAGTGCGTAAAAAACTAACAAGGCCGCCATATTATACCGTCCGCCATTAGAATTAAATTGATGTAATTCAGCTAAACCCGCATTACCATAAATGACGATAAGTGCTTTAAAATTCAATTGTGAGAATTGATTTATTATATATCCTTTTAATCGATCGTTTTCTAAGTATAATCATAATATAGAGGGATGTTTTGTAAGTGATAGTCTGCGAAAATACTCATCCGATTATGAAAATGTTTTCACCTACGGGAAGCTAAATCATACGCGATTAACGTTGGCTATAATTTAAGCGAGCGAGGTTGCGGGAAAACAGCTAGTTTTTATAAAGAAAGTGACGCAAACTGAACATATGTACATCAGGCGTTATATGAAGTACCTTTCTTATATATACTTACTTTATATATTTTATCATTATTACTTACTAGAAGATTAATCTTAGAATAATAATAATTATGGCAACAACATGTTTTGAAAGAGCATTTGACGTGGCTAAAAATATTATCACTTAACTTATATATGTATTATTATTAGTGATAACATTAATGTTATATCTCACATATATTGGGTTTTAAGTAGAGATAACGACGATATCTGAAGTTTTATAAAAAAGCATACCGCAAATATCTATGACAATAACGTAATGACAGTATTTTATTGCTATATTGATTAATTATATTACCGAGTGTTCTGTTAAATTATATTAGTTTATTTAATGTCACACCAAAATAACTAAAAACAATTAGATTCATCATCATTATTAGACTAATAATGTCCCTGTACTGGTAACTCCATAAAATAAATTTTTGCCCAATGCGAAAGTAAGCAATTTCCGAATCGCGGATCGAGCGCGTTTCTCAGAATATTGATATCTAAATGTAGTTGATATAATCTTACAGGAGGGGTAAATAAGTGGCGTAGTGGATAAGCGCAGCGGCCCGCGATCGTTGTCGTTAAGCAACTTTCGCTAGGGTCGGTCACGCGATGGGTGACCAAAAAATTATTATCTCGAGCTACTCCGTGCTTCGGAAGGCACGTTAATCCGTTGGTCCCGGCTGCATTTGCAGTCGTTAATACCTTCCGATCTGCATTGGGCTCGCGTGGAGGGTCATGGCCCATCCTCCTTAACCATCCATAAGGAAGGCCTGAGCCCCTGCAGTGGGGACGTAAAAGGGCTGATGATGATGAGCTCAATGATTAGATTCGATTCGATTTGATATTGCGCAATATACGCACGGCTGCACGTCAGATTACCATAATATTTCAAATTACTGCAATGTGTTTTGACCTCTACTGTCAAAATATTAAGCTTTAAAATCGAATAGAGAAATTCGACAGTTTTGATATCGATTGGTTGATAAATGTCGAGCACGGACTGCTTTACAAACTTGGAGAACTGTTGATTCCAGCTGCAACAGTTCTCAAAACCAAACAATTACTATAGGGATGACGACTGGGTCAAAAAAAGAAATTCTATTTAATCAGTCAGTCATATAATAGAAACATATTAGATATTTGTTTTTTTACTTTAATTGAACAAGAAATAACTTAGACAACTGGCAATAAAGTTGAGGAGTTGGGAGCTCGCTACGTCACAGTTTTGTAGAAAATGGAGCAAAGCGTGACGTCATGTGACATTTAACTCAATGCATCGCCGTTATTTAATGATTACGAAAAAATACGTGTTTGATACTTTTAAACAATCTCACCGACAGACAAACAATCAAAAATTTGTTGTAATCCCTATTGGGCTCCTTCGTGGATAATGGCGGGTTCTTCCTATCTTCCCATAAGGAAAGCCTGTGCTCCAGCAATGGGAATTGCGTACTTAGCACTGATAATTATGACATCTCACATTTGAACAAGATAGCAAAAAAATCAACCAGTTTGTACAAATCGCAGTCCAGGGTACAAGTTATGTGTATAGAATACAATGCTGTCAGTTGACTCGGAATATTCATCTACATAATTGCAAGGTCGGACATGTTACAAAAACGAGAATGACCAGTAAAAAATCAAATAGGTATCTTAAATCATTAGACGAAAGGATCGATTCTTTATAGTTTATTTTACTCTTAAACCGGTTTCAATGCAAATGCGTATCCATGCGTGAGACGAGGTAAACCAAATGGATCATCTATACCAGGGATGGCGAACCTATGAGCATCAACGTGCCATTTTTTCTAACAAAATGTTTAATAAAGCCATAGATATGCCATCAAATAATTTTGACTTTATGACTATTGGGAAAATAATAATACGAGTATATATTAACTTAAAACTCTTAATTTACCCCAATAAAGGTACATTTTGCAATATTTTATTTGACTAATTTTATATGAATTTAAATTTTAAATAATTAAATTTGAATTAATGTTGTTTGAAAAAAGCAGTTGGTAAACATTATTTGAATTTTTACTTATATAATCCGTCAATATTTCTGTTTCAATGAATAACTTATTTTTTAATGAACTTCTTGATCAGTGTCGTGTCCAAAATAGTTTACCGCGTGCCACTGCACGCACGCGTGCCAATGGTTCGCCATCCCTGATCTATACGAACCACATTAAATCTGCGCATTTCTCTGAGACCGATCTTATGTCGGAGAAATTCTTGTACGGGCCTACGAGCTTGGTAAAATTGAAGTAGATTGAAGTGTTGTTTAATGGTTGTATAAGAGCCGATCAATATTATTTTCTTTTAATTTATCATTCAAACCAAAATGAACCAGACATGTCTATAAAAAAAAATCTCTGAAGTGGCAGGACAATTCAAGTGCGCACTAGTTAAAACACTAACTTTTTACTGAAAATATAGACAATGAAATTGTTTTCATTGGAATGATGTAATAATGGTGTAGAAATGTATGTTCGAGTTAATAAACGAAGAGCTCGTGACAAAAATATGTAAGAGTTATCTTAAAATTGATACTTCAGAACGTGGAAGTACCTACTAAGGGTATACATAACCCAAGTATGCATAGGTCAAGCGCAGGAACACCAGGGGCCTAACCATGACCTCATAAAGTAATGTTTAATCCGTGCAGCGAACCAGACATTGCTATTATTCCGTATAGCGCTCTCCCGCTAGCTACATGGATTAAATATTGCTATAAGAGGTAATGGTAACCCCCCTGGTGGCGGCGCTCGGAATGAAACAAACCTCTAGGGATTGCTGAACTGAATGTATTTGTTCCGTTAAATTAAAAACTGTATTTTTAGTAACGAATAAATTTTAAACTATATCAATACTCATTTTCTGAGCCGTTTGGGAGGTCTAAAGTATTATTTTCTATTGAGAACAAGGTTCTCGCAAATTTTTAATTATTACTATGCCATTTTAATGCATGTTACTATTTTACGTTATAGTTCTATCGCGTTACTGAAGCCTATTTTTTTTTTTGTTTTAATTCCAGCATGTGATCAAATCAAAAGTAGGTACCGAGTGATGTGTACCCTAATACTTACTGAAGTATCAGCCGTTCAAAAATACTTGCATATTTTTGTCACGAGCTCCCTAGTACAGTCGACAGCCCGTCAGACTTTACAAAACTGTCAAATTTCTCAAATTGATTTTAAACATTAATGTATTGTAGGTAGAGTTCAAAATAAGTTGGAGAAATTTTAGGTATTATGACGTGCAGACGTGAGTATTATAAGTTTAGAGGATGCGCAAAACCACACTTTCAGTCAGGTATTTTCCCTCCTTAATTATTTATGGATGATCATTTACCACATGAATAATTTAGTTTTTGTGTTATAACTAGAATTGTAAAATAAGGAAATAATATTTATTGCATTGGAGTTTACGTATATTCCATATGACAATTAAGAGGTAAACTATGTAACTTATTACAAATAGAACTTAAACATCGATATTTATTATTCAATAATTTACTTTGTTTTTATAGTTACCTTTCTTCTATTTGAATTTTCATATTGTAGTTATATTATTTTATATTGTAGTATTGAGTAGCCCCCGTATTATGGAGTACCAGAGACAACGAAGGTACCACAACACCCACACAGAACACTTTCTACCGAGAACTTCACTGATCGAGAATCAAACCCGTCCCGGGTTATGGCGACCGACACCTTGAAACCACACCTCTACGGTCGTCCAAATAATAAAATTAAATACTAGTTATGATAACGTGACTAAGTAAGAAGTCTCATAAAGGGCCAGAATAGTTTAACATGTAGTCTGTTCTATTATCTGGTAATACTGCCATCTTACTATTTTCTATTTTATATAATGTCTGCAGACTTATCTGATATCAAAAGAATTATTGAACAAAATTTTTCTAGTGTCACCATTCAAAGAGATATGCTATCAAAGTAAATAGTATTTAGCTACGAATTAGTGTCACGAGCTAAGCTGGCTTATATCTCGAAACGTGACTCGTAAAAAAATTTGTCTGTACCTAATAATTAATGTTTATTTATTGATGTCTAGGATCTTTCATTTAGATAAGATTCTAAACATTGTGCAACTTAAAGAATGGGAAAATGGTGACTAGTAGTACAATTAAAATATTAAAGTTCCTCATTTAGTGACAGCTGCGAATATATTGTTCGAAGTACTATTCATTGTACTCATGATATAAGAATCGAATGAATAGGCATCGTATCCCAAAGTGTACTCCATAAGCATGTGACGGATTCGGAAATTATGTAATTCATTTATTAATACACCCTACACACAAACAACAGATTTTGTTTTTCCAAAAGAATTTCATCGCTCTAAAAGTTTGAAAATCGCTGTTACGGTATTATTTCATAGGTTTTACAAATAATACGAACAAATTACTCGCCGATTCTACCGGCAATATAAACGCCGAATTGAAATAACCAATACTCTACAGTTTCGTTACTATAGACGCAGATACAAGTATCGGATGACATCTACAAACTTTCTTAATGTTTAGGTCAATGATTTTGTTGTGACAAAAGCAGTGTTTATAAAATATTAAAATATGAATTAAACTGAGCGAAACACTGGATTCTGGCGAAATCCACAAGGCCAACGCCAATAATTAAAAAGAAAAGGAAGAAGAATTTGATGCTTATTTTTCAGTGTTAAAAGTTTTAATGTGTTGTTTTTTGTAAATCTACATGGAAAGATAGAATTGGTAATTCAAAATTGTTTGGTTGAATGAATGTATTTAAATCGTGTAATGGTTTCCTACGTGAAGTTGGCAATATTGTGGTGACGCAAAGTGCCATTAAAGTTAAGAAGAAAAAGAATATCCTGATTAATATAATAATTAAACTTACCGTTTTGTAGAAACCTAAGTTTTTCGTTTAACTCGTCGTCTTTGACAATTGCTGCGCCCATAATGACGTCAGAATGTCCGTTCATATACTTTGTTAGGGAGTACATGACGACATCCGCACCAAAGTCTAGCGGCCTCTGAAGGTATGACGTGAGGAAGGTATTGTCTACTACTACGAGGATATTCCCCCGTTTCTTAGCGGCCTTCACCACGGCCTCAATATCTACCACCTTGAGCAGGGGATTCGTTGGTGTTTCCAACCAAATCATCTAAAAAACAAAGAAAACTTTAAAAGGGCGGGAACAACCGGCAATCTCACTTTTTAGTCTTGAACGTTTAACATTACAAAAAGTAGTCTGACATGATTCTTAGAAATAAATTGCATGATGAATGGATCTTAATAAAAATGTAAAGTAGGTATTGTTACAATAGGTAGAGCTTATGCCATGGAGTGAAGGTTCAAATCCTTTTGCCGATACTATTTTTAAACTCGTCCTTATGTCATTGGAGGATGGTTCAAATTATTTTACTTACAATATTACATACTAATACCAATTGATTCGTAACAGGGGCATAACTTATGCATTTTTGAATATGTTGAATTTTAAATCAGCTCTGGATACATAAATATTCTGCAACAATGTTTCTTATCTGTTTTCTTATCAGTACATGAGGCTTATGTAATCACCATCATAAAGAACACTTATTTGCTTGTAAAATTATTATTAAACCATATTTAATTTATATTATCATACAACACTATTGTATTAGCAAGAGAGTTGCTTATTTCATTTTCTAGATAAAAGTTATTAAATGGAAACAATAGAACTGACAATGTTGTAAAGAATATTTAAATATAACAGTTGTTAAAATAACGATGCAATCATAAAGAGTCTGTTTAAATTTTATATAAATAGTAATGTTATGATAAAAATAGATGTTCTGAAGGACCTTAATTAAAATTTTGAACACTTTTATTTTTGAGTGTACAAGTTTATACTAACCTTAGTATTAGGTTTTATAGCCTCAACTACCTTATCAATCTTTGTAAAGTCGGTAAACGTAGTTTCAATACCCTGTCTTGCTGTAACTTGTCTGTAATAGAGGAACTCGTGTGAGAATAGACAAATGATCTTAGAGTAAGGCACTTCGGCGGCCGCTGTCGCAGCACCGCAGTATTGCGCGACATCTTTTTTAGAGATTTTTTTGAAAATTACAAAGTTGAGAAGAAGCGCAAACATATGAGACTTTTTTGCATCTAATCTAACTGAATCAATGTCCTAGAGTCAGTGGTGTAACTATAGTGTTTGAGGCAAATGGCAAATTCATCGGATATTCATTTTTTTACTAATTGCGTAATAATAAATTTCAGGAGTAAGGAGTCTCCTCTGACATGGAATTTTGCCGATTTGCCCTGTAGTTACGTCACTGCCTAGAGTGCATCTTATGATAAGATGCAAACATAAATTTTTAAACATCATAAGTTATTTATTCAACTATAAGAATACTTGGAATACTTTTAGTAAATTTATGATGTTTATATTACTATTATTAATTTATAATAGTTAAAATCTGTTTATTTGAATACATGAGTATAACAATACTTGTAATAGTTGCAGAAAATTTATGATGTTTGCTGTCTTATGATGAGAGTGGGTAATAATCTACTATTATCTATACATTGTAAAACAAAGTTGTTTCCTACTCTCTGTAATCCAATATTTTTTAAACTACACCAGGCCCCTGGCTATAAATGGGCAGACTGAGCATTTGCCCAGGGCGCCAAATTTTGGGGGGCGCAAAATAAAAGAGAGAAACGAATTGTCTTAAAAATATAATTTTAAGTTATAATCTGTGAATTATGTAGAAATAAATGTCTACAGTTTTGTGTATGAAAGACGTGTTTTCTTTTTATTTCCTTCATAAAATATAAGTAACATAGATTATTTGCTTTTACATTATAGTAATAAAGGGGGCGCCAGTTGACCATTTGCCCAGGGCGCCAATCACCTAAGCTCAGGGCCTAGTGATTCAAGAGGAAAGTTCAATAAAGGATGACGTGGGTGAAGTTGTTGGGGTAAAGCTAGTTAATAAATATAATTCTGTACCTGAACAATCTATTTGTACCCCCATAGACATCATCACTTGATAAGACATGATCGCCACTGTTCAATAACGCAACCAGTGTTGTGGTAGCAGCCAGACCAGAGGCAAATGCTAAACCGTGCTTTCCACCATCCAAGGCGGCGAGGCATTCTTCTAATGTGTTTCTAGATGGGTTGCCAGATCTACCATATTCAAACCCCTAAATAGTTAAATAAATTATAGTTTTACTTATGTTTTTATATTATTTTTTAACAATGATTTAGCTTTTATTTGATAATAAAATTTATTTGATACTTCGCAATATAGAATGGAGTTAGCAATCTCATCATTAAAATAAATATTGGGTGCTACAAGCCAAAGGTGTATATGCAAAAATGAGTTATTTTTCTATAATGTTAATCTTTTAGATTTTTTTTAATAATCTGCAATAATACTCTTTGACATACAACCAAAAGTATTTTCTTGTCTCCTGAGAAGTAAGAGTATTGTAAAATTACTTTTTTTAAATTGTAAAACATTAAGTGAATTGAGCCACAGTAGCAAAAAAGTTCAGCTCAATATGTCAGTGATATAGTTGAGTCATTATGATGCTGATTTTCAGATAGAGGACAAAAGTTAAAGTATTACTAGTAAATCAATGAATAATGAAATAAAATAATAATTTTATGATACAACTTATTCAACTCACTGTATGCTCTGCAGGGGCTGGTTGTTTGAAGGTTGTTGAGGTTACAATAGGTGGCACCACAGCTGCAGATGTCCATTTCTCTGGATCTTGACCGGCGTGAATGGCAATGGTAGCAAAGCCAAGTTTTTGTTTCAAAAATCCTTGATTTTCCATCTGATAGACCTATTAGAGAGAAATTGATGAATCACTCTAGTGCCGTTTTATTATGGGGTTTATAGCAAAATAGAATATAACAAGTGTGTACTTTCAAATTAGAACATTTATTCTAATTTTTCATTAGAAATACATATAAATTCGTCAGCTGTTGATTTTTCTAAAATGATCAATTTTATAAATTAAAAATATTACAAAACACATTATGATTACAGAAAACTTATATTTTAAAAATTTACGAATATTTCAGTCTTAATTTCAGTCAAGGTTACACATGGTGTGTTTCAAGATCAAGAATGTGCTATAATTACATCATATTCGCGCATGTTTTTTGTCTCTAGGAATCTTAGATACCTCCGCTTAAACTAAATTAAATAAATAATGACTATAGCATTTAAATATTTATGTACGATAATCAGATAGAACAAAAAATTAACTTTCTTTACTTACTTTTAAATTTTAAAAAATTCGATTTTCAAATCACGTCCCTTGCCTCCACTCGCCTCGAATGACAGAACCACCCACAGACCAGACAACTAACTTTTCAACTTTATTCGGCTGGCTCAGTCAGACAGGGTTACACTATCAAGTTTCCTCATTTTCCTTACATGCATTAATTTCAGTATTTCATATTTTTTATAACTATAATAACATATGTGAATATAATGATTACATTATTTATTGTCATATTTGAAACTGCCAACATTTGATTTTTATTAAAAGTTTTTACGTTATACTTCCCACAGAACAGAAAAATATAGACCGAAGCAGATACTTCTTAGTATTTTAGTCAGTATTTTACTTCAACCATTAATATTTTTTTAAACACAATAAGTCTAAGTAGTATGTATAAGCACCATACAATATGTAGCACAAAAGCTTTATGTGGTACACACTACATTGTAATATTTTTAGTTTCTTCATCCAAATTTCGCAATAAAATAAAAAACAAATGTAGTTACACCAATTTTTTTTTTCGCTTTTTTTCATAACCTTGTTACACAGAAATTCTGCCAACATTCCGTAGTGAGAGAGACACGAGACTCGAGAGACTGTAGAGTAGTTACAATTAACCAATTCTTCCATGAGATTGTTCTTTCTCTACTAAAAAAAGGACAATACAAAAGCAAACATAGTTTTATAAACACATAGAAGAGAATTTTGCAGCACTTTTGCGAATTTTGCGATATAACATCAAATTGTTATAATTTGATGTTATATTTTTTATTTATAAATTTGCAAAGACAGAAAGCCGGGTTTGTCAGAAATTGATTGTTTGTCAGAAATAGAGCCGGGTTTGTCAGAGATAGATGTTAATATTAACTGGACGGGGGGTTTTAGGTGGGAGTTGGTTATATAAGGACGGACACTTCAGACAGTAAAAAAAAAATGTGATCAGTAGTACCTTCTTCAATTTCATATTCACATACAGAACTGTTTAAGATTCGAATCTTTGAAAGAAAAACAGGCGTAGTTACGTGTCCAAAACGTAGACGGCATACGGTCGTGATGGTACATCTGGAGGTATCACGAAATTTATAAATCTATTTGCCATGTCATGCCTCGCTTGCCTATATGGACGAGTTGGTCCTGATAAATTAGTCACTTCCGGTTGCATATTTTTTGAACTTAACTCTTGACAAAGTCCGTGTTCCGCCCTACCAATCAGTAGCAAAGAGAAAAAATAATAATTATCCGAAGTCACTATTATTTGGATTATTTGACATTAATAGTTCATAAGCAATTTTACTATAATATATATTTGAAAGTTAAATAAGACTTTACTTTGAAAATAAATCTTGTTCTAAATACCAATTATGAAAAATCATATAAAAGTTACTTTCCCCAATAACGTCGAAAATTCAACATGCCAACATTATAAAAAAGACAAAGAATGAATGTCAAACATTATTATACCCACGCCAGACATGTGATCAAATACGCAACATATAACAAGTGTGGCAGAGTATTATGCAATGTTTTCAAAAACTTTTAGTTTGCCCCAAACTTCTTGGCTTGCCCGCATAGTTTGCCCTTATGTGCCAGTTTTTTTCCATCAAAGTAAACAAACTTCAATGTTTGAGTGGGCTGCCTGCCAAACTTATCGCAGTATTTAGCAAAGCGTGAGCTGTATTTACGTTTTGACGGAATTTCTTGACCTTCTTTAAACAGAACCATCAATACGGGATCTGTAAAATGTTTGTGCAACTGTCTATAAAATGTTAGCTCAATCAACACCAATATTCGTTAGTAACTGAATTTAATGAGCCTGCATATATACTTTGAGAAAATCAAATCTTAAAACCTTCTTAAATTTTCACCTATAACAGAGTAAAGGAGATCGTATTATTGAAGTAATATATATCATTGCTGAATAGCTTCCTTTACAACAAATGTATTAGGTATATGTACTATTAGAGATAATATAAGGAATAATTTATAGCATGGGTTCGTTCCTTTTGTCATTTAGATTACCTAAGCAAAATTTGCAAAATTGTATCTTCCTATTTATACCTATAACACAGGTCTGCGATGATAAAGTTTTTTGAGAATTTTAAGAATAACTTGCACATGTTGACATACTTAATGCAAATATAAACTTTTTTTTATTGTAACACGTCACATTTTTTTTTATCGGCGTATTAGATTTATAATAATTTTTTCATACACCCTACAAATGAACCTTGATCATTCATACAGATTACCCAAAGATGCTGCAGAATTAGTCGGTTCACACTTAAAAGAGAACAATTCATTGGATGCGGAGACGACATTTTAGTGATATCGAAAAAGAGAACCAGATTTTGACAGTATTTCAAGATAGAAGATAGTTTGGTATTTTGCTGTAGTTAGCTATAGTAGTGTTAGCGGTTTAATACAAAAATTTGACATCGAATACAAACCAGAAGAGTGGCAATTTTTTATAGATTCATCAAAATGAAGTTTAAAAGCTCTGCTCTTACATATTTGCAATAAATTTGCATCAATACCTGTAGCTCACTCAGTTCATCTTTTCAGTTATGCAAACTTGAGAACTGTTTTAAAGTACATAAAATACTCCGAACATTTGGGTGGACTTAAAACTCATATTATGCTTCTTGGTCAATAGCAAGGGTACATAAAATTCCCGTATTATATTTGTGAATGGGATAGTAGACCAAAAAACTTACATTGGGAAATATCTGATTGGCGTATTAGACCAAAATTGGAGGTTAGAGTAATCATAAAAGTATTTTCACAGAAATGTTAAACGCCTATAAAAACTTGGGTTGTAATGTGAGTTGGAAAGTCCATTTTTTGAAATCTCATATTAATGTTTTCCCAAAAAATTTAGGCGATTACAGTCTATCAAGATATAAAAGAGATGGAAAGAAGATTTCAAGGCCGTTGGGACGTTAATATGATGGCGGACTATTGTTTGATGATATGTAGAGATGAAGTAAAAACTCATAAACAAAAAAACCAACAAAACGCAGTTTCCTTTCAAAGAAAACACGTTATTGATTGTTTTTTTTTATTCGTATTTTATTTTACTCTTTTTTATTTCATTCAAACTCAATAAAGCTTATAAAATTGTAAAAAAAGCCTTTTCTATATTTAAAAAAAATTTTGCCTTGTAGTTATTTATAAGCTAATATTAAACCATGTAAATCTGGGAAGTGTGACGTGATATATAACAAATAAATGCTGTTTTATATTATTTATAACGTAATTATAACGAATAAGAACAGTTTACGAAAAAAACTTTTCAAAAAAATAATTTCGCAGACCTGCGTAATCACATGTGTAATTAGTGTCAATGAATGGGTCGTTTCAACCGTGCAGATAAACTCTACAGGTTTTTGTGTGGGTAAATGAATTTATAATAAAATGTTATATCGTGTGATTTGATGAACTAAAATTATAATAAGATTGCTTCAAATTTTGTAGATGTGTCTGGCGCTCACCTATGATAAACTATCAGATTTGTGTTAATGTTTCAACCTGGCGAAATAAAGTTGCAGTTATACGTCTTATCATATCATTACTCTCAAATCATATCATTAATCTATTTATATAATGTCTCCAGTGCTGGGTATTAAATTGTATGATCAGCAGGCATTTTCGCTTACTCCGTAAAAAGTGAGTAATTCTTTCGTATGATTTTCGTATGTATCTTCTATCTTCTTCTTCTTTTTAATTAATGGCGACGCCCTTATGGATTTCGCCAGAGTCCAGTGTTTCGCTCATAATTTGAAAATGTCAATATTGCCGATATCCACTGAACTTCATTTTGACACTTGATTTTATATTGATAAACTTTTATGTTGTTTCCATAAGCATAGTGATCTTGACATGAAGGTGAACTTCAATGAGTAATTTAATCTATAATATATATAGGACTAAGATTAGTAATTAATAAAAAAAAAGTTCCAAAATACCAAAACTGCGCTATGATCGGTTTCCCACAGAGCTCTATGAACAGCTTATTTAGATTATCTTCAGAAGTTGCCTGAGTTCAAGAAGGGGACAGGCTTTCTGGGGGTCAATTTTTTAGGTATTGTTTTTGAGCTTTTTTTAACCCCCTTCCCCTTGATTATACATGGTGAGGTTTAAACCTTCCACCCAAATCATTTGTATTTGTTAGTTCCCAAAATAAATCTTTGTTTTTTTTTTATATCATCACTATTATTGCTTGCATTCGGTTTATGTTACTTAATTTTCTCCTTGGACAGAAGTACAGTCCACATCGCTGGCGTGTCCTTTCCACTGACGATTCGTCTGCAGGCTATACTAATACAGATCATAAAACAATTTGTCAAAGCCTTCATCATAATCAGAGGTCGGAATTAGGTACAGTTATTTATGTACTTGCATCGAAATGTTGATATTAATGTGGACCTTCGTGGCAACATCGCGCGTATTGGTATTTTGCAACTTTGGACATCCGATGTCATTGATGTAAGTTTGACAACGTCGTGCGTGCAGTAGTTTAAATTGTGTAAAAGTAAATAACTTTTTATTTAAAAAATCACGGGATTTTTTCTGCTTTTTAAAATTAATCTCGGGATTTGAGGCATGTCCATTTTATTCTTTCGCTGTATGAAATCAGTGTAAGAACATGCATAACTCTACCTAATTCCGACCACTGATCATAATTAACAGACGTATTATTTTAAACTGTATAGGCTTGATCCCTTAGCTTAATAAAAAATAAAAAAACAAAAAAATTTACCCGCCAAAATCTGTAACTGACAGTTGACATCTGTTTGTTACTTTCGTGTTTTTTGAAATAGAAAAAATATTAAGTTTATTTGAATTAGACCGCTAATATTGACGTATAGTAACAAGGAGGAGAAATTCGTTATTTATAAAAATTACATATAGTTTCTGCTAATATGTGTTAAATAATATTGTTTAGAAAAATTACTGAAAATTAAGGTGATAGTGGAGAACATAAAAGATGAAAATTGAAAGCAAACCTCTTCGATATGCCCACGCCGAGGGCCACACTGATGTATGTTATTCAGATGATGGACAGTAAGTAGTAGTTCAGTCTAATCGAATCGTAAAAGCTTCAATTTTATTCATTCATGATGTGGTGTATTCACAATAAAGTCTATGTATTCTTTTAGGCATTTGATAACTTGCGGTAATGATGGTGATGTTAGAATATGGGTTGATATTGAAGACGACGACCCTAATTCTCATTGTGTTGGAGAAAGTGCATTGGCTGTATGTTACAAAGACAAGAGACTTTATGTTGCAACTGACAATCATGCAGTGCAGGCATATACATTTCCCTCTTTTGATAAAGATGGTATTGTCACAAGGTTTACTGCACCTGTTACTCAAATCAAATCAACAAATAATATTGAGGTATGTACATGAAGGCTTTTATTTAATTAATTTATTGAAATGCTTATCAATTTGAATCAAAAATTATCACAATACATATATATATATATATATATATATATATATATATAAATTATATTAATTTTTATATATATTGTTAAATTATCTGTTTAAAGGCATTGGGCTGCTCTTCGGAGAATATGGAGGCTAGAATTTGTAGTGTTGAAGGTGGAGCACCTTTATTCATTATAGAGGGACATAAAGGTCCCGTTCTTAGTACTGCTATTTGTCCCCACATGAAATATGCTACTACTGCTAGTGGTGATGGTATTCTGAGAATATGGGATATTGACACACAGAAAATAGTTAAAGAAATAACTTGTGTTCCTAAGATAAACACATTTTATTCTGCTAAAGTATTATGTAAGTAAACAAAACATTGTGTTATACACTTAGCCTGTTTGAATATTTAGATATGCTTAGAGTATAGCATAGAAGAAACATTAATTAGTGTAATTACTGCAAAACAATCTTGAATGAGGATACATGTTCAAAGATTTACTTTGTTTAGTTTGTGTATTTAGTTCTCCTGACAAAATATGAAAACTAAATAGCAAATGTTGCTTTAGGTCGTATGGATTTTGAACCTTCACAGGGGAAGCACCTAGCGTATCCAAATAATAGAGAAATTGTGTTACTGGATTGTGAAACTTGGGGACAACGGATGACATTTACACATAACTCGGTATGAAACACTAAATATTGATATTTTTATTAAGGTTTTAAAAATCTATTAAGGCCTCACTGCTTTTATTAACAAACGGGTTTAATAATGTTTTATTTTTTTACTAGGGATATTGGTATTTCTTATGTATAATCACAAAAATCTGTAAAGTTAAGATTATAAACAATTTCAAGGAAAAACAAGGTTGAGGAGGGGAGAGGTATCAACTTATTTTTTATTACATAGAGAGAGAGAGCAAATTAAAAACTGCTAAAAATAACCTATTGATGAAGCTTATACCAAAGGGTTGATTATTAGTTTTGAATTATTCATAGCTTGTTATGTGAGATGTTGTCAATGGTTTTTATTATTTTCTAGATTAAATGTGCAATATCTCAATGTTTGTTTTCACCTTGTGGACAATATTTGGCTGGTAGCACTGTGGCTGGACAGATTGCTGTATGGGAAGTCCAAACTGGAAATTGTTTTGGCATTATAGAACATCCAACATCTCATAATATCTCTTCTATGGCATGGAATCCTAAAGGTAAAAATATATTCTGTATGTAAAAATGCATTTTTTTTATAAAATATTATCTTTCAGATTATTTTATTAAGTACCGAATTTAAATAATTTTTATGTAATGACTCCTCTGAATGAGAATTACAATGCTTGAGTTTTCAGTATAATGTTAAATTATCGTGAAACAGATCAATACACCCTTTTTAAAATTAGATCATAGAAAAATCTTATCTGTTACATGGTATGGTATGGATGGTAAAATGTTATTGAAACTTAAATTTACTTTGTTATCCCTCCTAAATTATTTGTATATTTAAATCCATAGAATATAATAGCTATCTATGTAAAATTGGCAAAATTGTGTGAAAACCACAGCTGAGTATCTTCAAAGTAGGCGAATGTTTGATGGAGAATGCTCGTCTCATTGGTCACAGAATGTCAGAACTGATAAGTTAAATATATAATACAATCTTGCACATTAAACTGACAATCTGTTTTGTACTAATGGATACTTCTGTATGACTTTACGGATTTTATTTCAGATTTATATTTATGTTATAAATCTGAAATAAAATCCGTAAATCTGTTGTGTGCAGTGTGTGTGTAAAGTTTATTATAATGTTCTTTTAAGGTAATGGAGTATTGGCATATTGCGATGTTGCTGGTCAATTAGGCTCAATTATTAATTGTTATGGTAAAGACAGCACTCTTCAGAATGATATTGAAATGGTGGAAAGGGTTGATGGTAAGTTTTAAACACCAATTAATATTTATTTAAATGATTGCATTTAATTAACCAAATTAATAAAACAACTCAATGTAGAAAATTAATGTTTTCTATTCTTAATGAAAAATGCTTAAAAATCCACTTTGTCCCTGGCAATCTGAGATTGTAAATGCAAAATTGATCAAATATACTAATGTCTTCTATGTAAAGAGGAAAGATTTGATTGTTTGCATCAAATAGGCTCTGAAATTACGATTTCAAAAATTCTTTCTACATACGAAGTTGACATATGCTTTAATTCACGCGTGCGATATCTGGAGAAAACAACTAGTTATGAATTAATTGGAAGTATAGTAAGAGTATAGTACAGTCAGCAGCACGTCAGGCTCTTCAATACTGTCATATTTACCCACTCTTTTTCAAGCCTCAATACATTGGAGGTCAAAATCAATTGAGGTTTTGACATATTGTGGTAATCTGATGAGCTGTCGTGTGTAAGCTTATACACATAGGCAGGCTCCCTAACATATGTTTTATGTAAAATTTTAGATGATGACTTAGTTGACAACTTAATTCAAAATAATGACAGTGATGATGATGACAATGCCATTTCTCTGGAGAGAATAAAGAATGAAACACTCGGGAATGTGGATGATGATGAATATAGAGCTCCTTCGAGGCTTACTGCACCTGTTCCTGTCACCACGCCCCCGCAACCACCTTTTCAACCTTCGGCTACTCCTGCTCATCTGGAACATAGGTAGAAAAAAATACCAGGGGAAAAAAAAATAGAAAATATTTAATATTGTTTGTTCCCTTTGGGGCTGTTTATTGATCACGTGAGGCACGAAAGAGGGGGGTTCACAAATGTATCACCAAGGGGAAAAAAATTGAAAATATTAAATATTGTTTGTTTTTTGGGGCCGTTTATTAATCACGTGAGGCACGAAAGAGGCGGGAGGGGGTTCACAAATGTATCACCAAGGCGGAGGAGGAGCGGGGGATTAAAAATGCTGAAAAAACATCACGTGATTAATGGACGGACCCTTTTTAGTATATAGTTGTTCGATTTATGTTATTCAATAAATCTCCAATGGTATGTTATGTTTATTATGAACAATAAGAAGCCAAGCAAATTAGGTCGTTTACTTTCATTAAACTGTTTTCGTTTCTCTCATTGTTGAATTTCATTTTTTCAGTAGTTTTATCATCTTGTACACTCATGTTGATGCTTTATTAAACTTGATATTTATCACTTAGTAAATAAGGGCCAAAATCGTTTATTATATCTCTTCTTTATTTTCAGGTATATGTGTTGGAATGATATAGGTATTGTGCGCTGTCACACATTGGAGAATGGAGAATCAAGTATAGATGTCGAGTTTCATGACACAAATGTGCACCATGGCATAAATTTAAATAACTACTTGAATCATACTATGGCTAGTTTATCATCAACTGTACTTGCTTTGGCATGCGAGACGCCTAGGTAAGATTACTATGTTAAATGTCATTTGCAAAATACTTATTTATTTTAAAAGTTTCACTTGATATCAAGCATGTTTAAAAATATAGTAGGTAGGTTATATGACAATTGTAACAATGCTTGTTGTCAGTAAGCTAGTGTGCATCTCGCTAGTGGGTAGCAGTAAAGAATGGAGCGTGTCTATGTCAGATATGGAAGAAATTTTGTGCATAGCGGCTGCTAGCGGACTTGTTGCTTGCGCTACTAACGCACGATTACTGCGTCTCTACACAGCTATGGGCACACAACGACAGGTAAACATTAAATCTTAAGACTATACAGCAAATCCAGCCGTAAAGAGTGAATGAGACGAATGAATGAACGATTACTATAATATATAGAGTCAGTTCAAAAAAAAACCGTTTGTGCCCAGCAAAGGAATTAACGTTAATATTTTTACACGGTTATTGCTACTCGCCACCTCTCAAAATTGTCATTTTTTTTTCTTTATTTTGATTGGGTATTCATGCTTCACAGTGTTGCAAGCATAAGAAAAACTGTAATTCACTCAGTGACGCGCACAAATAACTAAATAATTACTATATTGTTCAGATTCATTATTATTTTGGAGTATCTGAGACCATGGTACCACAACACCCAAACCCGAGACAATATAGACGTTCATTGTCTATATTGATAGATTACATATACTAATCCCATGACGGTTCTCTTTTTGACCACAAAATGAATATTATAAAAAGGTTTTTTTAACAATGTCTGTTTGTCGGATTATCAATAAAGCGGATGAAGTCGCAAACAGCTAGTATAAAATAAAAGCTACCGAGGGAGCAGATGAAGAAAAATTACGGCTTAGGGTTGAGCTACATGTGACACTATCCCCTTTTTGCGTCGCCCTGTTTTTGTCGCTCAGAACAAGTTTTTGCTAGAGCGAGAAAGATATATTGCTGTGAAGATTTCGCATATGCAAATGGCCACTCGACAGTTATAACAGTAAATGATGAATAGGGATGATGACTAATTTTTGTTTGTTTGTCCGTCAGGTAGAGTGTTAAAAAATATTAAACACGTATTTTTTTTTCGTAATCATAAAATTACATGGAGTTGAAATTTCGCATGACGTCACGTTAGGGTACGTTTTCTACTCAACTGTGACGTAGCGAGCCCCCACTCCTCAACTTTAATGCCTGTTATCTAAGCTATTTCTTGTTAAATTGAAGTAAAAAAAATACGAATCTAATATTTTTCTATTATCTGACTGCCGGACTAAATAGAATTGCATTTTTTTACCCAGTCATCATCCCTATTATGTTGGAAACTTATACATAAACAATAATAGATGACAGAAAAAGATATGGCAACGGAAAAAGGAGATATTGTTCTGCCAGATGTGGCTCAATCCTTAGTTTTGTAAGGTTGATATTTATACTGTTTCAATTTAGACTATCCATAGGATGATTAAAAATATTATGAATTTATTTGTATCCAATAACAAAATATATATATATATATATATATATATATATATATATATATATATATATATATATACAAATTTGTTTAAATTACTTTTTTTTTAATTTTTTACCTGTAAAAAAAATAAAAAATAGGCAGTATTTTGCAATTTAAGGTCATTAAAGTCATTATTTTAAATATCTTTGACACAACTGCTTGTGTGAAGAAAATCTCATTACATATTATTTCCAGGTAATATCATTGGCGGGGCCAGTGGTGTCTTTAGCGGCTTATAATACGACAGTACTAGCCGTGTACCATAGCAATGAACCCGGTGTTACAGATCAACATCTTGCAATGGACATTATAGCTTTGAATGGTAAAGATATCAATGTAAATATATGAAAACGTCTCCAACCATATGACGGAATATGAACATTCTCTTTTGTAAACAAATAATTAATGATGACCTTTAAATCAATTAGTTATGTTGACAAGGAGGATTGTGACTTATTCGGTTAGATCTTACGTCATTAAAAAACTTTAGAAGTCGAACAGTGTATCAAAACTTTGAAAACTTTAAATTTTTAATACCATATTAAACCACTAGTAGATTTATTTTTCTCTAAAAAGTGTTACAAAGGAAAACCATATTTTTATTCATTAATTCAAATTGTCCCGCAAAAACAATCGATCAAGTGACATTTCGAGCCTTGACGTCTCATTTCAATGTTGACTTTTAGTTTATTTAAGTATGACATCACACTATGTTCCTCATGGTCGTCCTTATTTCGTTACTCGTAATTCACAGATTCAAAATAGTAAGTTAAAAATATTTCAAAACGAAATTACAATTTATTTCAAAACGAAAAACACTACATAGTTAATTTTTACATATAAGTTACTATTTGCAACATGTTTTGTTATAACTGTCAAGTGCCAATCGCATCGTGAGAGCATATACCTCTATACAAGATACATTATATTTGACAATATATACAATTTTGCATTTGTATGTGTTGTTGTTTTCATAAAAAGAAAATGAGAAAACTGTGTTCGTGAGCTTTACTTAATGTACTTCATCTTGTAGATATTGCATCTGAGATATCGCGTAACTCAAAATTTCATATTACGAAAATAGAATAAAAAAAAAAAAGCGTTAATCTTCTTCTTCTTTCGTGTCAATGGCAACCAAAACTAAATGTCACCGGCCCAGAACTCCGCCACTTTTACGGCGCTATCTGCAGCCGTCATGAGATCCTCCTGCGTACAGGTGTAGGGGCAAGCGGGGCAACATATCAGGTGTGGAGTGGTCTGAGGCGTAGTACCACACCTGCACGCAAGGTCTGCAGTATTAGTAAAACCCCACCTGGACCGATTGTCTTTACTCCGGCCAACCTGAGTGCGGAGTCTATTTAAAGATTTCCACACCGGTCTGGGGGGGACGTAGTAAGCCTTCCCGTAGAGCGCCACCTATGCTCGGGCCCTCCTCGTGAGTAACGGCAGATGCCGTGAAACTAATTACTACACTACAATGGCAAGCCGAAAAGTCATCTACCCGGACAGCCCCCTCTCGGAGCCGGCTTTGTGTGTAATTTCAATAAATATTGAAGGGTTCTCACAGGATAAGGCGGAAATTCTTTCTAAATTATGCCAGTCCACACAATGTGATATACTTTGTGTGCAAGAGACCCACCGTGATGGGAACCAAAGCCGGCCCTACATCCATGGGCTGACGCTTATCGCCGAGATCCCCGAAAGCGTTAATGATCGAAGTCAAAACCTAGGACATAATAAACAGTGTGGTAACACGCACTATTACAAACTGTTGAACTTCATGAGTCCCGGGAGAATATAAATATCAATTATAATATGATGTAAACCGCCTCTTAATCTAGATATTGTTATATTTATTAAAACAGCTATTACAAATCAGAAATCTGAATGTTGATATAACCTTTGAGTAGCGGCAAAAACAACATTTATATTTGTTATCTTTATAAACCCGCTTATCTAGGGTTAATGATAAAGAATATTTTTAATTACATTCATAGCAATATAAAACAACCTTCAATATTATGACATATATATATATAATTTATGATGTAATAATTGTTGCCTAACTGATAAGGCGTACTCTTGTAGGTCGGCAGGTGCGAAGTAAAACCGTCCCTGTGCCGTTAGGTACAGGTTCGAAATTAGCTTGGATCGGAACTACGGACGCGGGTTCCCCTTGCACATATGACAGTACTGGTATATTGCGTTTGTATGACGTAGCCAGTGGGGTGTGGATGCCGATCTGCGATACAAATACACATTCCAAAGGGGCTTCTGATACTTGGTTTATTGTTTCCGTAAGTAATGTTACTACTTTTTCTTGTTATTGTTTTGTGAGATTCGGCGCTTTTAAAATTATAAAAGCTCAGCATCATAATGTGACTACCGTGAAGTTCATGGTACGATGTTATCACCGGAAAGTAAATTGTATGAAAATATATGTAACGCTTTATAATTTACGATAACGTTAACGTCTTAATATGGACCTTCCTTCTAAAACAGTCGCTTAATTTTTGTGACGCAATGCGTAGTTAAGGCAATTCTTTTGTTTAGCCATTTTTTAATGAAAAGTTAATATTTAAGAAGAGAATTCCTATAAAGTTGTGTCAATATTTAAGAAGAGAATTCCTATAAAGTTGTGTCAATATTTAATTAAATATTTTAAAATAGATTTTTAGTTCTCTCAATCGTGTCCACAAGGCGATGAAAGCTGAAAGTAACATGTGTAATAGAAAAGCACCCTAAAGCATAACAAAATTGGCATTACGACTCAAACCTGCATACAGAAAACTTTTTTGTTTAATTTATTATTTATTTTGTAAGTTATGAGTTGAATAAATATTATAATTTTCAGATTAGTGAGCCATCACAGACAGTTCGAGCGATATTATGCAGAGGCACAACATTCCCTGTTACTGTCCCTAAGCCTATTGTTGCAGAGCTTCCGATACAGGTAATATTATATGACAATAGATAACAAAAAAACATTCAAATCTCTAAGGCTGCGGTACCACTATGTAGTAATGGTTTGTTTATTGATTTTGCACAGTAGGGGAATAAAAAGATTCGTCAAATTTCAAAGCGATTCTTCTGAAGTCGCAATCATTTATTACCTTATGAAACTAAGTCACAAAATATTATGCGGCATAGTAAACTTTGTTTAACTTTCTGATGATAAGGTTTATTTTTCTTTATAATTTAGTCATTGTTCTTACCAGGAAAATGTACCGTTTTGAAAACGTTTTATTTAGTTTAATTATATATTTATAGTAGGTAAATAATAGCGTAGGTAAATATAATAGGTAAATAATAACAGATAAATAATAATTGATTCTTCTTCTTTTTAATTAATAGCGTCGCCCTTATGGATTTCGCCGTCTTCGTCTTTCTCCCACTGTAGATTATAACCACTACTGTGACAAAAGTTAAACATAATTTCGATGGCAACAAATGGCGTATAGGATGGGTGACCAAAATTTATTATCTCGAGCTCCTTCGTGCAGCGTAAAGCACGTTAAGCCATTGTTTTAAGCGACCAGGAATCTGCAATGGGCTCGCGTCCACCCATTCTCCCTATTCGATTCCATACATAGTGAAGGCCTGTAGTCGAGGCCCGAATCCAGGAGTGGGGTCAAGTAAAGTGGGGGCACCAAAATCATTATTACTCTAGGCTATGAAATAAAAGAAAAATGTCATAGATACACTATAAAACTCAGCTTTGGGTGGGGGGGATATAGAGGAAGGGCGCTATACGATGTTTTTGCCCGGTTAAAAAATTCGTAGATCTAGGCCTGCTCTGTTTCAACGGTGGGAGCATTAATAGATTGATGATAATGATGATGATTCAATTCATTTTCCTGTGATTTGTCTAGATTCCTCTTTGTGAGTTGGATAGTGAGAAGTCACAGTATGAAGAGCAACTGGTTCGTTGGGCCCACACTGCGGCCGATGTCGACGTGAAAGCCGCTAGAGAAACGGCGCTCAAGTTATTTGCGGTTTGTGTATTGCAATTTGTTTTTTTTTTATTTACTGTCTATCTATATGAAAAGATAAGGTTGATCGAACATCTATAAAGAAAGGAATTTTACAATTGTATCTATAGTCTTTGATTCTTATAAATATTGTTACATCTATATAATACTATGGTTTGCAAAGTCGAGTATTAGGAATTACTTTATTTTTTGTTATTTTCCACTGCCAACTGTAATCAGTACCTTTAATTTTTTAATATCAATAAACAGTTTGAATGCAGTAATAATAACTATAAACAGAATACTATTATTAATATTACTATTAGCAATTGACATTTTTAATTCATTAAATTTCTCGTATATTGGTTAAATTATTTGCTTAAGTTATTTATTACTTATACTCAAGTGATAACTATTGTCCATTTGGACTATTGTCCAAAACTAGGAAACATTTCCTTTATTAATATTTGTTAACATCATTAAATTATTGATTTCATATACAAACTTCTTACTCCCATCACTAGATGGCGCTGACCTTTATAAATCTCGCGAGCACTACGTTTACCTGATTTGATATATGGAGTAGTATTTATTTGAAATACGTTCCTTATAACGACAGCAATAGAAACGAGAGTTAGAATTCTTTGTATGAAATCGTTTTTTGTATGAATCGTTAGAATTCATATCTATCATTATCAAAGTTCTGTGTTGTCAATTTTAATATTATTTACAGCTCGCTTGTCGCAGCGAAATAGAGCAAAGAGCTCTCGAATTAATGGAACTATTGAAAGACGAAAGATTACTACCTCTAGCCGCTAAATACGCGTCACGATTAGGTAGAATGCATTTGGCCGAGAAACTAACCGACTTAGCTGATACGTGGGAGCGAGATGCCGATACCCATAATATTGCACAGAATACTCACTTCCAAGAGCTGGATACACAGGAGACTTATGACGTCACTAATTCTGAAGAACTCAACGCTAGTATCATAATTCCTCAGAAATCGAAGGAGAAAAAAGTTGAGAATGTTATACCAATAAAACCAGTGGTGAGTGAACAGTTTTCTGTTTTGTTTGCGCGGTGTTTTCTAAATGTAACCAAAGAGGGCTAACGTTTTTTTTTGCCACTAGAGGCGCTAGTGTAGATCTAGATCTTCAAAATGTTAAATATGAATTAACGAATAATTCTTAATTGAACATAAACACCAATAATAGAAAAAGAATAACACAAAGCATAGTACAATCGGCGGCATTATCGCTGAGAAGCATTTTCGTCCAGGCAACCGTAACAGTCTGGATAAATTAAATTAAATTAGATCGTCTATGGTGTCTTAAGTATACATTACATCAACATACATACATTATAATTACTAATGCACAGATACTTCGTACATACAAACCAAATATAAATCTAAGATATAATATCATACTTTGCCGGTGAGCTACGCGCTTTTCCCTAAAAAATAAAATAATTTTGTGTTTATTTTGGGGCACCTGAAATTCGTTAATATGATTATGAATTACGGTGTTTTTGATTGTCAGGATGAGGTTAATATATTATTTAAAAGAATTTATAAAAAAAAAAGATACAGTGATGGCCATATAATTAAGAACGATTTATAATAATAGAATGTTTTAAATGAAACTTGCCCTATTTTTTTTAAGTATTTGCTTACGTATTCAGAGATGGTCAGTTTTTTTTAAAGTATATTATTGTGGACAGTATTAGTGTAAGATAATGAAACTGGACAAATAAAATTAGAAGCAATATGGTTAAGCTGTTGGTATAATATTTCAAATAAAATATAGAGTAATTCTCTTATTATAGAAAAATGTATAATAAAAAGGAAATTAAACATATTTTAAATTAAAATTAATATTTGTTTTTTTTTTTCAAGAGAAATAGAATTCCATTCTTCCGAGTAACGTCGTATAGTTCCCTAAAATTACCACAAAGTCGATTTACCGAACGGGCTGTATGTTTTGGATCATTGTCATGTTGAATTTCCAAATAATTGAAAGAATAATCAGCATAGGTTAAGGCCACGCTTCGGCATGAATGGACCGGATCGACTGGAGTGTGGTATCACTCCAGTCGATCAGGCCTCACAGAAAACCGACGTGAAGCAACGCTTGCGTTGTGTTTCGTCGTGTGAGTGAGGGTACCGGAGGCCCAACCCCTCCCTATTCCCTTCCCTCCACCCCTCAACCCTTCCCTCCCTATGATCATATTCGTCCCTCAAAGGTCGGCAGCACGCTTGTAGCCCCTCTGGTGTTGCAGGTGTCCATGGGCGACGGTAATCACTTACCATCAGGTGATCCGTCTGCTCGTCTGCCCTCCTTCCCATAAAATGAAAAAATTGTTTCTTCCAATATATATTTGTATTGAACTTGATTCAGGTTTCCTTTTAGACCCAATTTCATGACCAAAGAAGCAACGCCACGGAACGGATTAGATTTTACGTTTGCGTAATTTATACTTTTTTATTCGTGGTTTAATTAATCTAATTTATAGAAGGAAGTACCAACAATGTAGAAAGATTTTGGAGTACTACAATAATAGTAATAAAAAAATATGTATGCAACAAGCTATATGTTTTTTTTAGTTCTTAATTATATGGTTACCACTGAATGGCGGTACGAAGTTCGCCGGGTCAGCAAATTTCTAATAACCAACGGCTTTCTTTTTTTATTAATCCAGCCTATAAAGTCGTCACCCGGTGGAAAGAGGAATCCTTTCCGTATGCAGCACGAGGCTGTTAAGAATGTGCAGAGTCCACTAAGTTTGACCGAGCGTACTTTAGTAGAAGTACATTCTAATGGTGACCACGCAGAGAATGAAGATGTAAGTTCAATAATTATTGACATCAAAAATTCAGTTATTTTAACACAGACAAGGGATATTACACATTATTAATAAAATATATGTCGCATCATCATTACGAAGATCGTTTGATTTAGTTTCTTTAATTGTAATTGCTAGTTACTCGATTACTTAATTACTCTATTGTAAAGAGAGCGTGATCATCGATACTCTTAATTGTATTAGAATGGTGACACTGACTTTGACAGTTCGTTAATAAAAACCAAATTGCCGCCATTTTGGCACACATTCTGTTTCCGATCGCCGAGGAGTAAAGACATCTGATGACATCACGCTCATCGCGTTATATTTTCGTGTGAAAAATGATAAAATGGAACAAATCCACGTTGGTATACACGCCTGCAATGTTATTTTAAAGATAGTCCCCTGATATGGACGATCTATTTGGGCTTCATAATAGCCCCTTCGGACTACCCGCCGTTATATATGACAATACACAACACCAGGGCTTCAAAATATTTATAATTAAAAAACATCACAATTTAAATTGAACATTGTCACTGGCATTGTGTTTTAAATTTACCAACCCATGTTCTGTACTAAAAGGGGAGACTTGACATAGGTACTAACTGTTGATTGATACCTTTAACTAAGGCTACGTTGGACCATAATAGCAGTTAAAGCTAAGACGATAAATGTAGCATTGACTGTGGAATGTAGCATCCTCTTTCTTGGTATGATAAAGCAATAACTTTAACTAGCGTAGCTTGGGTTATAATCAACAGTTAAAGTGATGACATCGTCTTACCACTGTCAAATGGTGCAACTCGTTTGTTTAACCGGCACTTAACCACGGTTGTTATTGTTAAAATAAGTTGTTTATATATATAATCCATCCCTAGGAAATAGTATTGTTCAATCTGTTAAGTATGTTATGAGCAGTGGTCGGAATTAGGTAGAGTTATTCATGTACTTACACTGATTTCATACAGCGAAAGAATAAAGTGGATATGCCTCAATCCCGAGATTAATTTTAAAGAGCAGAAAAAATCCCGTGATTTTTTAAATAAAAAGTTATTTACTTTTACACAATTTAAACTACTGCACGTTTTTTTTTTATTATTATTTAGTTGCAAGATTGTTGGCCACACGGGATTGTCCATTAGAAATCCCGGGAAGGTCCACATTAATATCAACATTTCGATGCAAGTACACAAATAACTCTACCTAATTCCGACCTCTGGTTATGAGTGAAAGTAAAATAGTTTTTATTTACTATTCTAGCCTTTAAAACCTCATGACGGCGAAACGTTCGTTGATTGGTTTTCACGCAACAAACAAATATTGGAACAGCAAAATCCTGAGATGACCCCTTCAGAGTTGACTCGGCAGGGCGTTAGAATGTTCAAGGTTGTCCAAAGGTATTTCTTTTATCTTACATGTATTAGAAATTAGCTTTTGTATTTTACACATTTCAATAACAGGATGATGTCTGGAAAAAAATAATCTATTTATTCCGACAGTCAGATAATAGAAAAATATGTCAGTCAGATAATAGATAATAAGTATTAAAGTTGAGGAGTGTGGGGCTCATTACGTCACAACTATGTTGAAATGTACCAAGTAATGCGATATTTCAATTAAATGCGCTGCTGTTATTTATTAATTACGCAAGAAATAAAAAAAAGCGTTTAATATTCTTTAATAATCAACTTGACGTACAGACAAACAAAAATTTCTCATCCTCACTATCTGTTTGATAAATAAGATAGTAGAGATAGATTTCAAATAACATTCACAATGTCTTAAGTACTCAAATTACTCAACTTTGTTTTTATGTGCACAAAAGACCTATTAGAATAAACATTCTAAAATTTATCTGTTGAAAGTTAAAATAGTTCCGGGCATAGATCGCTTTCGAATCAAGAGGCATATATGGGTTTATATAACTTATTTAACATAGCGCGTAGCGACAAGAGACCCGACATTCTTTAGTCATTTTCCTTGAAAATAGCACAAAATCTCACATTCATAATAAGCATTAGATACTTGATATACAAACCGCGGCACAGTGGAAAATGGTAGAACAAGAGCATATCAAAAATACTTTTACGAATGTCATAATTTGTTTGATTTGGTGATTTTATTAGGATCTCAAATAATCGAATTATAATATTCATTAAGTTTTTTTATCGAAAATGCACGAAGTTACATTTTTTTCATAGGTAGAAGTACATAGAAGACGGGAGTGCCGAACTCGAGTCTACGCATATACATGTTTCAAAACCATATTGTGCAATATATATTGGGTACATATATGCAGTATTATACATTTTTGGAAAGGTTATTTCATGCTTATTACGTTACAGCTTTTTAATTTCTAAAGCAGCGACAATTATGTCAGTAAGTAATTAAAAAGTGGCATACCTTATTTTTTACTTTTCTTTTTTTTCGTCTAAGGTTTTCAATATTACCCACGGCTCCCCACGCGCAACTTTTTATGTTAATTGATAGTCTAACTATTCAGTAACAGAATACAAAAAAAAACAGCTGCGGAAGTTTGCGGTTTTAGAAAATATAAGAAATAATGTGTGAAAAGTCGGAAAATAAAAATCAGTATCTTTGGCGGTTTACCACAGACATCGTTCACAAGGACAATAATTATATTACTTTTGGAATATTTTATTTATTTAGCGATAACAAAGGAATCTTATCAAATTTGCACTCGTTATGCGTGAGAAATTACTAGATAATAATTATGTGGGTAGCAATTTGATATTGGAAACAATTTGATATGGCAATACCGCACGAAGTTTTTTTTTTTAAATTACACTTGCTCAGCGGAAATTACGGGTGTAGACGAAACATTCGATCAACATCGAAAATGCACGAAGTTACATTTTTTTCATAGGTAGAAGTACATAGAAGACGGTAGTGCCGAACTCGAGTCTACGCATATACATGTTTCAAAACCATATTGTGCAATATATATTGGGTACATATATGCAGTATTATACATTTTTGGAAAGGTTATTTCATGCTTATTACGTTACAGCTTTTTAATTTCTAAAGCAGCGACAATTATGTCAGTAAGTAATTAAAAAGTGGCATACCTTATTTTTTACTTTTCTTTTTTTTCGTCTAAGGTTTTCAATATTACCCACGGCTCCCCACGCGCAACTTTTTATGTTAATTGATAGTCTAACTATTCAGTAACAGAATACAAAAAAAAACAGCTGCGGAAGTTTGCGGTTTTAGAAAATATAAGAAATAATGTGTGAAAAGTCGGAAAATAAAAATCAGTATCTTTGGCGGTTTACCACAGACACCGTTCACAAGGACAATAATTATATTACTTTTGGAATATTTTATTTATTTAGCGATAACAAAGGAATCTTATCAAATTTGCACTCGTTATGCGTGAGAAATTACTAGATAATAAGATAATCCTATTGGACAGCTGTCGGAAGACGCACAAGAGTCTCGCAACAAAGACTACAGAAACATGCGACTTCATCATGCCAAAAAATGTTCCCGGTCTGCAACAAATGAAGATGTCTTTAAAATGCTTTTGTGAACGTCAGATCCATATATAACAAGTTTAAGAAAACCATACTTAAGAAATGTAAAAAATCTTGAAGTAGAGGCAATAAAGTCTTTTAAAAGTGGTACCTGAAAGTGAACGCACGTTTACTGACCCTGATCCTGAAGCAATATTGGTACCTACCAAAATAAAAATAATATTGATATTTAGTTATTAGTAATGTTTGTAACGAGTTATATCAATCTCTGAAGCTACAGGCCTAATATAGTTTGTTTGTTCAGCAAAAAATTTTTTTTTGTATTTTTTATTAATTGGGTAATTTTGTATTTAACCGTAGTTTTAGCCTTTTTAGTCATTAAAACTTGTCTTTCTTTTGGAATTATTTTTTTTACCATTTTATTTTTGTGTTTTCCCATTTTTTTTACTTCTATGACATATAACATATATATGTATATAGAAAAACACTACAAATTATACATCATTTGAATTTCCAAACCTCACTGAATATTTGTAGCAAATTTCATTGCGGTACTACAAAAAATCATGAAGTTATACATTTTTGATCCGATAACGACCGATTCTGCCCACCGTGCGCGGTTGCGCCATCATGATAATCCTATTAATATTATAAATGTGAAAGTTTCTTTGTTTGGATGTTTGTCGGTCAATCATGCCGAAACTACTGAACGGATTTTGATGAAAATTGGTATACAGAAAGGGTATTAGCTGACTTAGATAATAAGATACTTTTTATCCCACTTAACATTTCCCTAGGGGTTCAGGCGGGCGAGGCCGCTGGCGTAAGCTAGTTTTAAAATAAAAGTGTGTAAATATTAATTTTGTTCACAGTAAAGGAACTGATTCAAACAAGAGGAAGCTTGAAGACGTTAACGGACCGGATACTCCAGTGACTAGCGCACCAAAACAGTCCAAACTTAGTGCCTTCGCATTCCAAAAGAAGTCTTAACTTGTTCTTCACAAAGTCTGTTTTTCCTAGCATTTTGCAAGTTAAGTTAATTTTCGATATTTTTATAGCATTCGACAATGTATTACATGCGAATTTTTAAGTGGTGATATTCGTTTGACGGTATTTTAATGCAGTGTTGACATAATTAGATTTAGGTAAAACAAATCTCGTTCAAGTTTTTGTTTTTAGGTATTTATATATGACAATTAAATAACCGTTCTTTGTAAATAGTTATTGCATATTATAGATAAATTAAAACAATTTTAATATTTATAAAATTGATTTTTCTTAACTTAAGAATTGACCAGCTCTGCTTCATCAGGAAAAGGGAATATTCCTTCTTTGAACATCCTCTGCCACTCGCTTCCGTTTGGATAAGAGTACTTTTCCAATGTTTCCGGTAGAAATTGTGTACTGTATCCAGCAGCCTGAAATATTATTTAAATTAAATAATATAGGTAAATTATATCATGGAAGTCGAAAGAACAGCGAAAGTATCATTGTAGACACAGGTCAGAATAGTGACAGTTTAATCTACAGCTGGAACACGGTCATCATCATCTTCAGCCCTTTTACATTGCCACTGCAAGGGCTCAGGCCTTCCTTAAGAATGGTTAAGGAGGACGGGCCATGGCCCTAAACGATGGCCCAATGCGGATCGGAAGGTATTGACTACTGCAAACGCAGCCGGGACCAACGTCTTAACGTAACTTCCGAAACACGTAGTAGCTCGGATTAAAAATTTTTTGGTCACCCATCCCGTGACTGACCATTGCGAAAGTTGCTAAACAACAAAAGTCACGTGCCGCGACGCTTATACACAACGCCACCACAACTACTCTGTATTTATAAAGAATTTCAATAAACACTCCAGGTCATAATTTAATACTTTATTTAAAGACCTCAGGTTGGCAAATATTACTAATAAACTGCCGGGAGAAGTATATCATCTAGATCATGGGTGGCCAACCAGTCGATCGCGACTGTTAGTCCAGTCGATCGTGGCAATTAAAAAAACTAATCAAAATGCTACATAATTGTGTACGAACTATGCTGTTGCATTCAAGATTTTAAGAAGTTATTTGTAGATCGTACTGGATGACGTCAGTGAAAAGTCGATCTTGGGTCTAAACAAATTGGCTACCCCTGATCTAGATTAATGATATAATCGTAATATTATGTAGTATAACATACCTTTGGAGCCATGTATCTAGCATTTTCAACGACGCACGGGTCATAAAAGTGTTCATGCTGTTGATCCACGTATTCAATTAGACGATCCTCCATAGTTCCGGACACGCACGCGTAATCCCAATACTGTAGGTGTTGCACCATCTCGCATAAACCCACGCCGCCCGCGTGTGGACATACTTTCACTGTAAACGGTCAGTGTTTATAGAGAGCTCCGATTCTATGTGAAATCTCTTAATTTATTCATGGTTCAATACTTTGGTAGATTAAAGGAAATAAAGTACAATCATATACAGGGTCATTTATATATATATATATAAATATGTAATAAAAAAAGTGTTTTTTAATCAAGCTTTTATTTGTGCACACTAAAACGCAAATAAATAAAGTCCAAACACTTAAAGTATTTATAATTCAAATTTTCTCTAACGGTAATTGACTTGAAAAGCTTGTAGCACTAATGAAATCGGGGACGAGGAAATACATATATTTTTAACTTTATATGCTTAGAATTTTTTATTTACTTTTGTGCGCACAAATAAACGCTTGTTTTTTTAATTATATGTTGTTGTTCTCATAAAATCGTATCTAACAAGCCCAAACACGATGTAGTTACGTCATTTCATTATTAAGTTATGACCACATTCCGACTTCATCATCATATCGGCTTACTAACAGCAGACTACTGTATTATCATCTGACTTACATGCCAATGCAAAATTTAATGTTTTCCAGACATTGGGAAATGAGTCGAATTCAAGTTCCAAGATTAGTGCACTAACAAACATACCTCCTTACAAACAAGGCAAGTTAAATAAAATCGTGTAATAAAAAAAAAACTAACTCCGAGCGCGTGTAATGGTTATTTTCGGAAGAGTTTATATTTATAACTAATTTTTGTAAGTCGTTTTAGGCCTAGGTAAAAAAAAAAATTAGTCCGTCAGTCAAATGACACAAAGCACGTCTTTCTGTAATGGATTTTCACCTGTGCCCTCAGTGTAATAAAGTTTGAAATCGAGTGGGGAAATTTGAGTTCTTGTATAGTCTGTCGTGCTGTTGACATTTCATACGTCTATGTTATATTCACAAATGAAAGGTAATTAACACGACACCTGATGATTCGTACGAGTAAATGATTGACGATTCAAATAATATGAATAAATCATTATCAAAAATACATCTCTTGTATGTTGTACATGCATACCCTTTAATTTTTCCGCCATAAGGTAAACTGAAAGGATCTCGTTGACACCGCCGATCCTCGCTGAATCTATCTGACAGTACTGCATGCCGCCGCTCTGTAGGAATTGTTTGAACATCACGCGATTGGCGCACATCTCGCCCGTCGCCACACCGATGCCGTACGGTCTACATGAGAACATATGCACGGAAATAATACAATAGAAATTCTCTTAATGAAAAATGCTTAAAAATCCACCAGCCCAGGGTACTCTTGATATGAGACTCGAACCCACGAGCATACGCAAACCGGACGGCTGCTCTATCAGGACCTAAAAGACTGACGAACTTTTCATGTAATAGGGATAATGACTAGTTTTTGTTTGTTTGTCCGTCAGGTAGAGTGTTAAAAAATATTAAACACGTATTTTTTTATTTTTTTCGTAATCATAAATTACGGCGTTACATTGAGTTGAAATTTCGCATGACGTCACGTTAGAGTACGTTTTCTACTCAACTGTGACGTAGCGAATCCCCACTCCTCAACTTTAATGCATGTTATCTATACTATTTCTTGTTAAATTGAAGTAAAAAAAATACGTATCTAATATTTTTCTATTATCTGACTGACGGACTAAATAGAATTGCATTTTTTTTCGCAGTCATCATCCCTATTGTTACTTTTCTCTATTAGTGAGCGTATTTTCGAGACCGATCTCAGAGTATCTGGTGTTGGTGGATTTTTTAAAGAATTTTTCATTAAGAATAAGCAGAAACTTGATAGATAACTATGAAAAAAGTCTACAAACAAAATAAATAATGGTTTTATCTTTCTTTTAAACATCCTGCGTTTATAAGTCAATATTAGTAAACAACAAAAAAATTACTTCAAGGCTTTGGCAATAGCAGCGTGTCCCAGAATGTCGTCTGGAGAAGTGGGCTCCTCTATCCACATGGGCTTTAATGGCGCCAATTTTATCATCCACTCGATTGCTTCATTCACACTCCAGGCTTGGTTCGCGTCTACCATCTGAAGTGAATACGTAAAAGTTTCAGATTCACGGGAAATATTGTCACTAACTTTGTGTAGGGTAGCTGAGCCTGTTTTCGTCCAATGGAATTGCCAACTTTGAGCAAAAAATATGAGTATTCCAACAATTTATCTTCGTGGTTATTCTTCTCTGGACTACAATAAACTCGTTAACTTTTGTATAGCTTTTAATTTTACATAAATGAAAAAGAAACGTTCGGAAGCTGGGAAGATAACGCTCTATAGCAATTTCCTACCAATATAACTGTATATCACAATGGTGTATATTAATAAAAATCTTGGACAAAACATGGCCATTGGTTTAAAATATGTCAAAAGAATTCAACATCAAATCAGATTTAAAAAGTTGCATACATTTTAAGACCACAAAGAATTTCTATTTGACCTGGTTCAAAAATTCGATTTTTTTTAATAAACGTTAATTCAACCATCTCATTGTAATAGTTTGGTTTCGGCTTATCGCTTCGTTTAATCGTCATATACACAAACTATGACGATATACACGTGTCCTGAAAACCGCAAAATTCGCTGTGTACCTAGTTTAAAAGTCCTTGTACAGACCTGAGATTCTGTAAAAAAATATTCACTTCAAAAAGCGGCATCCGCTCAACCTTGAGTTGGTAATAACGTTTCGTGGCATAAGTGAAGTGAGTTTCGAAATAACATAGTAGTAGAATATCTGAGACACGTTTATACAATTAATTTTGTTTTGTATTTTTATACAAAAAAAAATGGAATCAATAGAATTTCTTCACTAATGACGTGAATTCGGACATATGACTGAATTCTAATTCTGGTCTGGATTTTTTACAGAATCGCAGGCCAGATGACGGTAAGCAATTTTGATTTATGCTATGTATAGATAATAGTGTTTATTTATTTTTTAGTTCTATGAATTCCTCATTTGATGGCGGTGTTGGTTGATTCGTGTTAAAAATCTTAAATGGCTATGGCAAATCTTATTTACGTGATATTATCGTAAGCGCGCAATATAAAGTGTCTACCTCTGCTGAGAAAATCGTAGATTCGGACGTCCATGTCAGGTCCGGTTCGGATTGCTTCCTCGTGTGAACGAAGCCTTATAAGAAGTCGTATTTTTTATTAATTTAAAGCTATTAGCTTTTATATAGTTAGAATGGACATACTTACTAAGAAATTATTATCACCGATATGTTTGCGGACTACGTTACATCGACGTAGGTCATCCACCACGCTGACGCCAACTTTCGCCTTAAAATGTCTAAATCCAAGTTTTAAATATTTCTTGCAGAGTTGCTCCACCAATTCATCACTGTATCCCATCCAACCTAAAAATAATGAAAGTGTATTTTAAGGAATTCTGATAAATTCTCAATTATTATTTTTAACCTAAGAATTTGGTGAAAATAAATGGTAATATCGCACACCTAGATCTAAACTGAGACAACTCAAGAGTGAGTTTTGACTTAGTACAATATTCAAATATTCGGTGATCATACGCATCTATCCAACATAACAGATTCAATAAAGGTTCGGGGATGAGCCGCTAGATAACTTTAACTTTCTTTTGTTGAATCAACAGTGGTCGCGCTCCTGCCACGTAAACAAATGTATTGACAGACCTCCACATTAGTTTTTTGAGTTGTCCTAGTTTAGATCTAGGTTTGCGATATATAGAACAGGTATTAATTTGCACCTTTACTTACGGATTGACACAAGCGAAGTTATTACATTGGCGCCCAACGTGGGGCCAAAAATGAAAGACAAAAAAGTTTTATTTTAGTAAAAAAAATGTGATCACATGATCGATATAGGAAGCGTATCATTGTTAGTATATCTAACATATTGAAGGAATTTGAATGCCATATAGCGATGATACCAAAATAAAATAAATGGTGCCTAAATGAATTTCATAAAATAAATGAATTTCTTGTAAGGCGACTTACCGACTTGTGTTGTGTACGCAGGATATCCTTTTTCCATCAACAATTTGATCCGCTCTTCCTTTCCAGTTTTCTTAGTTCTAAGCAACTGAACGGCTTCCTCTTTCGTTATAACATCAGTTATATAACGAAAATCTATTGTGGATACAAGTTCCTAGAAAAACGAAACATGAGAATTTAATGGGTGGTAAACCTGCAATGTACAAGAGTAGACCCATGTGTATTTTTTATGTATTGCAAAATGTGCAATCAACAGTAAATCAACTTATCAAAACTGTGTGAACTATGACCTTTTTGGAACCTTCTGGCCTAGATCCCAAATTGCCCCATAAGTGATAGGGTAGAGTGGGTTTAGTGGGTATGCTGCCCGCATTTTGACTAGCCTTCAGGCGCGTTCATATACAGATGAAGTCACACACTCCCTGCCACCTGTTAAGTGGCAGGGAGAATGCATGATGCACTCTCCCTCTACGACACAATAAGTTAATGTAACTGTCATAAAGACCAATAAACTTAAACCTTCATCTTTTGATTCAAATCAGATATCAAATCGGTTCCGATTTTGACGTTTTATAGTAACCTGATTTACCTCGCCGATATGTGTACATACATCATGCAACAATAATAAGTATTCTAAACTCAGAAAATGTTATACAACTACGTATAAAAGGCGACCTTATTGCTATTTGACATTCATTAAAATCACATGTATCTGAATATAAATAATTTTTTTTTAACATACCTCAGGCTCCATATCTACAAGCAACATCCACAAAGGTTTGTTTTCGATCCTGGCCCAAAGATCCCATAGAGAATTCATCAGAGCCGCGGCCGCCAAATGTGATACTCCTTTTTCCGGACCAATCTAGGAGACAATTTGATTATTTTATGAATCAAACATAATTTAAGGAGTTTAGTGGTACAGTGGTCAGCGTGTTCTGGTTATGATGCATAGTTTAAAGAACTTTAATAAGGGCCGGTTATTTGATGGGTAACCAAAAGTGTATTATCTCGAGTCCGTATGCTTCTGCAGGCACGTCAAACCGTTGGTTCCATCTGCAGTTGATAACACCCACCAATCAGTGATATGTACGTACACGTTAGGTAATGACGGACGTTTATCCATGTTTGATATAAGAAAGGCCTGTGTACCTCAGTGGGGACATAAAAACCTTTTTTTGCCTAAATTTAATACTATATTTTGTTCGCAAATACGTAATCATAATAATAAATTAAACTCTAACAATGTTATTAATTAACAACAATAAATAGCGTTGGAGTAAATTTACGCTGAGACTGCATTTAGTATTAGTCAAAATTCATATCAGTCAAGGTTCTAAGGGAGTAACATTTACTCCCAGAAGGTAGTAGATTTGCTTATTCTCTGTACAATATGAAGTTGGACTAATACTAAAATTGCTATTTTAGCGTAAATTTTCGCTGAGACTGAACTTAATTTTAGTCAAAATTCATATTATTTAACAGAGACTTAGCAAAAGTTAACCTCGTACGAGGTTCTACGGGAGTAATATTTACTTCTAGAAGGTATCTAGTAGGTTTGTTTATTCTCTGTAGGTATAATATGAATTTGGAATATTACTAAAATTACAATTTCAGAGTAAATTTACTCTGACGTTAAACCTTGTTTATTAATAGCACTGTAAAAGTATGCTGCGATCCTTTGAGATCTTTAAGTTAGATAACCTTAAGAGCATATTCGACGGATAATCCGTCGCACAGTAAAGTATACTTAAGTAAGATACGTGAACGATTTTCCGTTAGATTTATACCGACGTAAATCTAATGGAAAATAAGTTGATATTTTTCATAATAGCTACCAACTTAAATACGAAACCTTTGAATTCTAGAGTCTGAGTTATAATTATTACCGTGATGTACTTGAATAAACTACTTATCTGATACCGTACACAAATATCTGCAAGTTTTTGCACAAAAAATATGATATGATATGATAACGAGCATGCATATCTGCATACATGTACTTGAAACGTGCCTCAAAGAAGTGTCAAAGCAAAATGACCTCTGCTGCGTTGACAATAAAAGCGTCATATATTTCTGATCACATAAATCCTGCATTGTTGCATATTTACGAACACGTTGATTAGAACCAAAATAAATTATTACAAAAATTAAACGAAAAACATGTGATCTTCCGTCAGATATGCACCGACCTGTTTAATGGAGATAAATAACATACCCATCGCAATTGCGATTCGTTGGTGATACTCCGCCAGAAGGTACCAAAATCGGCGAAGATTTCCGCTGCGTTTTTTCCAACTACAAACCGGCGTAGAGTTCTCACCGCGAGCACCACAAGCTCGGTGCCGCGTCCACACGTGAACGTAAGCCCGTAGCCGCACCGACCATCTTCTGTTGAGGTCGTCACGTATGCGCAGGAGTAGTTCGGATCTGTGTGCTACATTCGATGACAATAAAACCTTATTATCAGTCATATAGCTTCCGTAACTGAGCAAGTCACGCTGGATTTTAAGTTTTTGAATTAACCATCTACCCATAACTTTAGTCATAGGATACATGTAACTTACATGATGTCTGCGATATTATGGCGATATTTCGTATCATTTTACTATTTTGATATGTCTTTTGGTGGATAAAGACTAAATTTTGTAACACTGGTATCAAATCCATAATCAGCGGCGTAGTACCTACGGCGTACCTTGTGATTAAAGAGGCGGTCACACCCGACCCGACTGCTTATCTCAAAACCAAAACGCTAGCTATAAGAACCTTTATTGGTTTTTATGTATTTATTCGATGTAAATAATTGTTTATCTGCATTATGTACGTGTCTATAAAATTTTACGTAATTTGCAGTCTGAAAACAAAGCAGATAAAATACAAGTAACATATTTAAGTATTATTTATCCCATCCGCATATTTTGTTATATCGTTGTCATAACACTGGGCAGGTATATTTATTGTTCATTAAAGAAACAGCGATAATGATGTCCCTACATATTGTTCAAATAAATTCTAAATCAATTTACTTACCAATGCATCAGATCCGTGACCACCAAGTGAAGTTGGAAATCTTACATCATGTACCGATACACTAACTATTTTCAAACCTTTTTTGTCGTAAACAGGCATAACTAACAAAGCTGCTCGGCTATTACTACGATGCCCAGTAACTGTCGGGTAACTGATAGTGATAACTCGTAACCTCCCACCGTAAGTTATTTACGTATACTTATCATATGACATAAACAAAGCGCGACTATTATAGCCGCTTGTAGTGCTTCTGACAACAACACTTGAATAAATATTTTTCTTTAATTAAATCAAGTATCAGGGGCAGAAGTAAACAATCCCTATGTTATTTGAAACTTCCATGGTCATTAATATTAGAATGATTGCATGTATCTTATATGTTGCTACCAACTTTACCTGTAGCGCTACCATGAGTTGCTATCGAAAATTCTCATTACGTTACCGCAGTCGCTAGCGAATAAACGCACTTCGAATAGTATTCGATAGAAGTTGTACCATGAGTCACATTTACATTTACTATACTCGCTAACGTTAACTCGAACATTCGAATAGTTTTTGTTACGTGACCGTGTTTGCGCCTAACTTCACTCCAAATGAAACTGTCTCGTTCTAATTATGCTGAATAGAGTGAGAAAGGATGACTTTGGGCTAAAAACCGACTATTTAGATCTTCAAATTTAAAAAGTAGATGAAACCCTACTAATTTTAAGCGTCATTGATCATTCTCATAACGCGAAGTGTAACTGATTATTGAATTGATTCGGTTATTTCCGTGTTGTGACAAATCATTGAGTATTTCTGTTTCTTGACTGGCGGTTGTTTTGGTAAATTGTGCATAATATCTAAACATTAAATGCGGAGTAGTGTATCACAAATACAGTTATTAGAATATACTTATACGTTAAATAGAATATACTTTGTACAGTAAAATGTAGTCCTCCAGTTTTTTTAGACGAAATATTTGTTTGAGTGTTCAGATAAAGTTAAGGAATGCTGAGTGCTCTTTATTTGGTTAAGGTAAATTTTAGCGGGACTTTAATAATATAATTTTTTATTTAATAATATAATTTTTTAATATAATTTAAAGTTTTTTGTAATTTATCAAACATAAAATTTTTAAAATAGACGCAGTTTATGAAATTTTTGAAATATAGTAAGAATATACAACCTAATCCAATGCTATCGATCTAACCCCGTTCATTTATTTAAACATTCATTTATTTATTTTTGTTGTTATCCGTATCACGGATCCCTTTTTAATGTTTTAACAGAAATGGTGACCTTAGTAAACCAAAACACTCTTTATTAAGCCTATATTATTTGATAAAATTATTCTCACTAATATTTCTCATATCCGCTTCAAATTTTCTCTGTTTTCGTCGTTTGTCTTCATATACAGCTTATGATACATATAATGCCTAGTTGACATTATTTGGGTCAATAATAACTGAAAATAATCTATTAAACAATACTCTAACAAGAGTAATAAGTTTTCACGCTACGTTTTGCAAGTGAGAGAGTTAACTACAGTCGCTACGGTATTTCTCGATGACGTTTATCAAATTTGTAACTCATGGTACCGATGTTCTATGGGATAAGCTACGAAACGTAAAAAATGTTAGTCGCTAGCGATTGGCTTTCGATAGGTAAATTTACTATAGGACTCATACTAGCAATCTTTAGTTTCACAAGTGACCGCTAGGAGCGCTGTACAGTTCTCCATACAAATCATTTACGCAGTCGCTAGCGAGTACGGTCATTGTAAACTCATGGTAACGCTACTGCTTACTATGTTACCAGTGGTACGGGTGTCGAACGTAAAAGAATTAGATTGTACTATCTACCTAAAGTCCAATATTGTTAGTGCAATGTCTGCCTTACACATCAATGGTGGCAGATATATAACAATATTGGACTTCACTGAAGTCCAATATTGTTATACCTATATCTACTTATATACCTGAAGTCACTTCAGGTATAGGTATAAGTACAACGGCAAGATGCAACTCGTTGAGTTTCTATTGAGATGGGATTATTACGTAAACATTAGCAGAATCAGCCTGCCGGTAGAATGATGCCGGTAGAAAGATGGCGCTGTGGCATAAACAGTGGCTCCGTATTTAATTTGTTGCAAAATATAAAAACCAGTGTATTTTTGTCTAATATTTATACATTTAGTTCGGAATATGTCGTTTTACCTGTGATAGTGTTATCTACATCGAAGATCAAGTTTTTAGTGTGTTAATTAAAGATATCAACGGGTGAACTATATTTAAAAAATATCGACAAGGGAGTGAATATTAAAGTAATGCTCTTATCCAAAACATTTGTAAACTGTGCATAAAGTGATTGAGTGCGGAAGTGTCGACAACCAGGACCATTTGTCCTAGTTAGTGAAATATCTGTAAGGAGTCGGTTAATTTTATTTAAATGAAAGAGGTTGCTATGCCGTTTTGATTGGTGCACGCATGGACTTAAGAGTGACTTTGTAATAATTGTACGAAAAGCGCCATCTCTTGATTGTGTCTCGCACTATATCTACGGCATTGAGTAAAGAAAATACTAATAGCTATTTTCGAGTTCGCTATCTAAAGTGCTTTGGCGCAACGGATAAGTCAGTACTGTGCTACCGCAGTTCGTGAGTTCGAACCACAGATTTGGAAATCTTTTTGCGATATTATTTGTTTCTAATAATAGTAAGACATGGATGTCTGTGTAGGATGTAACCACAGCATCAATGACAATAATTCTATGACGTGCTCAGTATGCAATAATGTTTACGATTTATTGTGTGCTGGTTTGAGCGCCGAAAAATATCTTGGACTTACACCTGACGTCTTGCGGTCATGGGTATGTGTCTCATGCCGAAGTAAAATACCTAAGTCTGGCAATTTATCTACTCCTATTCGACTTCTAATGAGTACAAGCGTGGCTAATGATACGATTTTCGAAGCTGTTG